CCATCCTCACTCACTGGCAGGTGACTGATGTGACAGCAGGAGCGCTTACTCATTGGAAGGAGTCCGGACTCAGCACGACTCAGGTATTAGTCGTAAGGTCACCATGAGGCAGGTCAGAGGGTAGGACATGAGGCAGAGAACTCTGACCAAACGATGGTCAATAGGTACCTGGTCTGTGCACCGTTGTATTAGTATATATAGTAGGGAGTCTGAGGCAGGGAACCTCAGACTTGATCTTCTCGTCGATCCCCCATCTCCTCTGTAGGTAGCTAGCAGCCCTACCTTCTACTGCCCCTTCTAGTCTAGGGAATACACTTCTTCACATCTCTTGCTGTGTCACCTGTGGTTGCTTCGCTTCTCAGCACCAACCTCTGCATCAGTAAGCTTTGCCCTTGTTTGTTTTGGTGGCACAGCTCGTTGGCTGTGACAATAGACTTGTGTTAGTACTTCAGTGTAACGATAAACAGATGGTTTGAGGTCATATAAACTATTTGTACACCAGTCAGAGATTATAGACCCACTCTATCCACTGCTATCACTGTCTACTATAGTACTATTCCTGTCTACTATAGTGCTACTTTGCACGAATTGGCATTAGCTAATTTATACTAAATAGGTGCAACTTGAAAAGGTGGTTTTTGTGGATGTGTCAACTAGTTAAACCATACCCTTTGACCCTTGCTAAAGGTTAAGAGTTCCATATTCCTTGCTCTTCCTTAAGTAGGGTACATGGTCTAGGTCTAGGCTAGATAGTTGTCTGTCACAAACTGCCCCCACAGCACTATATTTCCCTCTTGATTTGAACCACTGTCTTGTACATTCATCTCTTGTTCTCTATTTGGCATGGTTTCTCCTTGTTTGCACATAGACAACAGCTCCCTTTGTGTCCCCTGTCGCTATTGTCCTGCACCCCTTGTACTCTGTACCTATAGCAACACTATTGTCCCTTAGCACCCATTGTTTGTTTCTCATATACAGCTAGATCCTTTGCTACCTAGAGACTCTAGTTTCGACCTCTTGTCTCTAGGTAAGCCATCACTCTATAGATAATTCACTCAATACACTACTTGTCTCCAGTCCTGCCTATTGAGCTCTGCTCCAGTCTCACTGCAATCAGAGTCCGTCAGCGCTCCTGCCTGCCTCGCTTGTCTCTCCCTACTTGCTCAACAGTCAGTTATAACATTGTTAGGGGGACAGAAAGAGGAGGATAGTGTACAGGCAGACGACCAGGGAGAATGAGTGCATATGGATCACCTCTAACATACATCAAGTTTCTTGATGGAGTTTGTCACAGGCTGTGGTAGGGCTCTACCCTCCCTTCAGCCCGCCATTTCCCACTAGCACAAGCTGAGGAGTGCCAGCGGGCCCCTGAGACTCACCTCCTGCACTTGTGCTTCTAGAATGCAATACCATGTGAGCTGGCAACCTCCACAGACTGGAATATACTGTCCTACAGACCTAACCATATAAAGTAGCCAGGAATTATGTAGCAGGCTGCGTGACCACATATTCACGCAGTCATGTAACTATACATTGATTGTGGTAACTGGAGCGCCGCTGGCGGGATCTTAGCAAAAGGCAAGGCTCAAGTCTATGTACCCTGCAAAGCCCTTGAATAGACTCATTTTGTGCACACCTGGATGAACAGTCAAGATTGCCTGGATTACAGTCCATCTACCTCGCGCAAGGAAGGAATTTCGTTGCAGAGGCCACCGAGAACTGTGGATACCTCTGCCACCGAGAACTGTGAATAGGATGCTTAGTGTCGCTTACCCGACTCTGTGACTATATGGCTGTATAATTGTATCGTGATCGGAAAGCGAGCGTACTGCTGCGCGCGTGCGTGGCTACGTAGCCAGGTTGCGTACAGTCGTAATCTCTCTGCTGCAACAATGACACATTGTAAGTAAGTCCAGTACATATTATTACACAGCGGCTTTTGCCTTTCCTTTGAGCCTGATACCCAAGCCGCTCTTGACTTCCAACTTCTTCCGCTTAGCAGCTGGAGCACCAATGGAAGATGCAGCGGAAAGTAGAGCACGGGTCGACTCGGGGAGAAGACTCCGGAGCTCAGGTTCCTGGGTCGTAGCCTTACGCTTCACTGTAATGATCGACTCGGTCCCACCGTCCCGACTCGACCCTGCACCACTAGAAGCAGACGCCTCCGAAGCGGGAACCCTTGCAAAGACTTCTCGCACCAATTTCTCGTCCTCCTCTTCGGCGATTTTCCTCTCCCTATCCTCCTCTGTTTCTATATCTTCCGTTCCCAGACGCTCGAGTAGATCTACCGATTGCCCGACACGTTCGTTACGGGCGTTACGGGCGCGAATGTCTTGTAGTGCATCTAAGATGTCCATCTCCCGCTTTGAGTCGACAGTCCGGTTCTCGAGAGCTTTCATGGGGTTGTTCTCTTCTTCTTCCAGTTTGGCGAGTCTATCCTCCTCCTCGACGGCCTTCTCCTCCCTCCATGGCTCAAAGTTGCGTGATGCGCCGTGTTCGGCTGCATAGTCGGTATTCTTGGGGTCCGTCTTGAAAGTGATCTCCGCGGAACATAGCGTGCTGCGACGCAACGGAACGGCGTTGGTACCGGATAGGGTACGAGTCAAGGACAACGTACCATTTGATATAAAAACGGAAGATCTTGATGCCATAGTAATCCTCGCCCTCGACCGTCTCCTTCCGTGCATTGAACTTCTTTCCTTTGTATATGTACTCGCCACAAGTGTTACATCGCCTAGGCCGGGATTAGATGGAACTTGCGAACTAGAGACAAACCTTTCTAGGACTTACATGGAGAAGGGGGCCATTAAGCGAACGACCTGTTGAGAATTCTTGGGTTGCCTGCGGCGGGGAATGAGGGACGGATCGAAATCCGGGGGGAAGTATTTGTTTAGAACTGGATGAACAGTGAGCATACACGACGCGGGCATTGACAAAGGTAGTCCGGACGTGCCTTTACGTTCTGACATGACTGTAGTTGAGCCTGGAGTACGGAAGTAACGAGGGAGGTGTGCGAGGATGCAAACGGAGAGCGAGTAGCAGAGGCGAATGGCGCTGTTCGGGTGGTCGCCACTGCTTTGTCATGCTCGAGATGCGATCTTAGTACATGGGCGCTTATATTGTCAGCGTTTGAAGTAAGTAGGTTGAGCGACTCGGTACCACGGTACTGTGTGTTTGCCGCACACCCTCTGTCCATGATGTCCGGAATTCAGTTTTGGAAGCCAGGCACTGTCGGTCCAGGAAGCAACCTTGACAGAGCAACGGAGACCGAAGATAACATCGTTCAGAGCGCACCTTCTTCCCTCTCTCTCCAAGCCGCGCGGGAGCGTTTGCCCATCTACCAACACAGTACGTGTCTTACCTCGCTAATTTCAGAGGTTGTGCGAACTACATTGCCACAAAAGAGCAGAGTCTGCTGTATGCCGTTGAGAAGCATGGCGTAGTCGTTTTGGTCGGCCAGACCGGCAGTGGCAAAACCACCCGTACGTTATACACTATCACCGCTGTTCCTTAGTCTAAGTCTTGGAAGAATTACCTCAGTTCCTGTACGAAGCAGGGTGGGCCAACGAAGGAAACGTCATTGCTTGTACTCAGCCTCGCAGAGTAGCAGCTACATCTGTGGCGAACCGCGTGGCTGCAGAAGTCGGTACATCTTTGGGCGAAGAGGTTCGTGCGCATTCTGGTCATTAACAAAGTTGATAAACAAATACATAACTTTAGGTTGGCTACACAATCCGCTTTGAAGATGTCAGTGACAAAGAACGCACACGAATCCTCTACATGACAGACGGAATGCTCTTCCGGGAGACACTCGTCGATCCGTTGCTCAGCCGTTATAGTGTCATCATGGTGAGTCTATGAGACGTTCCCACTGCCAACATCTCCTGACACCAGCGGTTTGAGATCGACGAGGCTCATGAACGAAGCGTGTACACGGACCTACTCCTTGGGATACTGAAAAAGTAAGTAAACTGCTTCACGCAAGACCGCTTCTGACTTGTGCCACGGTCAGAATTCGTCGGAAACGGCCCTCATTACGGCTGGTGGTGTCGTCAGCTACTCTGGATGCGGCTGCATTTCTCGACTTCTTCACTTCTGGAAACAGCCCTAATGAAGCGACCATTGTCAGCTTGGAAGGTCGCGCATATCCTGTACAAATAGCCTACCTACAGGAGCCTGTGCCAGACTACGTTCAGAAGGCTGCAGAAGTGGTCTGGAGCATCCACCAGCAGGTCCTGATCTATGTCTTGAAAACGCCACTTCGTCTCACGATTTTATTCTGATAGCCAACTTCTGGAGATATCCTGGTCTTCTTGAGCGGCCGCGAGGAAATAGATCGTTGCATTGATCGACTGGCAGAGATGCTACCAACGTAAGTCTCGTGTCAATATCTTACACCTTACAACTCACGCGGGTCCCAGCCTACCACGGAATGCCAAACGCTTGGCCTTACTTGCTCTACACGCAGGTCTAACGACGGAAGAGCAACTCAAAGTTTTTGAACCGGCTGAGCGTGGATTCAGGAAAGTGATCATAGCAACCAACATCGCCGAGGTACGCGCAGAAAGTCTCAGCCTAGAGCAGTTCAGGAGCCAATCTGATTGAATTCAGGCCAGCGTCACCATCGAAGGAATCAAGTTTGTAGTCGACTCTGGATTCGCCAAAGCAAGTATGGAATACAGTCAATATGTAAACTAGCTAATATTCTCTTCTAGATACGCACCTACAATCCCTCGACCGCTATGTCATCTCTCACTACCGCTCCCATTTCGCAAGCCTCAGCTACTCAGCGGGCTGGCCGCGCGGGACGTACCTCCGCCGGCTACTGTTACCGTCTGTACACGGAGCGCTCCTTTGAGCAGTTAAGACAGACAACGCCTCCGGAGATCACTCGAACCGATCTTACTACGCCCATCATTCAGCTGAAGTCGCTTGGTATCGACGACCTCATGAAGTTTGAATGGTTGTCCTCTCCGCCGGCTGAGAGCGTCCTGCGAGCTCTAGAGGGTCTAGTGAATGCTGGAATGATCGGCGAGAATGGGCGGCTCACCGTCATTGGAGAAAAAGTGGCGGAGTGTCCTGTTGAGGTCAACATTGCACGTATGGTACGTAAGCAAAATGCAGCTGTCTTCCGAAACATTATTTACAACTCCAGAAGTTATTCGCCTCAAAGCAGTATCAGTGCGGAGAAGAAATACTCACAATTGCGGCGATGACTGCCGTACAGGTATGCAAATCCTTGCCCAATGACGGGATTTTGTTGATCGGCCAATCAGGACGTGTTCATCATCCCAGAGGGTTCTGCAGGTGCGATAGCTGAGCTTGAACGAAGGAAATTCACGGCAGAGGAAGGAGTGAGTTTGTTGTCCCATTGTCCTCTATCATGCTCACGCTGTGACGACAGGACCATTTGACTCTCTTGAATGGTAAGCGTGAATTCTATCCCGCCTATGGCGAAACATACTTCAAGCTCATTGAATTGACTGCATAGCCTTTAATGCGTTCACGCGTTATGGCCGTTCTTCATCGTGGTGCAAGGCGCATGCACTGTCATTCCGTGCAATGTCTCGTGCCGTATCAATACGATCACAGTTGAAGAAATATATGCAGCGGTTTGAGCTCCCTCTAGACAGTTGTGAGGGGGATGCGAAACGACTACGGAAGTGTCTCGTAACCGGATACTGGCGAAATGTCGCCCGATGGACCGCCGATGGCACCTATAGGGCTGTGCGAGGAGAGATTGTGAGCACGCCAATATATCTCACATTGATCTTACCGACCCTGGACATCTTCTGTGGCAGGTTCTACATGTTCATCCTCACTCCGTGCTGTTTACGAGGAAGCCTCGGACTCAATGGGTGATTTTCCACGAAATGGAAGAGACGAAAAAGACACAGTATGTGCATACCCGAGTTTCGTCACATTCAACCTCTCACCCGCTGACCGCCCTAGGATCCGCGTGTTGACGGAGATCGAACCGGATTGGTCAGTCTCCTTGCCATGGACTGGAGACGCTTGCATACTGACGTATACCTTGCAGGTTGCTCGAGCATGGTCACGCGTATCATGATAGGCATCCTATAACTAGCCTGGCCTCTCAATAGACCATTCTCCGCGTTTTGTGATGTTTTCAACATGTGTAAATTCGTGTGCAATGATGTTATAGTACCTATATACGTAGGTTGGACTGGCCGTCGCGTCGGTGACCACTGGGAGTGTAAAAGGCGCGCTGCTTAAGGTGGCGAGCGCTTGTAGGCCTTGGCTTGTGCCGTCTCTTTCAGCTGCCCCCCGACCTTTCCCGTAGCTCAGCTCTGCCGACAGCCATGGGGGCATCTCAGTCGTCGCCACAACAGGATGAAAAGGTGTTCACGCCGGATACTTCTCTACACGTACGTGGCTCCCCAGCTCAAGAGCTTCATGGCTATGTCTCATGGCAGGCCAGTTCTCAGAAGACGTCGTGAACCAGCTCGTTGACCACAAGGAGTCCCCCGAGATAGCCCATGAACGCCAACTCACCATAGACGCTCACATCCGTGCCCGTATACAATCTGAACTGACCCGCCTGCATCGAGAGGAGGAGCGGGTCCGTGAGGAGATTGAGCGTGCGCTCGAGAAGGAGAACCTCGATCGCGAACGCAGCATGGCTGGCGAAGACAGCGCGGCTGAAGAGGCTGGATCTGCAGGTTCGGTCAAGAGCAGCGCTGCGCTCATGGGTGATCTCGAGGAGCTGCGCCAGAAGGTTGAGAAATATCATGCGCGCCAACAATCGGAGGAGCTCTCTGCTGTCCGTACGAAGGGAGAGGAAGTCGTCCTGTGTTATCAGTGAGTCCACCATTGTAATCTCGCAATCCCTATTCACCTGGTCTTCAGGTCAAATCCTACGACCACTTTAAATTGTTGGAAGACCGTAGAAGAGTTCAAGGCATCCGTAGCCCGAGTAGAACAGGTGCGTGTCAGGCGTTCATATACATCTATCGTCTTCCTCATTCTGCATATAGCACTACGTAAACTCTTTGCGGTAGTACTACATCGTAGGCAGTAACGTCCACGTATTCCACACATTATTCGTAAGGTGTCAGGCGTACACTATGCGAGAGCTTCACTACGATAGAGACGTTTCGTCCGTGGTTCAGTCACGTCAAAACGAGTAAGCGTGACTGGGGTCATTATAGGCTCATTTGCGTCCGTTCACAGTCCGTCGAGGTCATTCAGAATCGTCTATGCGGTCCGTCCTTCCACTTGTCCAACCTAGAATCACTATCTGGGCAGCTCGTTTTCTTCGCCGTACGCGAAACCTACCGACTCCCAGGGTAAGTCGTCCAATTGTGAGTAACCGGACCCAGTGCTGTACTCCGAAAGGCGGTTATTCGACGCTACTGACGACCTGTAGCGATTCCAGGGCATGTAGCCGGCGAGCAGGGATCTTCGATTGCCCTCATTGCCCAAAGCCATTAAGAGGCTAGACGGGACGCCCGATTGGCCCTCTTCCATGGCGCTCTGCGTGGAATATACTGAGCCAGAGCTCAGCGTTGAAGCTTGGTGCATGAGTCCATGCTGAGTGGGCGGGAGTTGGTCGGATGCTGCCAGAGGCTCACCCACCGCGCGCGCTCGCTGAGGATTTCTGCGGGGTAGCGGGGGAGGGTGGCCTGCCTCCGGCCGTGTGGGTGTGCCGTTCAGATGGGCTATCGGTGCGGGTGGTCGAGGGGAAGGATTCGGAGTGGGCTTCTCGGGATCTAAGTCATGCATCAGTAGGCACTGGTGCGTTCATACCCATCGAACTTACTGGAGGCTTCCTTCTTCAACTCGGTAGTACTCCTTAGTGTCGACTGATTGGATACGAAGGTAACTTTGCGTTCGTGTGACCCATGCAGAGGAAGCGAGGGCCGGTATTGAGACACCGGATGCGACAAAGTAGACGCATTTCGGCGGGTGTTCTCTCGAATCTCGAGAAAGGCCAGCTGTGCATGATCAGCGACAATTGCAAGCGTCCCGGTGCGCAGACTTACGACTTCCTTGCGCTCTTTCGCAGTCCTCCGTTTGATGCATCTACCCCACCAAGTCCAACCAATCACGGCAACGAGAGCAAGCACAACACCCGCTGCAGTGCCCCCAGCGATTGCTGCTATCGGTATATCTGATGTGGCGGCGTTTGAGACGCTGCCGACCGTAGGCAAGGAGGCTGACCCGGCTGAAGTCACCGTAGTGGTGACGAAAGACGGCGAAGCGGGGACTTCGACAGTTGTGAATACAGGCGTAGGCGCGTGCAGAGACGCCCCGGATGGGGAGGAGGAGCTCCTGGTCACATCAGCAGAGGTGGAGGGCATTTGCGTCGGTTGGGGACGTCGGAAGGAGCCCGAGGAAGAAAAAGAGGAACGAGTGCCTTGAGGCGTACGGAGTAATATAGATCATCATGGATATAATTCTGTCAGGAGCAGAACAAGGGAAGAGAATGAGCTGCCTCGTGTCCGGGGCCTGTGAGCTCTGGGCCTCATGTTCTCACCCCGGCCGCGCGGCTCAAGACCAGAAGGGACACAAGAACGCCATCGAACACATCCACCGAGGTACCGGCAGGAACGAGGCCACCCGACCAGAGACCTGGCCTAGGAGCAGGACACTATGTCAGACTGGAGATGCTCACAGCGACGAAATACAGCAGTGGTAACAAAATAGCTAACGACTACAGGCCCTCAAGCTTCAGCGGCGGGAACAGTAACATCGGCATCCTCCATCGCGGCAAGGGCTTCCTCGTTCAATGCTTCCGCCTCCGCCAACACCCTCTCCTCTAGAGCATTCACACGAGAAAGGGCGTCCCTCCTCTCGCCATCAAGCTCGGCATACCGCTCTTGCAACCTGCGTTCCCTCTGCTCCAACTTCTCCACCTCTTCCCTCAGTGATGCGAGCCGGATCGGCCCCATCGCCGTCTCATTCGTACGCAGTTTCGAGAAACTCTCGTACTCCTCCTTGGTCTTCTGCAGTTCCGTGAAGGCGTCTGTGATACGTTTTGAGAGGGCCCCAGAACGAGCTTGGTAGCCCCCAAGGATGACATTCAGCTTCTTCTCCGATTTGGCGGCTTTGCTGGCCTCCTTCGACATCGCTTCGCGGAAAGCCTCCAGCTGAGCGTTGTAACCTGCGACGCGTGACTCGTGCGAGATTGTACTGGGCTCGACCCAAATGTTCGAGGTAGGGTCGTAGACCAACTTGTCGCGCGTGTGGACCCATGAGAGGGTTTCATCGACTTCGTCCAGACCAGACAGCGCGACGACGCCCTGCTTCACCACATCCTTATGTGCGCCAGGGTAGCCAAGGGATGTCGCGAGCTCATCATGGATCAGCGACTTCGCAGTCGCGAGCGTCTCGTCCGGAGGCATCTGATATGTCGAGCGAGTGCCGCCTGGATGCACTGTACCCGGGAGCGGGTGTGCTATGGAGTCGTGGTGCAGCAAATCCGCGATCTCCGCATGTACGAGTCGTGCGGCAGCTCCGAGTTCGGCTGAGTCGTCATCGTCGACAGTCAGATCAGCAATAAGGCGTGCGACGTCGACGTTTGCAGGGCGAGGAAGATTGCGCTGTACGGCTTGGGACCGACGCGCAAGAGCCTTCCGCTCTTCCTCCTCTCGTTGCCGCTTGATCCGGGCATCTCTCTCTGCCGCGTCTTCCTCCGTCATCGGGGCACCCGCGACCAGTTCTTCCTCCTCATCTTCAGGAACAAGCAATTCGAAGTTGTTCTCAGGCTTTGGCAGGCTCATGAAACCAGTCTTAAGAGCTCTCTTCACGGAGGACTGACGGAGGCGTTGGTCCCGGGGAGTGTCACCGATGGCAGAGAACCCGTCTTCCACATTGATGCGGAGACCGTCGCGCATGGGAGTCCTCATGGCGGTTGCTGGTGTGGTCGCAATATCCGTCCTCGGCGTTGCTCCAGGCCCTAGACCCCCGGCATGAAGGGGCGTTGCGAGCGGATTCGGTGTAAAAGCGACCTGATGACGAGGAGTGGCGCCCTCAAACCCGGTACCACCCTGAGGACCGACATGAAGGGGAGTGTTCTCGTCGCCGAGGAGTGGTGTCTGGGCCATGGTCATGTTCCTGAGGTTCCGAGCTTCTGACATGACATTATCGTCTAGGTGAATGGTGTAGCCGTTAGTCCTCTCGTAAGTTTCAGAACGGCCGTTGTGATGTAGCTCACATTGCGGCGCTGTGCGAGGAGTCCGCGCCATCTGCGCCTTCTCCAAACCCTCGTAATCGTTGAGTAGTTTAGTAGATGCCTCCGTACCCCCGCTGACCAGAGCTTTGGCGTTCTCGCCAGCTTGCCCAATCTTGACTATGTCCTCTAATTCCTTCTCACCAACCTGAGCAGCGGGCAAGACCAACTTGCGCCGTCTGCCGATCGACTCGGCCTCCTTCAACTTCTGAATCTGGGCATCACGGGCCGCAACAAACTTGGTCTGATGCGGGGCGTCGCCTTTGCCGTCACCCTTGCGTTGACGCTTCCTGCGTTCGGCCTCCTCATCCTCCGGCTTCCGCTTGTTCTCAAGACGACGCAGAGTTTGACCCACTGGAGCCGTGGTTGCGCGGGCCTGTTCATCGGACGTGTCGTAGAACCCTGGAGCAGGTTTCTTCTCGAAGGGGATGTCTGCATTGTAGTCCATTCCTTTCTTCTTGGTCTTGTGCCGCATGCTATGATATAAATGAATGGAAGAACCGGGCGGGAGGCTTAACAGAACAACGTACATGATGCCCGCCGCCTTCAGCTCTCTCTTCTTCTGCAGCACTGCAAGACGCCTTGCTTCCTCAAGCTGCCGCTCGCGAGCCTTGCGCTTGGCTTTCTTGCCCTGCGTATTCGCGAGACGCGCGCGAGCTTCCGAAAGCATCTCCTTCTCTGCAACGGGCTTAGTCTCGGGCCAGCATTAAGTCGTGCGTAGGACCCACCATCCTCATCCATGTCAATGGGATCCGGACGCGCAGGCTTCGTTTCCGGGTCAGGATCTATCTCTCCCGGTCGTAGTTTGCGGACATCATCCGCACTCGGACCCGCCTCCCCACCCGGCCCCGCCAGTCCCAACTCCTCGTTCTCCTTGGCTTCAGCCTCATCCAGCAACTTCTGGTAGCGCTCCAAACACTGTGTAGCCGTCCGCCCGACAATGGGAGCGATCGTTCGCCATTGGGTGGGCATGAGTTTCGCCAGATGTAGCAATTTCTCGTCCTCGGTCTGGTTTCTCATGAGTACAGGGTAGGGACCCGCCTGAAGAGGACGCACGCACCTTAGACCACTCTGTCTTCTTGATGGAGGGGTCAAGCCATTCATACCACCGTGCTTTGCATTGTTTGGGGGTCTTCCGAACAAGCAAGGACGAGATACGAGCCCTACGAGCGTGGCAGTCAGACGCAGCAGGATATAGAAGGAACCAAATTGTGAGACGTACCATTGGTTTTTTCCATACTTAGCAATGGCAGCTTTGAGAACCTCATCCTCGGTGTTCTTAAACACCTCATGAATATGCGATAGACAAGTGGACGACACGGGCGGTACGTACTTTCCAAACACCTAGAACAGCGTCCTCTGGTTAGCAACTGGTTATAGCACAGGAAGCGGCAGTACACGTACCTCCTTTAATGATGATGCGAACCATTATGGCGGCAGCAGTGAAGACACCGGACAGGCAAACGGGACGGGGGCTGAATGGTGGTCAAAGACGACAAGTCCACCTCGGCGCCACCGCAACCTATCATCCCCGCACGTGACCATTGCCAAAATACTCCCTTGCTCTATACAAGCCTCCCCGACGCTCTGAGTTGTGGCTTCAGGCCGAAACTTTCACTACCATGCCTCCTTCACTACCGTCTAGAAAACGCAAGGCGTCTGCTGTGGATGATGTCGTTCAAACCATCCAAAATCTCGAAAAGGAGCTCACTACTGCCGTGTCCACTGGCCTCTCTTTGAATCCCCTTGCTGACCTCTTGGACATCGCTTTGGAGACCGAGAATTCCGTCTATCTCTCCAAGACTATATACTCTCTGTACCGTGTCTTTGTGCTTGCTATTTTGCGAGGCCTTCTCTCTGGTCCCGACCGCAACCCGGAAGCACGGGCTGTCCGCACCTGGCTATTGGAGAGGTTCCACGCTTTCGTCGAGCTCCTCGCAGGTACTCTAAAAGATGAGGAAGTGACTTTGAGGGTACGTTGAACAATTTCAGACTTCATTTTCGATTTGGTCTCTGACACAGCTCACACGAAGACGTCCGCTCTGGACATCATGCTCTCTCTTCAAAAACATCTCTCTTCCTCACTCACTCGTACGGCCGATAGCAAGCAGCCGCCTCAATTCCACGCTTCCCATTTTCGAAAGATAGTCTCCGCTCTTCTCCTCTGTCCTCCTCCGCCCCGTGCTACAAACACAAAGAAGCGTAAGATTGATACCCATGGCATCGACGATCGTACCCTCGACCCCGAAGTCCGCGACCATTTCGTGAACACCTGGCTCAGTGTCCACGACGACATCAGATGGTTCTTCCTTCGCGATGCAGCGCACGTACCGCCTGGCCTTTCTTCCGACGCCTTTCACTGACTTTTCCCATGCAGAATTTCACTCGCGAAACATCCTCATAGCGAGGCGCCCCAGCTGGCGGGGAATTTGCTATCTATCCTCGAGCGTCTTACAACATTCCCGACGGAACCTTCAGAGCTGAATCAGTGGTGGGTGGAGGAGCTTGGCTCCAAGCCACCATCTTTGCAAAAGATTGGAGAAGACAATGACGAAGCCGACCTTCCGGAGGAGACTGGGGAAGACCATGAAGACGACTGGCGCAAGTTCTTTGACGAGCCCGCCGCGAAACCTCTAGATGGCAAGAAGGCATCTGTCGGGCGTGTACATACCCTGACACTTCACCAATCCTTGCACTCTCTTGCCGCGCATCGAGCTGTCTTCACTAAGACTTGGCTCGCGCTGCTTCCTCGGCTGTCACTAGGCTCGCTCGAGTCGAGGAAAGCCTTCTCTCTCCGCGTGCTGAACGTGCTTCACCGAGGTGTGATCCCTCACCTGACGCGACCCATCTTGATCATGGACTGGGTGAGCTCTTCCGTAGACCACGGTACGAAACCTCGTTTCCTTGCTGGTAGCCGACGAAACTCAATGTGCTTCTCAGGGGGTACCATCGGTCTTCTAGCGCTCAATGCGCTCTTCACGCTCATGAAAGAGTACAACCTGTACGTTCCCGTGCCTCTTGTCCCAGTCTTTCCGCGACTCCGTTCACGTACGATCGGTTTTCAGCGATTACCCATCCTTTTACACTCGGTTGTACGGCTTCCTCGATAGAGATGTGCTACACCTCAAGCACCGCGCTCGTTTCTTCCGACTTACGGAACTCTTCCTCAGCTCGACGTAAGTAGCTGTCAAGCAACCTCGCTCCTACGGCAATGCGCTAACCTGACCGATGTTTCCCACCGACTTGATGAACAGACACCTTCCCGCAACCATCGTCGCATCATTCGTCAAACGATTATCGAGACTTTCCCTCACCGCGCCGCCGGCCGCAGTCATCATGCTCATTCCCTTCACGTACAACATGCTACGTCGGCATCCTGCGCTGATGGTCATGATCCATCGCTCCGAGGACATCGCCGGAGCCGATTACGGTGAGTTCTCCATCTGTCTATCTGTCTTTCCGGAACCGTTCTGATAGCCTTCATACGCATTGTCCTATCCCTCATTCCCCTCGTGGCCTCTCGGCGCTCTGATGTCAGATGGTTTCATGGCTGCGGAGCCCAATCCAGCGTTGACGAATGCTCTTGAGAGCTCATTATGGGAGCTGTACAGTCACAGACAGCACTACCACGCGTCTGTCTCGACGCTTGCCAAAATCTTTGAGGAAGCATTCACACGACCAAGTTATGCGATGGAAGACTTCCTAGATCATACCTACGGAACGGTACGTCTGTCACCGTCAGACCTTCGTGCGACCCCATCCGAGTCCTTGTGCCACGCACGCTCATATTACGTTCATAATCCTTTAGCTATTCGACACGGAAGTGAAGCGTAAGATTCGGAAAGCACCCGCGGTTGCGCCTTCTCTGGAGCTTTCCCAAGTACTGGATGAAGATGGTTTGGGTGACCTGTGGACAATTGCTTGACTGAATGACCGTACATTTAAGTCTTCTAGCCAATGATCGACCTATGCCGAGTGTATCCAAAGCACGCACGTATTTTGGCATGTATTGCCTACTTGCGTCAAGCGGTCCGGGATGCTTTGGCATTCGTCGTCAAGAAGACAGAATCCACACTGCCAGACGGGTATCGATCCGGATGTTGTGGGCAGACTGCGACCTATGTACTCAATTATACGGACGCAGGACCGGTTGCCCCATCACCACAAGGATCAGCCCCTGTCGAACAAGGCAACTTTAGGATCTTGAAAGCCGAGGCAATTGTCATCAGCCTCACGCGTGTCCTCGGCACTGGGCGTTAGCGCCGGGCGGCACCGCACAGTCGGTGTTTATGGCGGCCTTCAATGAATGGTAACAAGAGGCCGGCAATTCACCGAAATAGCATACGTGCGCGGACGAGGAGGGGGTGGAACCATCGCGTTCCGGGTGACCGGAGGCAAGGACAGGAAAGCGCCCAGCTGACGATGCTCGGATATCCGATGCCTTACACTGCCCACGCGTCATCTACGATAGATGGAGTAGTATATCCGATTACGGGGCCAGCGGAGCGGGCAAAAGCGCGCCTGGGAATGATTAAGCTAAGAACAAGAGGGTCATACATAGTCGCAGGATGACCTACGAGCGGAAGAACGCGGCGAATGAGAGGTACACGGCTGTAGGCAACGGTGGACACGGATGGAACTTGTAAGTTGGTTGTAGCAGACTGGCAGTGACCTCAGGAGAAGCGCGGGAAAGCTAGTGCTAGTGCCGTGGGCGGAGGCGAGTAAATTTGGCAGGCAGCTGGAAATGCGAACGTATCGCTGTCGTGTAGAGTGTAACAGACAGCGACCCCGAAGGGGAGAGGGCAGGTGCGATATGCTACCCGCCTGAGGGTCTCTTCATCACCGGGTTTTCAGATAGTGGGGCGCCTCTGGAGCGCTCATAAGGGCGTCCGTTTCTGACATTAGCGGCCATCAGAAACTAGGTTGACTTTACGATGACTGCTGAGCGGTGATCACAGAGCTACAGAGACTATGGTGAGATATCTCTACACAGTACATGTACGGTCAATGGCTGATAGATTGGTGTTACGACCTGATCAAGGTAGAAAAGAGAGGCGGGGGAAGTGGACGAAAGACGACAAATGAGGGGGCCGGGGAGCAAATGAAAGACCGTGGAAGACCGGAGTAGACGCCGTGCGGTGCATGATGAGACAAGCGTCGGGTGCTCGGCAAGCACTGGCAGCGCTGACGTCGGACCAAGTCTGAGCAACGCCTGGTGGGATCCGCACGACATGAGAACATGCATGCTGACCGCAGAGACTCTGACAGTATGCAGCGCTGGGGGCGGAGAGCGGTGGCCCTGAATGCGGAGGACGGGTTGTGTACGAGAGCGCTGCAGGAACGCTCACAGCGGTACTGTGTAATGTACTTATTAGTCTGACTCGCTTGGCGGGTGCGGTTCGGCCGGTGTCTTGTTTGCAGGCGGGGATGCTGCCTGATCGGGGCGGTTCCGGCGTCTGTGGGGAGTAAATTGGCCGAGAGGCCGGAGAGGCGTGTGCGGTGATTGGGTGCCTAAGTAGGGCGGGAGAAGTAGCCGGAGAATGAACGCCGGGGAATAAAGGTGGTCGCCGTCGGCGAGTAATCCCTTCTCCGCCCGGCGTCTGCCCTCCCTCCGCCACTCCCACAGGCCGCATCCTGCCATCTTAACCTCCCCCCACTCAACGTCCTCCCTCCCTTCTCCCTCCCCCATCCTCCTCTCCGCCCCCTTCTCTCCACAGCCCCGTCCCCCGCCTTTCCACTCGACCCCCCATCCCTATCGTCTCCGTCTCTCCTACTCCCCCCACACCACTTCTCATATCAGCCCCGCTCACCTCTCAAGTCACCGTTGACCCCACAAGCGCGCTCACCATGGACCAACCCATCGCAAACGCAAACGCAAACGCAAATCCTTCGTCCGTCCCCCTCGTCCCACCATGCTCTCTGTACCTGATCTTTGTCTCCCGTCTAGCACAAAGACTCCCGTCGTCAGAGGTGCTCGGGCATGCACCGTGTGTAGGCTTGCCAAGGTGCGTTCCCACCCTCCCCTGCTTGGCGCCTGTCCGTTCAACCGTTTCGATTCAGATGAAATGCGTCGGGGCGGAGGATGGCACCAAACGCTGCCAACGCTGCCAGAGATCAGGTGCCGAGTCAGTCTCTGTATGCTCTCTATCTGCTGCGGTATCCTCATCTCCTCGTCGCAGCTGCATTTTCGAAAAGCATCGTCGCGGCCGCAAGCCTGGCTCAAAGTACGTCATCTCCCCACAGTTCTTTGTCCATTTCTGATACTGATCCATTGCATACAGACTCTCCGAAGCTTCGAAGATGCTTCGTCGTCTCGAAAAAGGCCTCAACAATGCCAAGGCAAAGCAACCCAATCCCGGTCTTCCCCACGCTTCCACCTCCGCCGTACCATACGGCCAGGAGGGTGGTCTTAGCTCCGCCAACAACGGCACGCACTCCGGTGCACAGTCCGATTCCGATATGGAAGAAGAGGACGAGTACCGCCAGGACGACCAGGCGCTCTACGCCGACCGCGAGATCCGCAAACACATGCGCAGTTCCTTCCTTGACGTCGTTATGAACAAGGAACCTTCCGCTGAGCCCGCTCGGCCCCAGTCAGGCAGCCCCTCCGATCGCTCCTCGTTCTTCCAAGCTCAAGCTAAGGCGCCCTCTCAAAGCCCTATCCGTTCCCATGGCTCCCCGCAGCCTAAGCCATACAGCGCGCTTTTCGCCTACGCCCCCAAGGATCCCGTCGCAGCCGGCATCATTTCGGAGGCAGACGTCAGCAAATACTTTGATGCCTTCTTCCTCCGTCTGAACCCCTTCATCAACCTCTTCGACGCCGCGCTTCATTCCCCGGACTACGTCCGTTCCCGCTCGCCATTCTTGTTCACGACTATGCTCATGGCGTGCTGCAAGTTCTTCTGCCCGGCCAGCTACCCCGACGTCAGACGCCTCGCGCACGAGTGGTGCGTGTACACTTTCGCCGAGGGCACGGAAAGCGTCGAGACCGTTCAAGCGCTTGCGTGCATGACGTACTGGAAGGAACCCGCTGATCGTAGGACATGGACGTACATTGGGATGGCCTGCCGCATGGCTGTCAACCTCCGCCTTAATCGCTACGTCGGTGGCCACCAGATGAACGAGAGCATTGATCAGATGCTTGAGCGTAGGAACAGAGAGCGCGCCTATCTCGTCCTCTTCGTCCACGATCGCTCGCTCAGCATGCAGACGGGCAAACACTGGATGCTTCCCGAGGACGAGCTCGTGCGGCACTCAAACAATTGGCATAAGGAGGGTGCGATCGGCCAAAACGCGGAAATCCGTCCCGAAGACGTGATCCTCGCCGCATTCGTCAACCTTCGCCTAATCGGTTCCGAGGCCACGGACACGTTCTACAATCGTACCAACATGTTCGAGAATCAGCTCGACAAGTATAACGAGGAACTGGACGGATGGCTGGCAACCTGGATCGCCGAAATGCGCAAAGGTAAGCTGCCTTTATCTTCACTTTCCTTCAGTTTTCTCAAATTGTTGCATGCAGCATCTTCGGCAACTGAGTTCCACACATCGTTCCTGAACTTCTTCCAGTCGCATGTTAGATTGTTCCTTAACACCTTCGGCCTTAATCTCTCGAATCTCGAGGTAAGCTAGCTTCCTTACCAGAAGATTTAGTCCTGATCATCTTCTAGGCGAGGCGCATTATGCCCAACCCTCAGGCAGTGCGTCAGTGTCACCAGAGCGCGCGTACCAACTTGCAAATAGTCTCCCATGATTTCGCCGCAATGCATGTTCTGGTAAGCCCCTCTGTTGGTACGTTCGTTTATCGCTTATGTACATGAATTCGTTCCTTTGCATTAGCAGTACTGCCAAGAGTCGATCACTGTGATGTCGGCCTACGCTGCCATCGTTTTGCTGAAGGTATGTTTCATGAAGCTGACGCGATTGAATCAGCTAATGGCGGCCCTTTCGAAGCTGATTCGAAATCCTACGACGATGATCCACCTCCGGGAGAATGTTGAGGACATCCACGCCCTGATCAATAAGACAGCTGATGCGTATCAAAGTGCCGGCCATCTCACTGGTTCCGAGCTTGACTCTGCCGCATATCACGCCCGCTTTCTACGACGCTTGACAGCGATGCCCCAAGAGCAACGTGCTCGTCCACAGACGGAGAGAAGTGGTTATAGGCCGGAGGGTGTTCCTCCTTCGTTTGCTCAAGGTAGCGTTATCCGCGATCTCAAAGTCGTAATTCATATTCATTGACGGACATTGTCAGGTCTTCCACCGATTCGTGCTTCTCAGCCGTCGGTGGGTTTACCGGTGGACGCGTTCTCCGTGCAGCGTTCTGCAGCCTCTCATGGACTGAACCCACCGCACCTCGCTCCGTTATCCATCCCCGGCTCCACCAACGGTGTGCACAGCTTCAATCCAAGCTACCCCGACTATGGCATGGACGCTGCAGTTCGCAACGGTCTGTCACGGCACAATGGGAGCGGCGCGCCGGCATCTTTCGTGGGCGGCGATTCCGACGACTCGTACTTCAACTACATGCTCGGGGAGATCCCTTACGCCGACGGTTTGTTCTCGACAAGCGATGGCTCGCCACACTCCGGTATGGGTCTCATGAGCAACCACAATGGTGGGGCGACGGACTTCTCGTACGGTACGACAGCGCCGTCGAGCCATTATCGCGAATCTGGCTTGGCTCCTTCGCAGATGTCCACGTTTGGTTTGGGCGGGCAGGGGCCCAGCCGCTCATATCAGCATCTTCCCCCAATGCAGCCATACGTCACGAACGGCTTTGACTCGCGTTGAGAGACTACGAGATTATCGCATCCACATTTCCCCATGTCCAGCCCGCATCCAGCATTGAATCTTTGGACTCTTCGCACGTCGATTGAGCGGGTCTTGTTCGTTACCCGTTCCGCGCACTCCTCTCATGTCTTTTGAAGCATGTTTGGAACATTATAAGAGTGTAATTCTCGTCTCCTGTGTCTCTTGCCATCTACATCGCGTCAAATACGTTCTGCCGTCTGCCACTGTCGACGTTCCCCCATGTTACGCAACCATCGTCTCAGCTGTATCCTCCGTCCTGCTCTCATGTTGCGTTCCCCTAGCCTTGTCACACACCGTCGTAGTATTGTTATATTGTCGCTGTCGCCATTTTCATGTTTATTGTGTACAATACAATATGAGCTGCATTAGCATGACGCTGAGCAAGAGCACAGCCGCTGTAACTTCTTCCAAGCGTGTGTTGATTGCAGCAGAGTAGCTGACGAAACCACCGTCGCTCTAGCATCTCACTGGTGTACTACGCGAACACGACACAATGATATCAAGAGTCGACCCCTATGTAGAACACTATGACATCTCTCCCTACCGCAGCAACGATTCTGGGGATACCTCGGCATGCGACAAAGTCAAAGGAGCGCACGTACAGCGGGCGCGGCGCGATCTGAAATGCGGTCGGCTGGGAGTGCGTGTAGGCGACGTTGTGGACGTGTATGACGGCGCCTTTTGCAGGGCTGCTGGTCGACAGGGCGAAGTAGTCCGGGTAGGTCGGACACCACCTGTTGATGCGTGGACGTGCGGGCGCCCGCGGCATCCGTCAATTAGCCTTTCTGTCTAGAGATGACGACGCAGGGCCGGGGACGCATCACTGCCCATGGAGATCCCGGGTCGTCTCACGACTGCTCCGTAGCCGTAGCCCCTGAGAGATGCTGCATTCTTTCGCGACGGTCTCGAGACTCGTTAAGCGATCGATGATCCGTGACATGCGGATGCAAAGCAGTTGCACGGACGCCTTGACGCAACCGGGCCGCGAGCTTTCCCAAATGCGAGCCGGCCCTTGACCATACAAGAGAGCACGAAGGTACGTACCTGAACTGATGGCCTCCCTCGGCAAAGCTCGTGCCAGTCACGTAAGGTTTGCCTCCGTACAAGTTGCCCATATCCCACAGCGAAAACTTTGAGCCGTAGGCGGCACCCACGCTGTATCGGACAGGAGTGCGAGGAAACGCAAGCAGGATCAGTCAATGGGAAGGCCAAGCGAAGCTAGGCGGACAGCGAGAAGACAGCAGCATCGCAGCCGGCGGCGCAGGCGGCACCTTCGCCATTAGCCTGCGGCTTCGGCGGGTGTCCGGCCTTCGTCTCCCTCTGCCCTGCTCCGGCCAAGAGCCCGGTTCTCGTACGTACGCGAGGCGCAAGATACCCAAAACAAAATACTCACAAGTCCGCCGACGGGTCCCGACGCCACGCGACAGAACCGGACCATTTTGTGGACAGGCCGGAGGCAGCATCTGCGAGCGCGCGAGGTTCTACAAGCTCCAAGACAGAATGGTTGCGCCAGGAGTATTGCTCGTTCTCGTCCGGGTCGGACCGCCAGTCCGTGAGGAAGACGGAGCCCCGGCAGTCTGCGACGATCAGCTCCTTGCTCGTCGACGGGTGGGAATCGACGCTGGTGAGGGGGTGGGGGAAGTTGATGACATACGCCGTAGGTTGCGGACGTTCAGGGAGGGTCGCGCCGGGAGAAGGGGGCGAGGCTATATTGAGGTTCGGGTTGAGGTCCCAGACGATGAGTACCTTGTCATCTGTGGTGCGAACAGTGCGAGGTCCGGACGGCCAGGGGCGCAGAAGTGAGTGCTATCGTAAAACATTGGTTCGAGAAGTGAGATTAGAACTCACCGGACACGGTGGCGACATAGCGCATGCTGTCTTCGCTCTGCCCGCCGCAAAAGGTCATATCGTTGACCTTTCCATGGTGGCCACTGAGGCCGCCACCGAACGGGAAGATTTCTTCCTCGGACGAAGCGGATTTTGATAGGAGGTAGAGGCTAAAGTCGGCGCCTGCAACGGCGAGCCTGTGGGGAGATGAGGGCGCGGGGGAGGGAAAGACAGGTAGGCACGTACTCTATTGACCAGACATCGGCCGAGGAGGGGGAGCTGACGCGAGAGGACCAGGCGATGGCGGTGATGCGAGAGCCAATGTGGAAGTTGGCTATGGTCTTGCAGGAGGATTCTGACTGGATGCGGGGTGCGCTCAATGGACTGAGGGCAGTGGCGGGCGAGGACGAGAAGCACTCACCAGGAGGAGGACCTCGACGGAGTGGGCGCCGCCGACAGCAATCAAGTCTGCGGCGTCGTCTTCGTAGCATGCGCGGACGACATATACCTCTGTGCCGTGCGAGTGGCGGACATCCATGGCGAGACCGTCGAGGCTGCCGTCGAGCGTCGCGTTCGCGTTCGCGTTCAACGCAGTCCGAGTCCGGGTCTCGCGCGCGCGGGGGCCACGTGCGCGCGATCGCGGGTTGTTTGCGCGTGTTGGGGGCACGGGACTCTCTGCAGGCCACAGCGCGGCCGACAGCGAGCGAGTACATGCCTCCACCGCCCAAGCATCCCAACCCACTCCTCTTCGTCGCCGTCTCTGCACTCTCCTTCGTCGCATTCTACGCAACGCTCAAGCACAGATCAGTCCACTACCCGGCGTCCGCTCAGCCTCGTCAGCACGACCACCCCCTCGTCCCTCCCCGCCACAAGGATTCCTGAACGTTCCCATCCCGCTTCACGTCACTATGCCTGCCATCATTGACAAGATTGCGGACGCTCTCCATCTGACCAAGCACTCTCACAACGACTCTGCCCCGGACGCCGAATCTCCCAGCACGTCCGCTCCACAGCCTGCATTTGACCATAACAAGGTCACCGTCCTCTTCGTCCTCGGAGGCCCCGGTGCAGGTGAGCACGTCTCTCAGCCCTCTTTCTGAATCTACCATGACTAGCTGCGAAACCGTCACCAAGGCAAGGGCACCCAGTGCGCGAATCTCGTCAAGGACTTTGACTTCTGCCACCTCTCCGGTGGGTGATCCACCCCGTCTACATGGTCCATCCCGCGTTCTCAGACTCCCTTCACCCTCTTCGTCCGCCATCTACCCGCCTCACCCCATCCCATTCTATTCGATCCTCAGCCGGCGACCTTCTCCGCGCAGAGCAGAACCGCGAAGGGTCCGAGTATGGCGAGATGATTCGGCGGTACATCCGCGAGGGCCAGATCGTCCCCATGGAGGTCACCGTCAAGCTCCTCGAGAACGCCATGCGCGCCGCTCTCTCCGAGAACCGTCCCGGCGAGGGCTGGGCAGCCGGCAAAGGCCGCTTCCTCGTCGACGGCTTCCCGCGCAAGATGGACCAGGCATTGAAGTTCGACGAAGACGTGCGTGTGCTGCAATTCACGATCCTCGTCGCTTCCATGTGATTTCACGCAATACACCCAGGTTTGCAAGTCCTCACTCGTTCTGTTCTTCACCACGACCGAAGAGGAGATGCTGAAGCGTCTTCTCGAGCGTGCCAAGACCAGCGGTCGTGAGGACGATAACGAAGAGAGCATCCGGAAACGCTTCCGTGCGTATTTGTGGCGCTGGCGGAACGATCGCGCATTGACCCGCTCTCCAGGTGTCTACAAGGAGCAGACCATGCCAGTCATCGAGCACTACAGCAAACAGGGCAAGGTCGCAACCGTACGTCCCTCGCAACCATTCATGCCGCGTCCTGTTCCTTAGCATTTACCATGATCAGATCGACGCGACGGCTTCTATCGAGGAGGTTCACGAGAAAGCCAAGGCGGTGGTTGCGCAGCTATTCTCTGGGGATGTCAGCCGTAACGTCACTGCCTGAAGGACCCGAGGATAACGTAGACAGCTAGCGAATATTAGAACATGGGAATCCGATCTGCATCTATATGCGTGTATAACGTGGAGCTACAGTAACAATGAGCAGTCAAGGATGATACAGTGGAGACTTAAACTTCTACCACGCTGGTATTCTAGTGGTACAAACGCGAATCCGTAATCGCACTTCAGACGTACAAAGAAAATCCGGTGGAGTCGCTCATCGGCGTAGCTGCAGTGCAGGTCGCCTTGCCGCCGTTGGGGATGGTGAGGATATCCCCGTCCGCGCAGACGAAGTGCGCTCGCAGATCGATGTCATCCTGTTTGTATGCTCGTTCGTCAACTGTCAGAGAGGCGAATGAATAATTCCACTCACCGGCTCCCATTCCCAAGCCCCGCAGCGGAGGTACTCTACGACTGTCGGGCCGTCGCCCTCCGCAACGACCTTGCCGTCCTCGTCGTACCTCAGAGCTACGTGCGCTCCGTCCTGGTATGCGGCGCCAAGGACCGCACCCGCCTTCTCCGCGAACGCAGCGCGAGTAGCCTCCGAGTCCATGTCGTAGCTCGGGTCCCTCATCGGACGGACGATGACGACGTCGAGCGCAGCGGTGTTCCCCTTGGGCCCGAGCACGTCCTTGCCTCGCGGGGAGATCCTGAACGCAGGCTCCAGCCTGTCCACATTGACTGTGGAGAGGAAGTACACGAAGGGGCCGTTCAGGTCCACGATGGGCTCGTCTTCGGTGCTCTGTTCGTGGGGGACCCAGCGCTGGGTCGCGGGGTCGTAGACCTCGACGACGCCCGCGCCCTCGCGGGGATAGAACTTGGCGCTGGCAGCGTACCAGCGCGTGATGTTCTGGAGTGCGGCGGTCTTGAAACGCTCCATGCTGGGATCGGACGCGCGGAGGGCCTCGGAGTCGTGCAAGATGGACGCGTGGAGGGCGGTGGACGTAACGACGGCGGAGATCGACACCTGCTTGGGGGCGGCGGGCAGCCCTGGCGTGGCGACCGGAGGAGCGGAGAGGACGGTGACGGCGAGGTTGAGAGCAACCGAGCTATGCTTTCCGGAGACGAATGCCTGGACAGACTTGAGCTTGTACTGGATCGGATCGTCATGCTGAGAGGGTGGGAAGAGAGAGGAATACAATGCGTTCGCAGTGCCGCTAGGGACGAGGGCGAGGTGAATGCGGGGAAGGGGCTTGCTGCTTGGCTGATTGTTGAGAGCGTTGATCAACTCGTGGAGGGTGCCATCTCCAGATCCGAGGATGACAGAGACGGGATCGCTGCCGGCAGCAGTGGCTGCGAGGAAGTCAAAGACGATGGTTCCGGCGTGTCCTGCGCTTTCGGTCGCGACGACCTTGTCGGGCGTGATGTTGTGTTGGGAGAGGAGAGGGAGTACATGATTGTCGAAAAGCGCTTTCGAGGAGCGATCGCCCGAGACAGGATTGTATATGACGAGGAGAGGCATCTTGGGAGTGATACGCGACGGCTACTCGTTGAAAAGGTGTAGATGCCGCTGCTCCTGCTCCCGGTGGTGGAGATGTCGATTGCTGTGGATGAAGACGAAGTCGCTGGGCGAAGCGGGCTGCTGGAGAAAGGCGCCCGTGTCGAGAGAGAAGCGAAGCGAGAAAGAGGCGCCCCTAGTATGTAAGGCGCCTCAGACCCATGGGCGCTTGCCGGCCATTTCCCCACATCTGCCTCAGATCTGAATCTCGATCTCTCCGGATTGGCTTACGGCGATCATTCTCTTATCTTATCTATTGCCCGCAGTCATCGATCCAAGTCCGTCTCCCACTCAAGTCGGCCCACCCAGCAAGCGTGGTCCGATGCTCCGTCTACTTTCCCGCTCTCTTACCCCATCCTTTCCTCGCTCCTCGTTCCTTGCACGCGAAATGTCCTCCGCTCCTGCCTTCAAGCCATTCAACCTCGCTCTCATACAGCTTGGCCAGGTCGGCACCGACAAAGACGGTCCGTTGTCTGTTTCTGACGCGCTCTCCGTCCGAGTATTCACCCCCGCGCCTCATACAGAGAACCTCAGACATGCCAGAGAGATGATCTCAAGAGCAGTCACCGGTGATGGTGACGCACATCCCAGACCAGACCTTGTCGTACTGCCCGTCGGTCAAACTTGCCCATTCTCATGGAGCCTGTTCTCTGACCCCTCGCCTACTAGGAATGCTTCAATTCTCTTTATGGCCACCTTCACTTTCCAGTATATGCCGAGACGATTCGGTTCACGCCTGACAAACCGTACGACATTGCCTCATCTGAAAGCCAGACCGTAAAGATGCTGTCAGCTGCCGCCAAGGAAGAGGGTGTCTGGCTTCTTGGAGGTATCTACCACAGCCATGCTTGGATTGGATATATCTCCTCCACAAAGGCTCTCTCTAGGCTCCATACCTGAACGGGATGCGGGAACAGGGAAGCTGTACAATACTGCGACTGTCTATTCGCCCCAAGGTGTGGTTATCTCATTGAACGTCATATAGTAACCGCCTGCATGCTCTACCCTGCAGGAGAACTTGTCGCTACCCATCGCAAGGTCCACTTGTTCGATATCGATATACCTGGGAAGATCAAGTTCAAGGCGAGTCACCTTTTCGTAGACCGAAGAAATGTCCCTAAACGGTCATGTAGGAAAGCGAGACGCTCAGTGCAGGAAATACCCTCAACTATTTCGATACGGGCAAGTGGCATGGTGTTGTGGTGCGACCGCGCTAACACTATAACAGACTTCGCGCGTATCGGACTCGGGATCTGTTATGACGTTCGCTTCCCGGAGCTGGCTATGACTGCAGCTCGCCAAGGTTCATGTATTCCTATCCTCATCGAACATGTATGACAACAAGGTACGACACTTCAGGCTGTCAGGTGTTGATATATCCCAGCGCTTTCAACACGACGACGGGACCTCTGCACTGGGAGTTGCTCCAACGGGCACGGTACGTTGAAGGAGATGGAACGTCGTCGGTGGGGACTGACGCGTCGGCGATCTCAGAGCGGTCGACAACCAAGTATTCTTCTCGATGTGTAGCCCGGCGCGGGATTTGAAGCAGAGCTACCACGCGGTAAGATCTTCCTCTATACACGGGCGGCTGAGATGTTGAATGTTCGGTAGTGGGGCCACTCTATGGTCGTTGATCCAATGTAAGCACGCTGGTGCTGCGACCGCAGGCGGGGGTGGAGACTGACAGAGCGACACGTTCAGGGGGACAGTGATTGCGGAGGCGGGCGACGAAGAGGCCATCGTGTTCGCGCAGATCGGTAAGGGCGAGGAGAAGTGGCTTTCTGAAAAGTTTCAAGCTGACGAAGGTGCCAGATCCGAAAGTGCTCCAAGACGCGCGGGCGGGGATTCCGGTGACGACGCAGAGGCGGTTCGATGTGTATCCGGACGTGAGCAAAAGAGTATTGTAGTGTATGTGAATGACATGGCCAGTGTGCTGAGTACAAGACAAACGGAGGATGCTGCCACTACATACACAGTGCCTGCCTGCGTCAGTACATAGTGCCTGCCAGTGCTTGCTTGCACAGCGGTGGGCGACCCGATCGGATAGCGTAGCGCCCATTGTGCCTGCCATATTGACGAGCGTTGCCTGAAAAGGGAGGGCACAGTCGCGAAGATTCGAGGAGATTCCACTGCCTTCGACAGACGAGCATCCTTTTATCGCCTTCTCTCCTCCCCCGCCCTCCTCACCTTCCCTGCCCGTACCCGTCCAAGCCACTCACAGTCCCCCCAGCTCATCCTCCCCTTCAGTCCTCTGTCCACACCATGGTCAAGGAAACGTACGTTGAACTCGGATCTAATCCAATCACAGCGCACTGACCCTTTCGTCCCCTTTCAGCAAGTACTACGACCTCCTCGAGGTCTCGCCCGACGCTTCCGAAGCCGATCTCAAAAAGGCCTACCGCAAAAAGTGTGCTCCTCGCCAGATACCGTCCCTCGAGACCCTTGCGCTCATTCATGACGTTCCAGGGCGCTACGGCTGCATCCAGACAAGGGCGGTGACCCAGAACTCTTCAAAGAAGTGACCCACGCGTACGTCATTCCATATCGTTCTTTCGCGGGCCAAATATTCACCCACACTTCGCCCTTGCGTGTTTCCATCCGTACTCGCACAGATACGAAATCCTGTCAGATCCCCAGAAGCGAAGTGTATACGATGCGCGCGGAGAGGCTGGCCTCACCGATGCTGGCGGCATGGGTGGCATGGACCCCCAAGTGCGTACTGACTTGTCCGACGCTCCGATACCCGTGCTCACGCATCCGCGACTCTAGGACCTCTTCAGCCAACTCTTCGGCGGCGGCGCATTCTTCGGAGGCGGAGGCCCTACGCGCTCGCAAGGCCCGCGCAAGACAAAAGACCTCGTCCACCGCGTGCACGTCACGCTCGAGGACCTCTACAAGGGCAAGACCACCAAGCTCGCGCTCACCCGCAACGTCATCTGCGCCAAGTGCAGCGGCAAGGGCGGCAAGGATGGCGCTGTACGCCAGTGCAACTCGTGCTCCGGCCGCGGCATCAAGGTTACGCTCCGCCAGATGGGCCCGATGATCCAGCAGCTCCAACAGCCCTGCGACGAGTGCAGCGGCACGGGCGAGATCATCAACCACAAGGACAAGTGCAAGACCTGCAACGGCCGCAAGGTCGTCTCGGAGAAGAAGATGCTCGAGGTCCACATCGACAAGGGCATGCGCGGCGGCCAGACGATCACCTTCCGCGGAGAGAGCGATCAGGCGCCAGGAGTCACGCCCGGAGATGTCATCATTGTCATCGAGGAGAAGCCGCACGAGAGGTTCAAGCGGCAAGAGAACGACCTGTTCTACGAGCAAGAGGTCGATCTCTTGACGGCGTTGGGCGGTGGTCAATTCGCTATCAGGCATCTAGACGACCGCGCGCTCATCGTCAACATTGCGCCTGGCGAGGTTTTGAAGCACGGTGCGTACATGATGACTGCCGATGCGTACATAGACGGATACTGAGGCACACATACGTAGACGAGCTGAAGGTGATTCGCGGTCAGGGCATGCCCTCACAACGACACCACGAGCCCGGGGATCTCTTCGTCAGGATATCCGTCAAATTCCCCGACAGCATCAACCCCGAGGTTATTCCTCTGCTCGAGCAAGCATTGCCTCCCCGTGAGCCTCTGGAGAAGTTCCCACCATCCATCCACCTCGAAGAGGTTGAGCTGGATGAGGTCGATGCACGACAGCGGGAGCGAGCGGCGGGTGAGGACGCGATGGACGAAGACGACGAACATCCACGCGTCCAGTGCGCGAACCAGTAGTGTCCTGGAGTCGCGCGGGATGCTTGGATCATGGACATCATATCTCCACACGCTGCTCCGTGGTGGCATTGTATTACTGATAGAAGCGGCCGTGGAGACGAGGAGGAGTAGTGTGTATCGATTACTGTTGCATTGTCTACCGCATTCGCTTTGCACCTCATTCATAGTTTACGTCACCTAGTAGCATCACTCGCTAGATGTTGCGACAGCACATTGTTCTGATAGCATGGGTTCTTGGTCTCTCGTGTGTTTTGCGCGTGTCGAGGGAGCGAAAGAAAGATTTGAATGGCGAGGATGCGAGACGCGCCTGGCACGTGAACGCGAACTTGAACCGCCACCGCCGTCGTTGGCCTCGTTCTGACCTCACCGCGACCCCGCTCTCTGCCCCTCCCCACAGCCATCCCCAACCCTGTCTTTGCTCCGACCTGCTCTGCGATCGCTGCTGGCCTAAGCTGTAATCGCACGACACGCCTTTCCGCCTTGACATCAAACACGCCCCCCATGGCCACCCCGTACAATCCCAGCGAATCTTCAGGACCTCCGCGCAGGCCAGACATGAAGCGCAAGCTCGTCGTCGTCGGTGACGGTACGCGTTCATCTCAGCATCCTGCCTTCGCCCCCACCTAAACGTTCGCTCGCGAAGGTGGTTGCGGGAAGACGTGCTTGCTCATCGTGTACGCGGAGAACAGGTTCCCAGAAGTGAGTGACGAATTCTACCGCCCCCTCTCGCCCTGTCGTATTCATCACGGCTGCAGGCGTACATCCCCACCGTGTTCGAGAACTACGTAACTCTCGTGAACTACGACGGCAAGCTCATCGAGCTCGCCCTCTGGGACACGGCAGGACAGGAGGAGTACGATCGTCTGCGACCGCTGAGCTATCCGGAAAGTAACGTCATCCTGATCGTCTTCTCGGTCGACTTCCCAGTCAGTCTCGCCAACGTCCAGGACAAGGCACGTCCGTTCCTCTGTGTCCCCCAAGTCCATGTTCCGGGCTACATTCTGAGCGTACCCCTTACACAGTGGTTTCCCGAGGTGGCGCACTTCTGCGAGGGCGTGCCGCTTATTCTGGTCGCGACGAAGACGGATCTACGTAGAGACGAGCAAACGCGACGGATGCTTAGTGCGCAGGGCCAGGTGCCGGTCACTAGCGAGCAAGGAGCGATGGTTGCACGCGAGATTGGCGCAAAGTACATCGAGTGCTCGGCGAAGACAGGCGACAACGTGAAGGAGGTGTTCAACCTTGCATTGAAGGAGAGCGTGCGGGGGAAGTGGGGAAAGATGGTGAAGCAGCGACGGTGCGTTATCACATGACGACACTTGGATGACCACCCGGAGGGGAATCTTTGAGGTCCCCGCCGCGACACGACACGATGAGGAGGGTGAGAGGAGGTCGAGGGGCGCGTCGCATCCAGTACAGACGGCTGCCTGCGGAACCAAGCACCCAGTCCGGCGACGTTTAACCGTCCAGCTACCCCACAGCATAATGACCATCGTACATAGCACCTGGACATTGCTTTCGAGACGATCTATATCAGCACACAGTAGACTTGTTGGCGTTGGGTACTGTACTGACTCTTGCTTTCTGCTATTATCATTCTGTTTTCGCATGCGATTTGTTACCGGCGAGTCTCCGAGCAGTCCGTATCGAGGCGAAGAGCAAGTAGAAGAACATTACAGTCATTGTGATCGCTGTTCCTACATCCACCCATGCCAAGTCTTCGCGCACTCCCACCGGTATGACAAGTTGTAGCTGCTCATTGGGCGACGAGTCTTTGACTAGAAACAGTGGTAGAGGTGGCCATCCGGGATACGAAGCATACGGCTTGAGAAGTTCAGGAACTACTATCGGTCCTAGTGAAGAGCAACAAACAGTAAGCTCGAAGATGGCGGCATCCGACGACAAACCCACTTACTGTCATCGATGCACGCGAAGAAGCCTATAGGGTGCTTGAGCGTAATGGGATGGAACGCTGCTCCGGATGTCTCGGTTGGCCTGCCATAGCGTGCGTGCAGAGGAACGTCGACGGTGAAATTGGTGGCTTGCGCTCGAAGAGTAACGTGCTTATGTGTAGTGACGAGAAGCACAGAACCATTCGGATGTACAGCAGACACAGGCCGTTCGAGATCCGCGTCGCCCCATACCAAGGAGGTGTATTCTGGGCGCTGCGCGAGTTCGTATTGGTCCGCATAAACGTGCGGGTCTAGTTCGAGTAGAAGATGGAATGTGCAGTGGTCATCCCGTGAGGAAACATTGACAATTGTAGAGAGAGTGAAGTGGAAGCCCTGGGCGTCGAGGGAGGAGGAGAAGGTAGCGAGGGGCATGACGGGACGGAGCAAGGCCTCGAGCTCGCAGCCGCCGTCGCGCTTCCGCTTCCGGACTCGGACACGACCCTCCGCGATGGCCTCCACCATATCCTACCATCGCTCTCAATCGCTATCTCTCTGTAACTCCTACCATCATCACAAGCATCCTAGCCTAGATGTCTTCCGCCGATACCCCGGCTAAGGGCGTCCCGCCGCTCTCCGACCAAGAGCTTGCGTTAGTAGATGGCGTTCTCAAGGACATGACCGAAGGCGAGAGCGAGCCCACCATCTCAGTCACCGCTACGCCCGATGTCGGCACGCCGCCAGCTATGTTTGGTGCCGGAGGTCCTATGTAATTTGCTTCATTTCCTGTTCATTGAGGCTACACATTGATTGAACACACGTTGTTTCCGTGCCTCGTCTTCAAACTTATTCCCCTTAGGCTCAAGCAGTTCGACCAGTCGACCGCAACGAGCAGGGCAATCTCCCAAACAGCCACTCCCCCCAGATCTGTTGTCGGAATAGGCGGCAAGGGTATGTTCATCTCGTGAACCCCAGTACATACATTCGCTGAGCTACTAAAGTCGGGAAGCCCGACTATTCCGAGGCCAAGATCGTCCTTGCCATGGTATGAAGTTCAGTCGAGAGAACGCTTCGTGAGATTGACCCGCTGGTAAAGGTTGGATTGCCCGCGCGAGGCAAATCTTATCTGAGCAACAAGCTCATGCGGTACCTCAAGGTCGGTCATCGGTTATCACAGGTCGCTAGGCGCCCCTAACAGAGAAGAACAGTGGTTAGAGTACAGCGTCAAGGTGTGTACGTTGCGTATCGTGTGTGACATTCCGAGCGACTGACCCGCGGTCATAGGTATTTAACGTCGGCCAGTTGCGGCGGTCGCGCGCCCGCCAGAAGGCTCAGCAGTAGGCCGTTTCTCAGCTCTGAGCTCTGAGAGACTCACGGTCACCCACTATTCACTCACAGAAGCGGAAAGCGTGAGGATCACACGGCATCATACTTCAGCCACGACAATGCCGAAGCAACGAAGCTGCGAGATCAGCTTGCAACTGACAGCCTCGAGATGCTCATTCAATGGCTCAAGGAAGGCGGCAACGTCGGAATACACGGTATGCTATGTACGTGCAGTTGTCCAGCCATACTCCTGACGCAGGGTTCTTCAGATGCTACGAACAGCACGCGCAGTCGGCGACAGAAGATCGTCGACCGAGTATCCCGGGAGCCCGGATTCGTCGTGATCTTCTTGGAGTCTGTCTGTGACGATCCTGCCATCGTAGCGGCCAACGTTGCCTTGAAGGTCTCTTCGGGTGATCCAGACTACAAGGATATGTCGAGAGAGGAAGCCAAGCGCGATTTCGAACGTCGTATTCGAGAGTACGAGGCGGTGTACGAAACGATCACTGAGCCTCATTTGTCGTACCTCCGCATCAAGAACGTCGGGAGCCAAGCTACTCTGTGCCATATCCATGGTTATCTGCAAAGTCGCATTGCCTTCTATCTGATGAACCTGCATCTCAAGCCCCGAAGTATATTCTTTTCACGGGTACATACGCACACATATTCAGCTACTCATCGAGCTAAATGCAATGTGTATAGCACGGGGAGAGCCAGTACAACGTAGAGGGCAAGATCGGCGGAGACTCTCTATTGTCTGAACGAGGTCTGCGTTACGCGCGAGCGTTGCCCGCGCTCATTACAGACAACATAGGCGATGCCGCGCTGACCGTAAGTAGGACACGTGTTTCTCAAAGCTACGCAACTGACCCTTAGGGTGCCTAGGTCTGGACGTCAACTCTGCAGAGAACCATACAAACAGCAGAGTATCTCCCATACCCAAAGCTGACGTGGAAATCGCTCGACGAGCTTGATGCCGGAGTGTGCGATGGCATGACCTACGAGGAGATTGAGGTGGGTGTTCGCCCCTGCTCCGTCGCCGGCATCGCGTCTGAGTGTTCGTATCCAACAGAAAGCGTACCCCGAAGACTTCGCCAATCGGGACGAAGACAAGTTCAACTATCGCTACCGAGGTATGTCGCCCCCATGGCGTCCCAGACCCCCCCTCTGAAGCACTTACCTCTCAGGTGGCGAGTCTTACCGTGACGTCGTCGTCCGCCTCGAACCCGTCATCATGGAGCTCGAGCGCCAGGAGAACATCCTCATCATCGGTCACCAAGTAAGAGTCGTACCCGTGTTCTCGAGATAGCAGCAGAGGGACTAATGGATTGGTTTCGTCCTCCTCAAGGCCATCCTTCGCTGCCTATACGCATACTTCCACGATCTCCCCCAAGCCGACCTGCCGTACATCAAGATTCCACTCCACACTGTCATTAAGTTGACTCCGAAAGCCTACGGCTGTGACGAGGAACGCTACACGCTCCCGATCGGGGCAGTCGACACCCACCGTCCGAAGCCAAAAGGCGGCCTACCACCCATCCCAACGCCCAAGACGGCTCGCGAGTACTACGCGAATGACGCCTAACTCCATAGAGGCAGCACGCGATCACACTCATGCAGTGTCATTGCTCACACAGAGATATGACAGAGAAGAATGCAACGCAATTGTAATATCGGATACACATAGTAATGCGCCGGTACAGATCGCGCAAGATGATCAAAAGAGTGTACTACTAGAAGATACATTGTCTATTAAGCCAGCTCGCGCCTGCGAGGGAAATCATAGTATGACGCACGCGATGAGATTTGCCTATTGCACCAGGGTTGTATGTACGCTTCAGGCATGGCTAGCAGTCTGAGCGAGAAGCTCGTCAGCGAACTTGACGTCGTCCACCGTGTGGATCGCAAGAGACGCGTTCGACGACGGGTTGTTAAGCCAGAGCCACTTGAAGCCGGCATGGTATTGAACAGCAGGACCCCAGCGCTGCGCCAGCCCGTCGCTGGGGTCCGTCCACTTCGACCACTCGTAGTAACGTGCACCATGGAGACAATTGCTATCCAGCACAGTCAGCGCCAGCGCCATCAACCAAACCAACGAAAAAAAAAAGACAGAGAGCGGGCGTACGCACAAATGCAGCATCTTCGGGAGGATCGCGCGCCCCCGCTCGAGTGTATCGTCCACGTGCACCTGGTGGCGGACCTCCGCCTCCTCCTCCGCGTCGTCCGTGCCGAGCCCAGTGCTGTACATGTCCATCAGGCAGCTGGACACCTCCCAGTCGAAGCTGAGCGGCTCGAACACGTCCTGCCGGTGGCTCACGATCGCCCACCAGTAGCCCTGGTCGCCGAGCTTGACGCCGTCGTACTTCCTCCGCCCCGCGTCCGAGTCCCCGTCCGGCACCGGGGGGCCGTACATCGCCTCGAACGCGGGCGGCGCGAGCGCGGGTGGGCCGTTGGGGATCGGTGCGCCGCCCAGCGACTGCTCGCGGTAGAACGCGGAGTCCATGAGGCGCAGCTCGCGGAGGCGCTTCAGGTCGAGGAGCATGACGCAGCTGCAGATCCTGTTCGCGTGGTGCCACTCCGGGGCGTACTGGTCCGGGTGGTAGGGCATGGAGACCGCGGCGCCGGGCTTGAACGCGTCGAAGCGGTCCCAGAGCTGGGTGGGGTCGGCGATGAAGAACGCGTCGGTGTCGACGAAGATGGCGCGCTCGACGGAGGGCGGGAGTATTTCGTGGATGAAGAGCTTCATCAGGCCCGCTGCGAGTGGAAGTGGTGTGAGCGGAGCGTGCTGTATAAATGTGGCCGGCGCGACTCACGGACGCCGGCGGAGTGGTCGGTATGGAGAGCACCTTCGCGTTGGATACGCGCGACCATGCTTTCGTGAGGTATCCGATAGAATTGCACGCTGATGTCATGCTGCGGGTGGGTGAGGAGACGGAGGCGTCGCTCAAGGTACTGTCGTGCATCGTGGTCGCAGATGATGTGGAAGGCGAGCGGACTTGAGCTGTACATGATGATGGACTACACATAAGACGGTCAGCCGACGCTGAAATATGTCCGCAACTAATGAGTAGTCGACATACCTTGATGAGGATAGAACCCTCTGCGGCGGAGTCCTCGGAGAACATGATGAGGGAGAACGTAACGCGACTGGGTGGGGTCGAATGTGTGGGATGCGAAAGGCTTGCATCTTGGGTGGAGGATAGGTTGGGTATATGAGCGTGATGGGGTATACGTTCGTGGGAGCCTTGAAATGCCGGCAGAGGTTGGACAGGATCATGCGGAGGAGTTGAGACGTCGAGGTCGGATGGGTCAAGATATTGGGGAGTATGATAGAAAGAGAAGAGGGAGAACGTGAGGACGAGGGTCACGATGACGGAAGCTACATGTCGGGGGCTGGGCATGCGGTAGGAAAAGGGGCCTTTGGAGAACACCCTCCGGTTTGTTGGGCTGGCAGAGTCAGAGAGAGGCAGGAGCTGATAGGAGGACGAGGACATGTGCGGCCCTCTGGGTATGAACGAGAGTGCTCAAGCAAACGAGGGTACGAACGAAAGCCAAAGGAAGATAGAAATACATATACATCCTGGGCGAGCGGATACTCTGGCGATGTTTAGCGTCGCCTGCGTTGCCGACGAGCGGATCGCTCGTTGCGACGCTCGCAGGCACCGCCAGGCAGACGCAAACGAGCTCCAACTTGTGCGATCTTAGTCCCACTCCAGCGCTAATATATCCCTGCCACAAGGATTGTCGTCCACTACGTCCCCGCAAGCCTGCGGCTGTATTGTAGACACTACATCGACCTCCACATGACAGAAGGCCATTTCTTTTGTTCTTCGTAGGGCGCGTGTAGCCAAAGTCCTCGGTACTTGGTCCCAAGAGGGCATGGTGTGAGGACGTACCGGCGCGCTGCTAGTAGCTCGGTCAGGGTACTTACGGATACCCCGGCCTTACTTCGGATTACCGTGGGGAAATGCATTTACGCACGTTGTGCAGGGCTCGAGGAGGACCTGAATCATTCAGAGGGTCATTGTTGGTAGTCCAACTCTCCTCCGTCCTCTACCCTCCTAATACCTACTAAAACCCCACCTTTCTTCACCCATTCCGGTGGGAGGCTTCCGTAGCCATCCAGCACCGGCTCCCATATCATCGTTACCGTCGTCTGCTTTAGGGCTTGCTTCCCGAAAAGCCTTTGCCGTGGGTAGGCAGTCCAGCCTCATCCTTCTTTCCATGTTTTTATGCCGCCGGTTTGTCACTTCCTTCCCTGACCCTCCTTTTGGATCACGCGCTCGCAGCGTAACTTGCATATGAAGTACGCCGTTTCGACTGCTAGCACCGCCCATCTCTGTTCGCGGGATAAGGCCACCTCTGTCCAAGACGGGTCCCTACAGGACCCAGTTCTGGAGATCTTGGCCGCCCCGGTAGACCCGTTTGACCCAGTCAGACTTGAAGGCTGTGTCGCCACCTCCATGCACGCAGTGACACACCGCTATCAAGAAACTCCACAGACCTCGCTTAACGACCCGCCGCGAGTCCGAAGACGACGAACGAGCAATCGCTCGACTCAAACGTGAAAAAGAAGAGGGAGGCAATGGTCTCACAAGGAGGCGCCAGAGGAAAAAAAATTGGTGTAACGCAGCCTCGTTGCCGAGGCCACGGCAGCGCGCCCAAGGGCGGACCGTTCGCCCGATGCCGGCTTCTCCTCGCACGCCGAGAGGCACGAAGCCTCGAGCACCCAGGGAGGACAAGATTCCCCCCCAGAACGCCCAGCAGCGCAAGGAGCGGTCATCAGGGTACTTGATCCGCCCTCCGCCAAGAGCGCACTTGGATCGAAGCTTCACAGACACGGTGATCAGCGATGTAAGAGAAAGTGAGGGGAGGATTAGACAGTACCTCGTAACTTGCTGAGCTTCGTTGGACGGCCCATGCTAGTCCGAGCGGGTGAAGGCCGCCGAACCCGCACCAGCTCATGTAGCAGAGTAGCACGTCCCGGTGCCGATGTCCTAGACCTGTAAAACCAGAGATGAGAGCAAACAAGTCCACGCCACATATCCAGTCCTAATCCAGGTCCATGTCCCCAGTCCAAGTCCACAAGCCGAGTCCAATGTCCACAATCCAAGTCCGAGGCACAGTCCGAACACGAAACCACAAATCCGTGACAGACGCAAACCAGAAAGCCGAAACTGACACCGCAACCACCAAGACCACATACCGAGATCTACGACCAGACCCGCAGTCGCAGACCCCACCACCACCACCAAACCGCCGCACCTACGCCGCCCGAGGGCGCTGAGCCTTCGTCTGCTTCCGGCCCGTGAGCAGCTCCATGTCGGTCGAGATGACCCGCATCCGCACGCCGGTATCCTTGTTCTTCAGACGGTCATTCCACTTCTGATGCGCCCAGTGCTCCGTCGTCGCCGCCGTCGGGCGCCGCTGTTCGAAGGGGGCCGTCTTAGGTTTCTTCGGCGCCCGGCCACGGTCCGAAACCTTGCGCCGGGAGGGAGAGGAGCGAGGCTCGGAGAGCTCCCCATCCGCTTGCTCTTCCTCGCGTTTGCGCTTCAGCGCCGCGCCTCTCGGCTGAGGGGTGGCCGCGACGGTGGCGGGCCGCTTGGGCTGGACGGACGTTGTCGATGGGGACCACTGCCGGGGGAACCCACGAACGACCCGAGGAGGAGCAACGATGGGTGCAGTCGGGCTCGTAGTGTTGGTCGCGCGCCCCGTCTTGAGCCTCTTGACCACCCGCTCGGGGCTGAGTGAAGAGTCGGAGGCCATTGAGTGGTCGAAGTCGTCCGCCTTGCGCTTCTTCGTCTCCTTTGCGCCTGGAATCGGGTATGTAACTCGGGACTGGTCCATGATGTCGATGGTCGTCGCGATGGTCGGCATGATGGAGGGCAGGGAGTAGGGTGGAGGGCTTTTCGGGCCGCCGCTAGAGGCCGAAGACGAGGAGCCAGAAAACATGGGGGGAGTGGGAGCCAGAGGATCATCTTCATAGACGCTATCGTCGTCGTCTCCTATGGCAGAGTAGAAGGATGCCTCGATGGACGTAGAGGATACGAGGGTCCTGAGAGGAGAAGGCGAGATCGGGACGTTTGAGGTAGATTGTGGGAGGCGCCTCGTAGGAGAATCCGAAAGAAGAGGGCTGGCAGGAACATCTGAGCACGCCGTAGCAAACGACGTGTCCGAATCGAGCGAGTCCAAGTTGGTGATAGAGGGGAGCGCAGGGAACGCTGGGGAGGCCACGCTTCCCACAGCTTCAGCGTCCTCAGAGTCTTCGATGGCGAAACTGTCATCGCCGCCGAAGAGGGACTCTAAGTCGGAATCGCTAAGAATGTGCGTAAGTGGTCAGATAATACACGGAGAAGGACGTGTCCACTAACCTCTCATCGTCAGATGCTCCGTCATCCTTTATGAGTGCATCCTCGAGCTCGAGGTTCGTGAGCTCAATCACGCGGACCTGCTTCTTAGCTGCGAGAATCTTTGACCTGCGCTGTTCTCTAGTGAGAACTTTTTTCGTGTCCTTCTCTGGCGTCGCGATGAAGAAGACGGCGTGCCCGCGCCGAACGATGACTTCTTCGATGAGGCCTCGAGTGTCCTTGCCGAGAGTCAGAGGCATGCGTGAGCCGGGGATGTGCTGCAGGCGAGGAGAGGTAGGCTTGGCTCCACCAGGGAGACGCATTGGCTGGTAGCTGATCTCGTCAGCGATGGGGTCGAAGAGGTAAACGTGGGCGAGAGTCATGAAGAAGTGGTCAGACATTGTGTAGGAATATCGCAGGTAATGCACAGCAGGGTGTAGATAGTCCAGAGTTCAGATGTCAGCCTAGCCAGAGGCGTTGGTATGAAGCAGAGAGCAGGTAAGGGCGAGTGCTCGCCTCTCAGGAGCTTTTTCTACCTGTCGGAGAGCAGTCGCGTTCAGAATGAGTCCCGTGCATCGTCGAAGTTGGGTCTGGAAACTCACCAATGGGAAACGCGGATGACATTCAGCATGTCCACTCGCGATGGGACTGCATTGGCAAGGCTGGACCCGGCTAGAATATGAATGTGGTACACTTTAGCTTGTTCTACGATGGTCCATTTGCGGCATGCGCAACACGTCCTGCAGCAAACTATCACCCAATGGGGGCCACAGCATATACTTCATTGAAAGAGCTCTCAAGAACGTCATATCGGGAACACGACGTCCTGCCGACACTGTGATGAAGATCAGATTCGGAGGGTCAGCCTCAAGTCGCAGTTCAAGCTAAGCTTCAAGTTTGTCTGTTTCCCCGTCACAAGCGCCTCTGAGCTCGTGACATATGCGTCCAGGACGCTCGGCGCCCAAGCGTGTACTTACATCGTACCTTGAAGTACAACCACGACCTCCGAGTCCCACTTGGAGGGGAGCAAGAGACTAACCGTATTGGCCTCCAACGCGCTCGCACGAGCACTTGCAGCGGCGACAACAGGTTCACATTTCTCAATCAGGAGCCTCTCTCGAGCCGTACGCGCCCCCATGCCGCAGCAGTCAGGTGTCTCCCAATATTCTTAGTTGCCAATTGCCCACTTCGCTAACCATTCCGTCACGCCCTGCTAGGGTCTCAAAAGCGCTCCGCTGCTCATCTTGAGCACGATGAACCAGGGCCCTCCACCAAAGTCCAGAAGGGTATGTCGCGAGACATCCCGTCGCGGTATCCACGCTGACTCGTATGCCCTTTCCAGTGTTTCCCATATTCACGGGCGTTGCCGCAAGCGACTCCAGGTTCCGTTGGATATCCCCAGCACTTGGTCCCAAACGTTCATGCCTCCATGGCGTGAATGGTGAGCCCAAAGCCTCGCCCAAGGTTGCCGCGTTCGACCTCGATGGGTGCATTATCAAGGGCGCCTTTCCTCCCAAGAAAGGCACTCCGCCCAAGTTCGATTGGTGGAATAAAATCGTGCCTAAGAAGCTGAAAGAGGTCCATGAGCAGGGGTCCGTAACGTTCATGTATCGCACAGCTGCGGGCATCCACTCACCTTCATCTGACTAGCTATTCAGTGGTCATCATGACCAACCAAGGTCTGCGGACGACTGCTCAGATCAGTGATTGGAAAATGAAGATTCCTCTCATTGCGGCTGCTGTGAGAACCATCACAACCATAGCTGGATTTGAAACTGACAACGTGCCCGTGCAGTTGCCCGATGTGCCGTTTCGCATCTTTGCGGCTACGGAGAAAGATGGCTACCGTAAACCCTTTCCGGGCATGTGGTATGAGTTAGACAAGATTTTCGCCCAAGAGAACGTGGGAATAGGCGAGTCTACTATGGTCATCACCGTTCTGAAGTCATCTCACTGTTGCGTCAGACATCCCCAGCTCTTTCTTCGTTGGCGATGCTGCCGGTCGTCAAAGCGATCACTCATCGACTGACAGGAAGCTTGCCCTCAACATCGGAATCCCTTTCCATACACCCGAAGCCTACTTCCTTGGCCTACCAGAGGCTTCATATACCCTTCCTGGTTTCCATGTGTCAACGCTGCCTAAGGATGGCGAGTCAGCTATTGAGTCCTCCACATATCCAGTTGCTGACGTCTCTCCTGGTATCACATCAGAGCCCCATCTTGTTCCCGCACATCCACCGCTCCTCCCAGCACCGGCCTCACCTGAACTCGTGCTATTTGTCGGGTACCCCGCGTTAGGCAAAACATCCTTCTTCCGCACCCACTTCGCACCAGCCCACTATACCCATATCAACCAGGATGCCCTCAAGACCCGCGATAAGTGCGTCAAGGCTGTCGATCAGGCCCTTAAGGACAAGCACGATGTCGTAGTCGGTCGGTCGGTCTCATCTGCATTGTCTGGAGATCTGACTGACCGACGCGCAAGTTGTAGATAACACGAACCGTGACAAGGAGACGCGCCAATATTATATCGGCCTCGCCAAGAAACACAAGGTTCCCGTTCGGTACGTAACACGTACTATTCAGGTGAGGTCGAGCGTGATCGCTGAGACCTCGCGCAAGATGCATATACTTTGCAGGTTCGATAGAACTGGCTTGGCACAATAATCTATACCGTGCCTTCAACATGCCGCCATCTGTCGCCGCTGCAGAGGTGCGCACTCTTTCGAGTACATGTAATAACGAGATGCATCCTGACCTTCGTCCTTCCTTGTGGTCAAGCCTAAACGAGAGCTTCTACCATACTCAGCTTTCGCAAGCTTCCGCCAGAAGTTCCAAGAGCCATCCGTGGACGAGGGCTTTTACGAAGTCCGCAAAGTCAATTGGTTATTCGAAGGAGATGAAGAGGCCAAGAAGAGGTGGAGCATGTGGCTGCAGATAGACGGGAAATAGTGACGATCTTCCAGCGCAGACACGGAATATCTTCCTATTAGAGCAGGACCTCAATGTGCATTTAGCTTTCACAAGGTGGGACGCGTCGGATTGAGGCCGCCCACATGGACTTCTCTTCCCTACGACTAATTCGACACGTGCATTGATCATTCATCCTCAACTTTCCTTAGCCCGCTGACGTCTCGCGTACCCCTGGAAAGCGATGAGTGGGTGTTCCATTGTACGATAGAGCAGGTAAAGGAACTCACATCACGGGCATCCCGAATATGTCTATTGCGTCGATCCGCGTCTCATCTTCGCCACCTTGGTTCGACACGACGAATATCTGAAACCATGGCATGACCCTCGTCAGCTGTGCATATATACATACACAGGGGGCACCACATTCACATGCAGACTCGTCACCGACTGGAAGCGCACAAAGCGCAGATCGATCCGCTTGCCCTCGCGCACATCGTCCTCCGATAGGTCGATCTCTTGCAGGACGGAGTGCTCGTCCTCTACGTCCTCAAAGTTCAGAGACGGACGATTTGTGAGGAGCCGAATCTTCTTGGGAGCCTGGGGTATGTTGGACGCTTGGATGGCGATAGAGCGTATCTTGACCGTTTGGTTGAACTGGCCGACATCCTCTCCGATGTCAAGAGCGTAGGGATGGAGAACGGGATGCGGCGGACGTACCGGTATGTTCAAAAGCAGCTGCTCGTCTGCATCGCTGAGAACGTATGCGCTCCCCGTGTTTTTCGTCTTCGATGCCACAATAGACTTCAGCGTATGTTGCGGGTTCTCGTTCAAGCAGGTCAGCTGAGGGGTATCCAGATGTTGAAGGAGAGAAATCTATGTAGCGAGATGGATCCGAAGTCAGCGCCACTCTTGCCAGTGCCCTCATTGCGGACAAAGTCATACGATGGCAAACTCACGTCTTGCTCGGCCATGCTCTGATGTTCTCTGAGACGTCCCGATTGCGGCAAGACAGCACGTAGTCGAAGTATGGGTTGGATTAAGAGATGGTGTACAAGGTACTACTCAATGGGCGAAGGACGCGTATGCCGAGATTAGATAAGATCAGAATGACGATCACCGACTACTAAGTGGAAGGGGGAGAAGCGTAAGGAACACAGCAGCGACCACTCTATCCATGATCCCAATGACCATCTGCGACGGTGGCCTGCGACAATGCCAGTGGTATACGGCTGCGAGGGTCCACCACGCAGACACAAGGGCTCCTCGAAACCCTCACCATCTAACTATACGATGACACACTCATCCTTCGCCTGCTGACGCGTCGGCCGTGCCATATTTGCCCGCTTGTTCCCATTGCGCTTCATCTCCGTCAGTCTGTTCATCGCCCGCTTGTTTCCTTGCGCTGCAACACCGGCCGGTGAGTCCAGAAATCGCACGTGCACGACCGGAACGGAGGACTCACCCGCTGCGCGCATGTACCACCTCTTCGCGAACTCGATGTCCTGCTTCACGCCAATGCCGACCTCCGCATAGTACCCAACTGCATACTCGGCCTTGCTCAGACCCTTGTTCGCCGCCCGCCTCGCCCACAAGTAGGCTTCCGAGTCGCTCTGCTTGAGCACGCCCTCGCTTCCCGTCAAGTACCACCCACTGAGCGCAAGCTCCGCCTCCGAATGGCCCTTCTCAGCCGCCTTCGTGTACCATGCGATCGATCGCCTCGGGTCAACCGGGCATGTCATCGAACCGTATTCGTACGCCTGTCCGAGCTTGAATTGCGAGTGCGTGTAGCCAAGGTGACCAGCACGCGTGTACAGCTCCTTCGCGTACGCCGGATCGTATGGGACGACACCGTTCTGCGGGTTCTCGTGGAGCATCGCGAGCTCGTGAAGCGCATGGGGGTTCTCCTCGTCCGCCTGCTCCGCCGCGCGCCGCAACCATCCAATCGCCTCACGAGGATTGGGCTGCTGTTTTAGCAATCCACGGAGAAGGATGACTCCGAGCTTGTACATGGCGGCCGTGTCCCCCAGCGAGGCAGCTTTCCGATAGAACGCAGCAGCGCGCTGAGGATCAGCACGCGTACCTGCGCCAATCTCGTTGCAGACCGCAACTCGGTAGCAAGCCGCAGCATGGTTCTGCTTCGCTGCCTGCAGGTACAAGTGGTAAGCGCGCTCGTGATCGACCTGCAATCCAAGCATGCCCGTCCCATGACAGTTGGCAAGGAAGAACTGGGCCTCGTCGTACGGCTGACCCTGAGTTGCAAGTCGTCGTATGACTTTGAGCGACTCCGCGATGAGGGCATCGCGGTATTTCCTGAGCCCTCGCTGGTCCTTGGCGTCGGCCCCGATCTTCTTCGCCGCGTCAATCAAGTATTTGGCATACTGAAATTGAGCTTCCGGGTCGGGGTCGTCCTTGATTCGCTGACGGTACTGGTCGATGTACTCCTTCGTAAAGGGTGGCGCACTCAGATCGATGGCCTTGCTCTTCTGCGTCCGAGGGTTCACGGATGCAGCTGTCTCGGTACGCGCTAGACGAGGACGGTTCATCTCGAAATCGTTGTCCTCAGGCGGTATGGGTGGCATGGATTGCACCGACTGGAACGAAGAGGCATTCGACGGGCCCCGCGTCAGGGCCGTCTGCGAGCCTGATGGATACCCGGTGGGACCAGGCTGATAAGCACCGGGACCCAAGTAAGGTGCCGACTGGCTGGCCGGGATGGGCTGCCCGTAGCCCTGAGGTAGATAGGGAGAAGGAGACGGACCGGGATGAGGGTATGGGGATTGGGAGGGACCAGGAGGTGGGTAGGGACCACCCGAGGGACCAGGAGCGTACTGAGGGTGCACGGACGGACCCGGCGGCGGAGCGCTACCAGGAGGGGGGCCCATGCCCAGAACATCGGCTGCTGCTGAGTACAGGGGATTAAACTCGCCTGGAGCTGGAGGTACAACGTTATACTGGGGCTGGTGGCCGTGGCCCTGCCAACTTGGGGCCGGGGAAGTATAGCCTCGTCCCGGAGGGGCTCCTTCCATCTGACCCAGTCCATAGTGTTGGTGATTGGGCTGGAACATAGAGTCGTCGTACGAGTGAAGACTGGTCACGTCCGTATCCACCTCGTGCCCGTCACTATAGAAGCTGGTGTAGCCACTATTTCCACTCCCGCCAGAGTGGACAGAGCTGGAACGCATGGCGTTGTCCACGGCTCGACCCGGTGGTTGGCGTCGCATTTGATCCGGAGAGACAGGGAGACCGCCATTGGCGGGACCCATCCGTTGCGGTGACTGCATAGACTGCATGGACCGCACAGACATAGATGTCCCAGCGCGAGGGATGGGGTCACTAAGGGGCGGCCCATGCATTGGAGTACCGCGTTGCCCTAAATTCATATGACCGAACTGGTCCGCAAGGCCGTTGGGATCGTATTGCTGGGAAGGCAAGGGCGGTACTGTGTCTTCCTCTCCATAGTGATCAGAGGGGATCTGGGTATGTATGGCAGGGACGGAACGGTTTTGGTGACGCATAAATGGCTGGTTCATCGGCTGATTAGTATGCTGGTTGACTGGCAGGTGAAGTACGATCGCAATGGATAGGACGGTTAGGAAGTCAAGCGAATAGAGGTGCCACGAAGCTCACAATTCTCCTGCGGGAGTCCATCGCCAGCAGTGCCGTATTCATCATATGGAGGGGCTTCATCGTAGAAAGTGCCGTCCTGAGGTTGCTGGGGATGCTGGGGAACACTATCCCACTGTTCGCCATTGGGAATAAAACCCTGACGACGGGATTGGCGATCGCCACGGGGTGAGGAGTGCTCATGAGGATCGGACATGATAGGTCAGAGGTCAAGGAGCGAAGACGACGGGTTGCAGGACGACGCGGCAGCAGCGGAGATGGGAGGAGACAGGCAAGGAGCGGGAGGGGGAACGCCGACGAAAGAGGATGGAAGTGAGTTGTGTTGGCGGAGACAGCTGCATGACGGCTGCAGGAAGCTGCACAGCCGGCCTCCCAAGTGTTGCCAACACTGTGTTGCTATTCCCTCCCCGCCCACCGCACGTCTGCACATTCGCTAGCCACAGCGTTCTCTCGCCCGACACAACGTCTTTGACTCTCCCTGAGCCGCAGATATTTGTTCGGAGAATGTACACAGTCAATACACATGCAATAATGATAGTAGTAGGATGGCCACAGATAGAGTGGTTTTCAAGATTGGGACCCTCAACTGTTCTCCACAGCCACCTGCGCCATGCCGTCTCCATCCAGCGTCCCGCCGTTCGCAGAAGAAGCTGCGCCCGCCGTCGGCGCATCGGGTGCAGCACCCATTGATGCATGCTCGCCGCTTGTCGGGGGCTCCGGTTTTGGTGAGCAGGACGCGCCCTCTGTCATGGTGACATCCTCAGGCTCAGTCTTCGAAGCGTGGACAGGCGGCGGAACACCTGAAGTGTCGCCAGCCCATACCCACTCCTCCAGAACCCTCTCCACTCGCTGTCGCTCGACACCCTTCGCGGTCCGTCGCACCTTGACGATGACATCCCGCCTTCTCTCAACATGTGCCTCATCGGCGCCGTCCGCTCCCTCAGCCTCTTCGTGGCCCTCGACCCACAGCTGCGTCCATTCCTGAGACTTCTCCTGCGATACAGGCTTCCGCGCCCTCACGGTCCTACTGTCTCTCTCCGTCGGCGACTCAACTTCCCTATCCCAACCGCGTCGCTTGAAATTGCGGAAGATGTCAGCGCTATCCTCCGTGCTGTCCACCGCAGAGCGTTTCCGCTTGCTGCCTATCCCGTTCGTCTCGCCGTTTACTGATGCGACCTTGCTCTTGCGACTACCCCGGCTGTCGTCGTCGCTCGAATAGCCTGCAGCATGCCGTGCCCTCCAGCGGAGCTCCCTGGCTAACGCAGGGGCATCCTTGATGCGGTCTCCGGGGATGTCCTCTTTTGCCTGTCGTTTAGCCGAATCCGTCCCATGTTCCATCGTACGTGCCTCGGACACAAGGAAGTCGGCGAGGGCTTCGATACCTTCTAAGACGCGCGGGAGGAACTCCTCCTTGCCTTTGAGGTCGCGAAGGTACTTCTCCCCAGCATACCAACACAGTCTGCGTGAGGAGTTAGTTGACGATAGGTATGTAGCAAGCGTATACATACTTGGTGAAGTACGGAAACCTGAACTTCTTCGGGACGTGCGTCGCGATTTCGATCTCTCGTATTTTGAGTTCTATCGGCCTATGGTCAGCAACGTGATAGTCGTTGGCACTTGAGCCGTACGTACGCATGGGAACATTGTACGAATGCAAGAAGTTGCCTCCAAAGACGAGAGTGTCCTTAGGAGTGTACTGTAAGGTCGTTGAGCAACACAACGAAAAATTACTCTCTTGCAACAAAGGTGCTCACCACAGCGTGTATCCATCCGGTAGGGATGATCATGGTATTACCGGCTTGCAGCTCCACTTTGAACACTTCATCGCACATATCGCCCAACCACGAGTGGTTCTGAATCTCCGTTCCTGACCACCGTTCGTAAGCAGCGAGGTTCGCAGGAGTGGGTCGGATGAAGTAGAAGACCTGTTCAGTACATGAGATGTCCTGTCCTTGGCCTTCCAAGAATGCAGAAGTTTGCCAATCAGGTACACACCTTCTGGCCATGAAGGATATGGTAGTAAACCGAAGACCCCGCAAAGTCAACGTGCCAATCCTATTGCGGTTCGACGAATTTGAGCATCGTGATCGACTGGGAGCAGGGTGAAAACTCACCGTCCACGCGCCACCAACGCCCATCAAACAGTACAGCTGCACCTTCGGGTAGGCATGCCCACGACCCCTCTTTGTAGAAGGCCAGAACCTCTCTACCCAGTCCAGCTCGCGGACGATCCGTGGAGGCAACACCCGGTCTGCCAACCCGCTGCCAGATATCTCGAGCGAGATGACGTTCCTAGTCTTGTCGCGTTTTGCAGGTTCCGTGTTCCAGTAGTCAGCCCACTTGCCAAGGGTCCAGTGAGGCACATTTGACTGGGTTGCGACATCTACGCGGCACGCGAGTTTTAGCATTCCGATGATATCGGAGAACGCGTCCGCCCCTGCATGCGCATGCGTCCATTACTCCTGAGGGGCAAGTACGCACCAATGACTTCTACCGGGTGTTCACGACCTAATGCGTCCGCGACGTCGTCGACAGTGAAGTCTGCCGAAGGCATCTTCATGCCCAGCCCCTCATCCTCCTCAATGACAATTGGCTCCTTCATGGCGCTCTCGTCATTCTCCAGCCACTCAATCCCGACCTGGCTCCCCTTCATCCTCCTAAACGGATCCTTCTTTATGGGTTTGCCTTCCATCATGCGCAACCACCTGTTAGGATCCAGCTCCTGCCCAGAGTTCAGACCCGCGTAGTCCCGTTGCGGCTTCTTTCGTGCAGACTTGCGCGCCGGAGGCTTCATGGTGATAACGCGTGTAGAGTCCTTGTCGAGACACGGTTTGCAGAACCTGACACATGAATGATAGGGGTGCACACACGTATATAGTCAACACCAGCACTCTTCATATACATCAGAAGAGACGCAAGAGAAGGAAACGCACCATTTGTCGACCGCGTCAAGGTCACCCTCACCAGCACACCTCCAATGGAACCAAGTCTTGCACGCATCACACCGAACCCATTGTTCCTTGTCCGCGCCCACCTGAGCTTCGTCCGGCTCTCCGTCCTTGCAGGCAGGGCACTTGTCATCCTGTGTTTGTTCGCCATTCTCATCTCCATCCAGCATCGCTTGCACTTGCGAATCGTCATCTGTAGCGCCTGATGTATCGGGCGTCTTCTGCGTCCTGCCAGTGCGGCGACGAGAACGAGCCATGTGATGCACAAATGCTGTACGTGTGCCCGTACGTGCAATGCAAGGAGACGACAGAGGACACGCGGGAACGGTGTCTGCAAGAGTAGGAGTCGAGCGATGGGCTGCAAAAGCGGCCACGGGTCAGCGCAGCGGACTTTGACGCTTGGCGCCCATAACGGTCATTACATACGACGCCCGGCTACGACGCGCGGCTCCGGGCTCGCTTGAGCATCTTGAACTCTGATCATACTGAACGTTCAGCAGCTTCGCTTCGCTTCCCTGCTTCACACAAGGTAATGTCCAGGATGCTTCACCTTTCATCCATGTGTCAGTCAGCCCCCAAGAGAGGTAGAGGTTGAAATAGCGTTCGCTGTTTCTAGCGGCTTATTTCTACAGCGCATCTAATTACAGCCTGACTGTCCAAGCCCTAGTACGAGTACAACAAATGACTTCTGGGACACTTCTCAATCTCACGTCGCTGACTTACTGCTTCTCGCTGAGCTCCGCAACGCCAGGAAGGGTCTGACAGCATCCCATCTTAATAAGCTATGTGTATTAACGTGAGGCCAGCTTACCTTGCCCTCAAGGAGCTCGAGACTGGCACCACCACCCGTGCTGACGTGGCTGAGCTTGTCTTCCGCATCATACTTGGCAACAACTGTCGCGGTGTCACCGCCGCCGACAATCACGGTAGCGCCGTTTTGTGCAGCCTCAACCGTAGCATCAAGGAGGGCCTTCGAGCCAGCAGCGAATGCCGGGAACTCGAATACACCGGGAGGACTGAGACACGCGTCAGCACCAACTGATATAGGATATTCGAAAGGTCGATTCACCCGTTCCAAAGGATGGTCTTGGCCTTCAGGACGGTTTCCCGGAACAGCTCGCGGCTCTTCGGACCAGCATCAAGCGCCAGCCAGCCGTCAGGAATACCCTCCTCATCTGAAACAAGACCAGTCTGGAGAAAGCTCAGCACCCTGCAACTTCGGGCGCTGAAGAGAGACGACAAACCTTGGCATCCTTGTCGAACTTGTCAGCGATGACATGGTCAACTGGGAAGACGATGGTGACGTTGCGTTGCTTGGCCTTCTCAACAAGACTGGCGACCTTCTGAGAGCCAGGCTCGTCGAAGAGAGAGTTGCCGATCTATGAGAGTATTCTCGTCATCATGCAATACTTTTCTATTACTCCTGGAACTCACTTTCATGTTCTCCAGGGTCTTCTTAAAGGTGTACACCATACCACCGCCGACGATTAAGGAGTCAACCTGGAGCCAGAATCAGCTTATGTGTTGAGAGGGTAAGTGCGGTTACACACCTTGTCCAACATGTTCTCAATGAGCTGAATCTTGTCGGACACCTTGGCACCTCCGAGAATGGCCAAGAATGGACGCTCGGGATGCTCAAGAGCCTTGGCGAAGTAGTCAAGCTCCTTCTTCATGAGGAAGCCAGCTGCACGCTGCGACAGCTTGACGCCGACCATGGAGGAATGGGCGCGGTGTGCAGTACCAAAGGCGTCGTTGACGTATACGTCGCCGAGCCTGGTCAGGCCCTCGCGGAATTCGGTGACCTTAGCGGGGTCCGCCTTGGTCTTCTTTCCGTCCTTGTCCTTGGACGAGCCCTCCTCCTCGATGTGGAAGCGCAAGTTCTCGAGGAGGATGACGGAACCCTCGGGCGCGTCGGCGACGGCCTTCTCTACATCTGGCCCGACGGACTCGTTGACAAAGATGACGGACTTTTTGAGGTGCTTCTCGAGTTCGTGGGAGACGGGTTCGAGGGAGTACTTGGGGTTGACCTTGCCGTCTGGCCGGCCAAGGTGGGACATCAGGATGACCTTCGAGGCACCTGGATTGCCTAGTCAGGAAGGACGGGTATGGGAGGACCGACGGGACGAACCATTGTCGATGGCGTATTGGATGGTGGGGAGTGCAGCCACAATGCGCTGTGGCGAAGTCAGTCGGGTAGATAACTGTGAGATCTATCGTGTACGTACGGCAGGGTTGGTGACCTTGCCGTCCGCCATGGGGACATTGAAGTCCACACGGATGAGGACGCGTTTGCCCTTGAGGTCAAGGTCGGTGATGGAGAGTTTGTTGGAGATGGACATGGCGGTCGTCGTCGGAGAGAAAGCGAGGAGATCGATGGTGGCCTGAGCCGGAGACGATCTGCGAGGTGGGCTTATATGTAACCGGATGATATCCATTCGCCCATTCGATGAAGTCACGGCTCGGCATCTCCCGTCATCGCCGTCCTTCCCGATCCGTACGTGCGCGTCTCTGCCCCTCGCGTCTCGCCAATTCTAGTCTCTCCCCAGTCCTTGGGTCCCACCATCTCTCCCATTCATGTCTGACGCAGCGTCGGCGGACCAGTCCGCCTCGAACTCTCTCGGTCTCGACCTCGACGCTCTGAAGATCAAGGAGGAGTCAGACGCAGCAAACGCCGCCAAGGACGCCTCTCCAACCACCGAAGACGCGTCTCTCGCAACGGAAGACGCACAGGATGAGGGCGATACTAAGGATTCTGCAGGAAATAAGAAGGAGCCGAAGGAGAAGAAGAAGCCCTACGTGAACCCTGATCGCGTTAAGACGGGCGGGGCGCAGCGGGTGTGTCTCCTCCATGCTAGCCAGTCTCTAGGAGGTATCTCAATGTGACTCCAGGAGAAGCCCAGTGAAGAGGAGCTGGCAGAGCGAATGGCGCGAATCCGGGAGCAAAACGAGAAGATCAAACAAAGGCGGCTGGTGCGGGCGTTGTGCAACCACTGACAGGCGTGGGCTCATTGAGCCGTGTAGGACGTACAAGCGGACGAGGATGAGTACAAGAAGAAGCAAGAATCAGAGCGTGCTAAGTTGGCCAAGCAGAAGAAGGTGCAGGAAAATGTGGATAAAGCCCGCGAGCAGAACGCTCGCCGTAAGATGGAAAAGGTATGCCTGTCGCACCGGCATCACGCAAGGTATCTGCTACTCACGGCTATGTGTAGATTCAGGGTCGTGAATGGGACTCAGGGAAGCCTGCGCGTGAATGGAACAAGCCCAAGAAGGCTGATGAAGAGACCGGCGAGGATGGTGACAAGAAGCCTCAACAGTCAATTGGGATTCGTGGTGCAGTGCGCGGTGGTGGTCGGGGAAGCGGTGGCCGTGGGGGCAGTGGTCGTGGTAGAGGTCGTGGAGGAGCGCTTACGTCTCCTACATCCGAGAAGAACGAGAAGGAGGCGACCTCGCCTGCTGCCACGACAGAGAACCCCGCCCCCGTTGCGCCCGTTGCGGCCAGCGCGAGCTCATGAGATATACCCTTGTACTACCATCTGTGTTGTTGTATTCCCGGTCTATTGATGACCATCGTGCTCCCGTCCTGCCTCGGAGTCTTGCTTGCTGGGAGTTGAGTCCGAGTATGATATAGTTTCCCGGCGCCTCATCATGTCGGGCCGCTCTACCCGCGACCGTCCAAGATTTTCTGTAAGCGCCCATATGGTGTACCCGCAAGTACTAGCCTTCGTGCACTTCTACCGTCACTCTTGACTTCATCTCTCTTGCCATGGGTCGTGGCGTGCTTCTCACATCTAATCTTCCGCAACTGCAAAATCTCATCAAGCGCGACCCATCCGCGTACAAGGAGGAGTTTTTGCAACAATGGAACCATTTTAACAGCATACGCCAAATCTTCCAGATCAACCCCGAAGAGAACGCGCAGCATTTCAGGGAGCTTGTCTCATTCGTTGCTCAGGTGTGTAAGGGATCCGAGGTGCCCCCAGTCTCAACCTAATTTTGAGTACTACAGGTAGCACAATGCTATCCTAAAGAGACATCGGATTTTCCGTCTCAGATCTCGACATTGCTTCTTGAGAACTACGGGACACTGTCACCTGATACCCGGAAGTCGCTCGTACAAAACTTGGTCATGCTCCGCAACAAGAATGTCATAACATCTATCACGTATGTGGGCCTTTTACGCTCACGTGAATACGTTCTCAACATCGTGCTCTTCTGCCAGTCTACTCCAGACACTCTTCCCTCTCCTTCCTCGCACCACTTCATCTTCCCTACGATCATTCATTCGCCGCACCATTCTCTCGGACATTCGCACTTCCAATCTCCGTGCCAAGAATCACAAGCTGAACCGTGCTGTCCAAGCCATGCTCTTCGGAATGGTCGAGCGAGGGATGGATGCCGAAGTTGTTGGGGACAAGGGCAAGCTCAGGGCTGCTGCCCGGCCGTCTGCTGCAGGGAGCAACGGTGAGGAGGCCATGTGGGCAGTCGTCCTTACCAAGGAGCTTTGGCGGAAAGGCATCTGGTGAGTGCCTTAATCGTACCGTTTCTGTGGCATCTCACTGTCGCCAACGTAGGAACGATGCGAAGACGGTATCCATCATCGCGCTGGGCTGCTTCCACCCGGTGGTAAAAGTACAAAGCGCATCTTTACACTTCTTCCTCGGGAGCGATGAGGAAAAGGAGGATAGTGACGAAGAGGAGGAAGATGTGCGTCTTCCTTTTTCACGAGCCTCAGAATGCGGCACTGAGATTCACGGTTCCTTAGCTTCCTGATGTCAAGTCCCTCCAACATCGACGCGAAATCAACAAGAAGACTCGTAGCGGGGCCAAGAAGCTCGAGAAACAGATCAAGACCATCAAATCTGTGAGACAGTGCCTTTCCATCCAATCCGGACAGCCGACTGATGCTTCAAGCAGAAACAAAAGAAGAAAACCGACTCTTCCAACCCGAACTTCCCCGCTATCCAGCTCCTCAACGACCCCCAGACATTCGGCGAGAAGCTGTACGACCTTCTGAACAAGTACGACAAACGCTTCTCGCTCGACCACAAGATCCTCATCATGCAGCTCCTCTCGCGCGTCATGGGCGGCCACAAGCTCTGCGTGCTCGGCTTCTACACGTACATCATGAAGTACCTCACCTACCACCAGCTCCGCATCCCCGCCATCCTCGTTGCGCTCGCCCAGTCCGTGCACGAATACACGCCCCCGGACGCGCTCACGCCCGTCGTGCGCAAGCTCGCGCAGGAGTTCGTGCACCCAGGTGTCGGCAGCGAGGTCATCGCCGCGGGCATCAACTCGATACGCGAGGTTTGCAGGCGCCAGCCGTGGGCGATGGAGGAGGACCTGCTGGGCGACTTGATCGAGTACAGGAAGAGCCGCGACAAGGCCGTCACAGCCGCCGCGCGCGGTCTGCTCCAGCTGTTCCGTGAAGTCAACCCTGGGATGCTCAAGAGGAGGGAGCGGGGCAAGGACGCTAGCATGGGCATGGCGAAGGGCAGTCAGCCGTTGCCGTTTGGCCATAGTGCGGAAGCGGCTGTTGACATCGAGGGGCTCGTGGTATGTCTTCGTTTCTCGGGTTTCGTCGAGCTCGATTGAGGTGTTCACTCTTCCTAGCTCCTCGAGGATCACTTGAAGAAACTGCGAGAAGAGGATGGCGCTGCTAGCGGTGACGAAGATGAGGACGACGAGGCAGCATGGGAGGGCTGGGATGTTGAGTCGGACTCGTCGGAAGAATCCTCGGATGGATGGCTCGATGTGGACTCAGACAGCGACGAGGATATTGAGGTCAGCGACAGTGAAGATGAGGACGGCAATAAGTCCAAGAAGAGCAGAGAGAAGGGTAAAGGGAAGGCAAAGGCCGGAGATGATGACGAGGACGCAGAAATGGATGACGAGGATGAGGGGAAGGAGGACGCAGCAGAAGATGCCGTTAAACGGATATCCACCCTTGCGACAACGAAGGTACGTCCTTAGCCGAAGTTCATACTGTCCAAATTGACTTAACTCCCTACGACTGTAGATTCTCACCCCTGCCGACTTCGCGATGCTCAACGACCTGCGCATCAAAGCCGCATCAGAAGCCGTCGAGCGAGGAGGAGGTGGCTCCGCGAAGCGCAAACTCGCCACGCTCGAGTCACAGAAGAAATCCCTTCTGGCCTCTGACGGAAACCTCGCAGACGCCTTCATCTCAGAGAACGACATTCTTGGACCTCGCAAGAAAGCCAAGGCGGACTACGCCGAGCGCATAGCCTCGATCGAGAAGGGTCGCGAGGGCCGCGAAAAGTATGGTTCGCTCAAGGGCAAGAAGAACAAAGAGAGGCCGAGCAGCTCGACGAACCGCGAAAAGGCGCGAAACAAGCCTATCATGATGATCCTCGCGAGCGGAGCTGTCAAAGGGAAGAAGAAGGCGTCATTGCGGCAAAAGCAGCAGAAGCTGCGGGCGCATATCGAGCGGGCGAAGAAGGCTCACTGAGCCTTGGGTAGAAACTGTACGTTGACTTGCGCCTGCACAGGCGGCTCTCTGCATCGCTGTTGGTTGTACATGTCACTATTCTATGCTGCATTACTTAGGTGGCCATGACGTTTCTACGCCCATCTACTGTCCTAGCTGTTTGTGGCATCCACACCTTCCGTCGCAGAGGCATCGGCAAATTTCTGAACATTCAAGTAGTGAACGTCTGGCAGAATCCTGAGCCTCGCCGCTGCCTGTTCTGGGGTCAGGTCGCGTTGGGGCTCGGCCATGAGCTCGAAGCTGAGGAATGGGTGTGAATAACGAGCGCCAGATACTAGGTAGCGAGAGGAGTTATATACTACTTACCCAACCAAGAACTTGCGTACTGAAGCGCTACGCAGAAGCGGTGGAGCGAAATGCAAATGTAGGTGAGCTACGTTGTCCTCGTCCTGATCCTCGGGAATAGCATCAGACGCAGGGGGAGTCGGGCGCTGGTGGATACCCATGGAATACGCAAACGAGCATGAGAACAAGTTGTCGTAGCGAATGGTGACCTGGGACAGGATTTCCGCGAACGCGCTTTTCTCCGCCTGGGTTAGGTGAACGATAGAAGGAATATGACGCTTGTACGGGAGGACTGATAGTCGGGGTCAGGGATTATTCTTTTACGAAACAGGAGTCTGACTTACGCATGATCTCAAATGGCCAGATGGCCCACCACGGAACAAGGGCTACCCAGTGGTCGTTCTGCACTACGACGCGACCCTCGTCACGAGCAACGCCGACCTCGAAGTGAACATAGTCACACAGCAGACACGAGCGACCAAGTGGGCCTTTGGGCGCATCCGAAGGCGGAGTTGACCGAGAGTACTTTTTCAGGTTGGCCAGTTCGGTCGCAGGAAGGGAGGGCACCGCGGACAGGGACCACACTTGACCATGGGGGTGTGGGTTTGAGCAGCCCATCATGGCTCCCTTGTTCTGTAGGAAATTGGGATGTGAATCTTCGGCGGTGCAATGAGCCTAAGTAGGTAGGTACCTCGAAGATTTGAACGTAGTTGATGCCCTGCTGAGTGCCACGCTTCTTGTAGACGTTGGACCACTCGTCGATAATGCGTATGATGTCGGCTTGGCCAAGCCTGGCGAGAGTGAGATCATGGCGAGGATGGAAGCAAAGGACGTCGCAGCCACCCTCGACAGGCTCGGTGGTGAGCAGAGGATGAGGAGCAGGGGGGGCGGCCGGACCAGGAGGGGGGAGAACCGCGGCATAGTCGTTCTCAAAGACCATGGTATGCTCATACTTCTCGTTTGCCTGTCCCCCTGCGCGTGTGTTGCCGGGGCAGAGATAGCACTTGGGGTCGTACTCCGGCAAGTCAGACTGCTGTGGGGGTTCGGTCTGCCCGAGCCATGGTCGCTTAGTGCGATGGGGGGACACAAGAACGTGCTCGCCAGTAAGAGGGTTAACTGGAGTCCGGTTCGGGTCAGTTCCAAGTCTGAGGTAAAGGCAGGACGTTCGTACCACGGCGGTGGGGGTGGGTTGTAGGATCAAAGTCAGCCATGGCCGTTGAGAGAGAAGAAGGAGGCTGATGTCAACTCCTGAGAGGAGCGGTACATATGGGCCATGTCTGCGGACAGAACGTCCTAAATATTTATCGTACGGAGATCGCTTTCATCTGCGCAGGCTCGATTGGTCTCAGATGCGGTAGCTCGGCCCGTCCATCCGATTGGGCGTCTATGACAATCCAGCTGAGCGCTGAGGTGAGGCTCAGGACCGAGTCCATCTCAGGCTCTTCCACTGCCTCCCCCATCGTGATCATGTTGGAACCTGCCTACAAGCGTCCTCGCATCCAGCGCTCCCCTTCTCCCGTATACAAGCTTGACGATCAAGATGACTCCTATGAACCGTATGTTCCCGTCGCTCAGAGGCGTCAGGCCAAACTCGCAAAACTGACGTCTTGGGGCGCACATCCGGAAAAGGAAAAGGCGAAACAACTCCAGGAAGAGCAGGACGAGCGTGATGACGAGGAGCGCGAGGAGGAACGCAGGAGAGAAAAGGCTCGCAAGGAGAGGACTCTCTTGATGGAGGCTCAGGAAGTTCACGACCGAAAGGCTGCAGAGGGTGCGTCTCGGTCACCACATCAGGTGCTCACCGGTACACTGAACTTCCCAATAGATTCCAAGAAGACTGCGGCGGAGAAGGCTGAGGAAGCCGACGCCGAAATCCTCGCCGCCATCGCTGCTCGCCGGAAGCTCGCGTCTGACTTGGAGCTGGCGAAAGGTGTGCTGTACACTGAGCCCATGAAGTCATCGTGCGTCTTGGCCACATCTCACGTAATATGTTATTCTATGAGACTTATATGTGATACACAGATGGCGGCCACCTAAGTTTATACGAGATAGAAATCCCGAGGAGACCAGGAGGATCTGGGAGAAAAACCACATCATCGTTGAGGGCGACAACATACCGCCACCCATTGAGAACTTCACGGACATGAAAGTTCCGGAACCTCTTGTCAAGTTTCTAAAGTCGAAGCGGATCACGAAGCCTACTCCCATTCAGCTGCAAGGGATACCGACGGCGTAGGTCACAATATCCACGATCTTCTCGGCTCAGCTAACATTCTCGACAGCTTCGCTGGACGGGACATGATTGGCATCGCATTCACCGGCTCCGGGAAGACCCTCGCATTCTGCCTACCTCTCATGATGGTCGCTCTTGAAGAGGAAGCGCGACTCCCCCTAGTCCGTGGCGAAGGCCCCGTCGGAATCATCCTTTGTCCTTCCCGGGAGTTGGCTACACAGACATACGAGAACGTCCTGACTTGGACCGCCGCACTTGCGAAGGACGGGCAGTATCCGCAGCTTAACACGCTGTTGTGCATCGGCGGCATCTCCATGGGGGAGCAGAGCCATGTCCTAAACAAGGGGCTTCACATCGTAGTAGCGACCCCAGGGCGTCTCATAGACATGCTCGAGAAGAAGCGATTCACGTTTGACAACTGCAAGTACCTCTGTATGGACGAAGCTGACCGGATGATCGACTTGGGTTTCGAAGACGATGTCCGTAACATCATGAGCTTCTTCAAGGTGAACTCCAACCCGTCCAGTCAGCTGCGAAGATGTACTAAAGCGAGTCATAGCGACAACGCCAGACGCTACTTTTCTCCGCTACCATGCCGAAGAAGATCCAGGATTTTGCACAACAGTCACTTGTGAAGCCCGTTCTGGTCAACGTCGGGCGTGCTGGCGCAGCGAACCTGGACGTCTTGCAAGTCGTCGAATACGTCAAACAGGAGGCCAAAATGGTCTACCTCTTGGAGTGCCTGCAGAAGACGCCCCCGCCGGTCATCATCTTCAGCGAGAACAAGAACGAAGTCGATGGTCAGTGCACTGCAATAGTTAGTGTCGTTGCAGAGATTCATCTCCTGTTGCAGACATCCAAGAGTACCTGTTGTTGAAAGGTGTTGAGGCTGTCGCGATCCACGGATCCAAAAGTAAGTCGTGTGATTTCCAACGGCTATGCCCGCCCGGCTAATCCCACGCTTCCAGCCCAGGAAGAACGCCAGTACGCAATCAAGTCCTTCAAGTCGGGCGCAAAGGATGTCATGGTAGCGTCCAGCGTCGCCTCCAAGGGTCTCGACTTCAACGACATCCAGCACGTCATCATCTTCTCGATGCCCAAGGAGATCGAGGACTACGTGCACCAGATCGGTCGTACGGGCCGAAGCGGCAAGACCGGTATCGCAACCACATTCGTGAACATGAACACGCCGGAGCAGACGCTCCTCGACCTCAAGTACCTGCTCATGGAAGCCGGCCAAAAGTGAGTGATCATCGCCGCCTCTCTTCGCCGTCGGCGTCGTCGTCCGTCTTCCGAGTGTGCTGACTGATTGCGCTTCATAGGGTCCCACCGTTCTTGCAGAGTATCGAGGATCCCCGCGCGGCGCAGGGCGGCACGCTCAAGGGCTGTCCTGTGTGTGGTGGACTCGGCCACGGTATCTCCAACTGCCCCAAACTGGAGGATACGCAACGGAGGCAGATGGCTTCTCATCGGATCTCAGATGACACAGGAGGCTATTGAGTTCGTATGTCCAGCCCGGGTCTTTATCGCATTGCCTATGAAGATGTCGTGTGTACTCAGTGCAAGAGCCTTAAGAGGATGCCCGGGGGTAGTCATGCTTCAGGTGGCTGGCAACGAATCACGATATAAGGATATCTGTTCTACAAGCTACACGCGTACAGTATGTAATTCCTTCACGGCTTCTACTTCTTTCCCAGGTCACGTTCAGAGCTTAGACGCGCCGATGAAAGAGACACCCTGTATGGGAAACGGTGAGCCCGCATGGAATATTTCATTCAAAAAGCCCACATACCTTCTCGATGTTGGTTTGTAGCTCAGGAACGGCAGCCTTGATGAGCTTCGTCTCGTACTCGCTGATCTTGCCGAGTGACTTGATCGCAACCACACCCTCGGCCTTTGGACAACATCAGCTATATGCCCCGCTGTAGTAGCATTCGAACTTACGCCGAGTTCAACGGGTGCCGAGAAGTACTCGAGGTCACTGCCAATCTCTTTCTTGAGGGCCTCGCCGCCTGCTGCGTCGGCGGCGAGGTTAACGAACGTAGGTGCAACGAGGCCCTTCTCGCCCTTGACGGCACGGATGATCTTGTTCGCGAATTCGACACCGGCATAAGCCATAGAAAGGGTCGCAGATCCGGCGCCATCCTTCGCTTTGACGACCTCGTCACCGCCGAACTGGATGCGATTCGTCAGCTGCTCCAGAGCGTCCTGGGCGAAGCCAGACGGGAGCGGGTGAGAGGACTGCGAGAGCAAGGGCACGATCTATCAGATAGCAAGGTGTTAATTCCCAACTCCTGATTGGACAAGTTGAAAAACTTGCCGTCACGCCGGAGTGACCACCGACCACGGGAACGACGACACTGGGTGCCTTGCCGAGGTCGCCAAGGATCTCAGCAACGAAAGTCGAAGCGCGGACGACATCCAACGTAGTAACACCGAAGATCCTGCGGAACGAACGTGAGCCAATGTGATGAGCAAAGATAGCATAATTCGCACTTCTTAGGATTGAAGACACCGTGCTGCTTGAAGACCTCGGCTACGATGGGGACGGTTGAGTTGACAGGGTTCGAAATGACCAAGACGAAGGCCTTGGGCGCGGTGGTCGCAATGCCAGTCGCGAGATCGCGAACGATGCCAGCGTTAATCTAAATATCGCGCTTGTTAGCAAGAACGGAATACGGTGAGATGTCGTGAGATGACCTTAAAGAGATCGTCTCTTGATGACGCGATACATCAGGATGTCAATGGCGCCATGTACGAGGAGCTCAAAGAACCAACCTCGTCATCTGGAAGAGTCTGTTAGCGTCCGCTTACGAGACGACGATGAATTATACGTACTCCGGGTTTACGGGGAACACCAGCGGGGATGACAACGATGTCGGCACCGGTCAAGGCCTTCTTGAGACCATCATCTGGGGGAAGGTAGCCGACGACCTTGGCAGGAGTCGCGATGTGGGACAAGTCGGCAGCAACACCGGGCGTGTTCACGATATCATAGAGGCTCAACTGTCATAGGTGTTGGCTACTTATTTTTTCTCCTCCGCGCAAAGGAAGGCGTACCTCCGTGACGTTGGGGTTAGCCTTGAGGAGCAGAGACAGAGGCTGGCCAATGCCGCCTGATCAAGCCCGATTAGCGGTGAAACACAGAACACGGACCCAGAACTCAAGCGACGCACCTGCAGCACCAAGAACGACTGCTTTGACCATTGTAAGTGATGTGCGAGGCGATGAGAGGGGGATATGGAAAGATGGAGGAGAGAGCCAAAGGAGGCCACTGGCTGCGATCCCGAGGTCTATCGTCGCGCACGTGATCGCATACCCCCCGTGGGGGGGCCGCTGCTTCGGGCCGCGATGCGCGGCGACAACGGAGGCCCATGCTCCTCCTCTACTCCCGCCCCCCGCTGTCTGCAGCGCTCGCTCATTTACTTCGTGCTACCACCAAGCCAGCTGTTGCGCGCAGGTTCATCTACATCAATACCCCCAGCGCGATGCCAGAGTCCAAAGTTCTCTCAGTCGAAGACCTGCAGACTTCGGAGGCAAAGTGAGTACAGCATCCGGCAGCGTTCCTACCGGGCTCTATCCAATCAAACGCTCCCCGTGTTTCTGCGAAATCAGGTGGGTGAAGCTCAAGAAATGCACTTGGAGGGATCCGGATGGCAAGGAGGTATGTTGCAATCCGTCGCATTTAGTTCGTCCGCCGGGATGACGTCTTTGGCGGTATCAGCGGCCTTGGGAGTTTGCGACACGTCCGACGCGGGGTTCCGGCGGCGTAGATGGTGAGTGCATCGCGCCCCGTCGTGATTCCCAGTATGTATTCATCCACGCCTATGGCGTAGCCGTCGCGATTCTCGCCATCCTTCGGTCGGAATCAAATGCATTTCCACCGTCCACCATAATCATCGAGCAATTCCGACCGCCCGTTGAGCGATATGTCGTGGGTATGTAATCTCTATCCCCCGACGCGTTACGAACTTCGATGACCGGGATGTACAGAGTTGCCCGCAGGTTCGTGGGACCGAGGGACACGTTGATTGGCTGGACAATCGACTTACACACCTTCTAGGACTAATCGATGAAGGAGAGTCAGCGGAAGGAGCCGCAATTCGTGAACTCGAGGAAGAAACTGGCTTCAAGGCCAGCAGTGTCATACAGACGTCCCCCCTGCTTGTGTGCGATCCAGGTCCGCACTCCGGGTCCTCTGGCATATTTTCTACCAATGCTCACCCTGACATAGGGATGACGAACGCCAATATGAAGTTAGTCACTGTCGACGTACCATTCCCTGAGAAACTGGAGATGCCCGCGCAGAAGCTCGAACCGGGAGAATACATCACGGCGCGCATCGTGGAGCTGTCCAAGTTGGCCGCCGAGTTCAAAGGTTTGTCTTCGATTGTCATTGTCATTGGCCAGGCTATGAAAACCTAGATATGATCTATCAGAATACGAGAAGAAGGTCGGTGTATCGCTGATTCCCCCTTTTTGCAAACTCAAAGCTAGTGCTCCTAGGGTTTTGTGGTCGACGCGAGGCTCAGCCACATGGCCTCAGGTTTTGAGCTCGCCGAGAGGCTTCGCCAGGCCAAGCCATAATTGGTTCGTTGCTGATGCGCAAAATAGAAGTGTACATACATGTAATTTGTTAGGGCTGACTGCCAGTGTAAGATTAAATTCGCAAACCCGTGCATGGAATGCACCGGTATTTCGCAGGTACGAGGTTTCATTGTCTACTGAATGAGCACTCATGGGATCTCAGAGTGCTCTTCGTCTAGATCTGTTCACTGTCCAGTGGTCTCTACCTATAGTGCCATGCCAAGCGTCAACTTCACGTACTGATGCATTTGCGCATGTTTGGTGAGTCATTATTCTGTGTCATTCTCATAGGACCTCAGCGAAGTCGTGGTCGGCTTCCACGCCTCGAGGGTTGTCCATTTGTAGCGTTCACAATGGATCTGCGACGGACTGCACCGACCTATGAATTGCACGCTGCTTATGAGCCAGTGCACAGCCTCGCATGCAGTCATCGATATGATCCCATGGTTCGAGCGCTGCCAATTGTGTGGGCGCTAGATGCGCTCGGTAGCGTTTGCCTGGAATCCGAATTTCCATTATACTGACACATATAGTCGATTCTTCGACGCCAGAACTGGATGTACGTGGAAAAGACTTGCCTGCAGGCAACCCTACAGTCACAGCCTTATCATGTAATAGAGTTCCGTCCACTGTGTATGTGGACGGAGCGATGCTGGTGTTCACTCGTCATCATCAGCCCACATGTGTACAACCTGTGTGGTCCGTGTGACTATTCATGTCCGCGTGCGCGATTATGCTTCCTCAGCGTCCGTCCCTGTTTCGATATGGACCTCTAAGAGCACTCGAAGTGGATGATTTCCGAGTATGCCAGTGTAACTGAGACCCGTGGAAGTCCCTTCTCGAAAAGCGTCTTCTCAGGGCCACAGCCTCGCGCATCTCCTTCGCGTGCACGATTACGATGCTACAGCCTGCATGCTCGTCTCGCTTGACTGGGGTCCACTTGTCCTATTTCTGCCTTATTGCCCCTCATCCTTGTACCTTCAAGCTCGATCGTGTTGCAGCTTTGTCGCGGCAGCAGTGGCAAGATGCGTTGGGCGGTGCTAAATACAACGCTGCCTGTGTCCCCGTCCATCGCACTTCCATTTTGAGCGTCCGGGACACAACTGCTTCCTGCCTCCATATTGTACTAGTAGGAGCAGCTATCATGTCTCTCTGGCAGAACGGACTCGTAGACAAAGGGTCACTGTTAAGGATGCGTCAGAGCCTATTGACAGTCGTAACGCCTTCGACATACAAAGAGATTGAAAGCCGGTGTCAAGTTAGCAAGGAGGCGAAGGCTTGATCGAATTACCATCTCAGAGGCAGTGAGCGCTTCAGATGGCAAGGGCTTCGGCGCACAATGAACTCGGTAACTCGCGAACGCGCATCGCATGTAAGGAAGGTTTCTGCATGTCCAACTTCCTGTGGTCAGCAGGTTTACACAGCCTCGTTGTGCACAAATAAAACCTGTCTTCGCCAGTCGACCTATGATCTCCAGACACTCCTCGCATCGCACCCTACTCTGCAACTCCTTCGCTCTCACCGCCCCCTACCATCTCCGACTTAGCAAACTTGGTATGTCCATGTGCAGGCCGTTGTGAGCGTACGATGAACTGACTTGCATCGTCAATTATCTCCTTCAGCTTCCCCCCACCCCGTAACATCTTTCCTTATCGCCCCAGATCATGTCCATCCATTCCGGGTTTTCCACTGCCGCTCTTCTAGGTTTCGTCGGCGGAGAGCAGAACCTTGGCGCTTTGCAGGTGACCCACGTCAACGGTCGCCGCAGTCTCCCAAGCGCCTTCAATGCCCCAGGTAGTTACCTGACTGGGCAAGGCTTTGGTAGACTGACTGCCTCGCGCGTCTGGGATGGCCCACATCCTGGCGTAAGCGTCGACCCCACTGCCCTATCATCCAACTCGTCATCCTTGAACGGCCCCAAGTTCACAGCAGCATTCTCGGGGTCAGCTCTCCCCACCACCGGCCCTATCGCGAAGCTCTTGACAGAGTACTCCAGGAAGCTCGCTGTTACCGTCCTCGAGGGGCGCGTCACCACTCCTTCGGCGGTGACGGTCGTTGAACTTCCCGATGCTCCCGAGTGTGAGGTACACCCGACAGCTAGGATAAGCGCGCCGGTCATTCTCCCCATACTCGTCAGCTCGGCGGCCACAGCTGCTTGCGGTGTCGTCGGTGATTGGTCTACTGTGGGAATGCTCATCCTCGGGATGGCTAGCAATGGCATCGCGTCTTACGCTCTCCAGGCTGGCGATCTCACTTTCACTCGCCCCGTCACTACCCCCGGTGCTCCCGCAGGCGACGGATATCTCGAGTCGGACAACGAGATCGTCGTTTTGAAGGGATCAGAAGCCGCTGTGAGCTCTATCACCCGTGGACAGTTCACGCTTCGCTGCAAGAACGAGGGCGCCCTTCAGGCCTTTTCCACCTGCAGTTTCCTATTGACTCTCCAGTGTGTGGTGCAGCTGCTTGTCGTTCCCCGAGGCTCTTTCTTCGGCCAACTCTTCTTCCTTTTCACCATGGTTGTCTCCTGGCTATACAATGCCTACGTTGCGCGCCAGGAGAAGGCAGCATGGGAGAAGCTCGTCCTTGAGGACCTACTCAATGCTCCTACGATGAAGCGCTACAGTCTCGGGACGAGGACACAGGCGGCTGTATTCCTCATGCAGGTCTTGAAGCCTTCGAACGTGGAGGAGCAGCTTTCCTTGCTTATCCCCAACAACACTCCTGTCTGGAAAACCTGGAGGCAGACCGTCGCTCGTCGCCTCCAGGACTCGAAGCCGATCTTCGATGGCGCTGAGGTCGAGAGATCTTCCTCCTTCAACGCGAACGAGATGAAGTTGCTGGCAACCCTATTCAACGATGCCCAGGCTGCCGTCGATGCCTTCACGAAGCTGAACGGCAAGTTCTGAATAGGAGGAGCATGCTCTCGACGTAGCCCCCTCTCGCATACGTCTTCGTTCTCAAGAAGAATCATCCCGCGACCCAGAATCATGAGCTCGATATCGCTTTGCTGCCTTGATACCGCCGAGAAGTCGTGAAAGATTTGTTTCTATGTGTCCTTTCTCCACTTACACAACATAGTACCCGTGCCCCCTGATCGTCGCGAAACCTTCTACAACCCACCGACCATTTGAAAATACGTTATGTCGATGTTTGCTAATGTCTACTATGCCGACTTCCCGCGTACGCTTGTTTCCCACTCGTATACCCACTGTCAGACCTTTTAGTTGTTTATTTTCAATACGATTCCTCGTACCTCCCCAACCATGTGCTCTTAGACGATGCTCTGGAACTGCTTCAAAATCTCCCTATGACAACAGTGCTTTGTCGTCGAAGGCCGTGCAAAACAAATGCGGGGCCAGGCGCGATCCGACTCGGATGTAGAGTATCAGAGGTGCTACTTGGAGCACCCACAAAGCGATATCGATGAGATACGGGCACTTCGCCAGATACCAAGCCCCACGAGGCACATCGCCAGCCGCAAGTCACGGTGAGCGCGCCGCCCGCGCAGTCAACAGGACTTCTCTTTCTGCGCCTTCAGGGCGTCTATTCCAGAGAACTTCTCACCAGCACTGGCACTGGCAATTTGACGAGGTTCCTCGCAACACTGCCCATACACAGGTGCGCATCCCTCGACAAAAATCTTGGCTGACATCTGGAAGCTATGCAATGCTACTCTGCTCTGTACGTGTAGTGGCGACTTTTGAATGCATTGACGTAGTACAACACTGCTTTACCTGCGGTCTGGAAGCTCAGTGTATTCACGAGATACGCTGCTCCTTGGCGGTCATGCCGCCCATCCTATGCTGCCTCAGAAGCACTGACATGAGGCCTTCCCGGTGCCATCGATGCTCGACGGACTTCGACTCGCCCCTCCGACGCTTCTCGCTTTGTCTTAGTCCTATAAGCACCAGCTCGCCTAGTACTCCCCCGCTTCGACTCTCGAGCACGCCCTTCACGACCTAACGATCTCCCTTTACGCTACCCTCATCCTACGGCACCATCCATGCCTGTCATCCCCACGGAGCCATTGCGGCGCTCTACCCTCAACCTCGACATATCCGGAGTAGCCGGTTTCTTCGGCGGAGATGTCGCCGTGTCCGCCATGGGGACGGTGAATATCTACCAGGGCAGGAAATGGCTGGGCTGGTATAACATGCCAGGCAGCTACGAGATCGCGAAGCGGTATGGTCGGCTTGCCCGATCACGCATATGGAGTGGTCTATACCCAGGAGGCCATGACGAGCCAGCCGTCCTCTTCGAACTCGACGGGACCGTAGGTCCCAGGTATCGAGGAGTGTACTCTGGTACGGTCATGGCCAAGACAGGGCACATAGCGCGACTGGTGGTGTCCGAGAGCAAAGAGCTCCCGCAACAGACCTGGACAATACCGGCAGGTGCGCGCGAGACTTCGCCAATCGCCGTGACGATCGTCGACTTGCACGTTGTGCCCGCAGAGACTATCGAGCCCCATATCATGACAAAGTGGTCCGCTTCCGCCTTCACCAGCGCTCTATCCTGCATCCCAATGCTTGCCTCGGCGGGGACATGCATTGCGTGTGCCTTCGTCGAAGATTGGCTTTGTTTCGCTATGATCGCGATTGGCATGTTTTGCAGCGGGTTCTCCTGCTTTGTCATCGGATCTGGCACCTTCGCGTTCAGACACCCCAAACCCGCCCAGGGCGCACCCCTGGGCGATGGCATCTTAGACGACAACAACCATTTTGTAATTCTGCGAGGGGAGGAGGGGGCGGTCAATCCTATCACCAGAGGGGCCTTTTCGCTCACATACAGAAGCGCACCCGACTACAGCGATATTGGCCTCAGCTCCCTCTTCCTCACGTTACAGTTCCTCGTGCAGCTACTCGTTGTCCCCCAAGGCACTATCTTCGGCCAAATCATGTTTTTGTCGTCTTTAGGCGTTTCCTGGCTTTACAACTCGTTCCTGTCTTCCTTGGATAAAAGGAGTATCCAACGCCGCATTCTTTTCAAAGACGTCCTCGGGAACCCGAGAACGTACAAGTACGTCTTACCGACAAGGACGGCTATGGCCGTCTTTGTTTTGCTTGTACTTGCTAGGCCGAGGGAGCCGTCGTCGCAGACGGAGACCCCCGTGGCATATGGAGAGAAGACGGCATTATCGAGCCCTCGTGCAGAGCAGGAACCCCTAGGAAACCTCCTGAATGACCTGCTTCCCAACGACACGGAAGTTTGGACCACGTGGAAACGTGACCTTCTGGTCAAGATCGACAAGCATGTCGATGACCTTAGGCATATTTCCTTCGACGCTCCCGTCCCGTCTGCAAAGGAGAGCGCCGAGCTTCTCGACGCCCTGCACAAGGATTCCCTAGTCGCGCTCGCTGCCTATCAGGCTTACCGAGAGAAGTGGGTACAATACCTTTATGCGACCATCGCGTCCTCAGCTAACTTATCTTCCAGGCTGGAGGAGGACGCCAGGTATAGCTTATAGACGTCTTTCTATCCGTGTATGTTCTGATGAATCCTCAGGAACTCAATGGAGAGTATAGATGGGAAGCGAACGCCTGAACGCAAGGACAGGACGTCAACCAATACTTTCTCGGCTATGGAAATGGGGGAGCTCCAGGTGTGAGGTACGTCAACAGTTAGCTGCCTACGGGAGGGTTCTTATTTATAATCTGTCTGTCTCACGGTTCCTGTAGCCTTCCAGTGGTCGCACGCGCGTGCATACTTTCGAGATGCATTCTTACACATACGCATCGGACGTTGTTGTCTTGGCTACTAGGCAGTGCGCTGTCACGGAAACATTGTGAACTATGTATCAATACTTACCAGCTAAACGCACACAACGCTGTATTTCTGTACTTGAAGTAACGATTTCCGGAGGCTCAAGGGATATGAGAACGATTGGCGGAGGACTCTTTGAAGTGATCGATGCTCCCGCGATGAGCCAGGTGGCGGTGCATAGGCGCTGACCAAGAAGCCGCTCGGATCGGAAATTGGACAAGGCGCATCTGTCCGCTTCTCTTGGATGGTTCCCTGTTGATGGCCAGCGACGTCTGCCAGTGCCTTGTTCAGCGGCAATGCTTGCCACTCATTCATTTTCCCCTCGCCGGTCCTCCTCGTTCCTTTCTGTCCGTTTGTGCCTCATCTGAGCATCCATAACTTGTCCCATGCCATGCCGCAGATCCCGCTCAAGTCTTCGACCATCAACCTCGACATCTCTGGAGTCGCAGGTTTCTTCGGAGGCGATGTCGCTGTCTCCGCTATGGCCACCGTTCACGTCTACCAGGGGAGGAGATGGCTGGGATGGTACAACTCACCAGGGAGTTACGAGATCGCCAAGCGGTATGGACAGCTCGGTCGATCGCGTTTCTGGGACGGTCTCTACCCGGGTGTTAACGTCGACCCCGCTGTACTCTTCGAACTTGACGGCCAGAATGGTCCCAAGTATCGTGCAGTCCATTCCGGCACTCTCATGTACAAGACAGGACATCTCGCCCACCTCTTCCTCCAGGAGTGCAAGGATATTCCGCCCAAGAACACGCACGAGCTCGACGAGGAACTCACCAGAGTGACAACCCCCGTGTATGTCACCGTCGCTGATCTCGTACATCAGCCCCCGCGGGAGGAGTATCCTCGCCTCGTCCGGGACACAACCAGTCCTCTTGCGTTGATCCCCATCCTCGCTTCTTGCGCAGCCGCCGTTGCCTGTGCCATCTTCGCGGACTGGTTCTGCTTCTCAATGATCGCACTGGGAATGGTCAGCAGTGGCGTCTCTTGCTATGTCATCGGCACGGGCACTTTCACGTTCACCCATCCAGAACCTGCGGATGGTGCCCCGCCGGGCGACGGCGTTCTGGAGGGTGGAGATGAGATTGTCGTCTTGAAGGGTCCCGAGGGATGCATCAACCCAGTCACAAGAGGGCGCTTCTCTCTCAAGTACACCGGCGAACCACAGTACCATAACATTGGACTATCTTCGATGCTACTCACTGTCCAATTCCTCGCGCAGTTACTCATAGTACCACAGGGAGAGATATTCGGCCAGATCATGTTCCTCTCTTCGCTCGCCGTCTCTTGGATGTACAACTCGTACCTCTCCTCGCTCGACAAGGAGAGCATCCAAAGGCATATCCTTGTAAGTCAGGTTCTCAAGTCCCCGGTCATGCGCAAGTACAAGCTCGGGACGAGGACTATCATGGTCGTCTTCGTCTTGCTCGTGCTGTCCCCTGCCGACGAATACGCGCTGCGGAAGGTCATGGACGACTTGCTTCCGAACGAGACCCCAGTCTGGCGACTCTGGAAAGCGACCGTCTTGCACGAAATCCGGAATGTCACCCATAACATCGTCGAAGGCTCTGGCGCGTTCTGGTTCGACCTGTCGGTAGGCGATGGCTTTGCGCCGAGCGACCGTAAACTCCTGTCTACTCTCTATCGAGATGCGGCAACGGCTTATATTGCATATCAAGAGTACGTGTCGACGCGTACCCCGAATAGTATTACCTTGTTATTGATTACAGTTGCCGTACAGATTGTATCAGCGCGGGTAAGGTAGTCGCCCTGGACTCGATCGTAGAATCTGTTCTCATGCCCATCTGCTCCGCGACTCAGACCCCAGACTTCTGATTGGATTCCACCATCTGACCCTCCGAGTCCTGTCGATCCGTCCTCAGTGTGACTGCCATGACTCTCCGATTGCTTGTCAGGGTTATCTGTGGACCGCATATGTACGTCTTGCTGGCTGCTCTAGGTGCTCGTCTGCTGGTGCTCACTGCGGTCTGCCTGTGCCCTAGCTTTACTATCTCGAAATCTACCTGTGCCAAAGCTATTCAACTTTCAATGCGTTCTTCTTGTACAACTTGAATCACCATCTGCATCCATACTGTTACAGCTGGTTTCAGCTCGCTTGTCGCGAGAGCGCCGCGCCGCGTCTCGCGCATTTGCCTGTTTTTCCCCTCTTAAGCGCCCCCAAAGGAACTTCGGACGACGATATCTCCTCGACAGCTCAATGTAACCGCCTCATTCTTGCATATTCTAGCTCAGGATTACGACGCGCAGGGCACGGTGCTGGTTTCAAGTTGGCCGCTCGTATATCGGACGTTCCGCCCGCCTTCGGTCGATTTCACGCCGTCTTCTGCATCCATCGCACACATTTCCTCAAAGGTCACATGGAGATACCTGGAGAGCTCACTGGAAGCCGTTGGCGGATGTTACGGAGGGCATATGGCGCAGAAGAGGTCCATGAGGTACGTTTTCTCTGTTCTGCGAAGGGTTCTGGCACATGCCTAGTATACCACTCTGTCGTATATCGCCAAATCCAACACATCTTTGCTACAAAACATGTCCCATATGTCCACTGTAAGCCTACAAACTCATGCAATTGTGCCGGTTGCCAATTGTAGTGTTCTACAAGCTCTCCTTTGCAGCTCCAATCTACCCACTTCGTCTGTTCGTCCCTCCTACTCAACAGTGACTACATGGCCCCTGATCCCTTGCAAGACCACAGAAATTATGGAGATAGCTCACGAATTCATGGTGTCTGGTGCTCCCCGAGAGCACTTTGAGCTGGCCCAAGAGGGTTGCCACCCGAACCCACTCTATGGTGGACGCGCTTGTCTCTGCACGTCCCGGCTTTTGAGACAGAGCCCTCGGTAGCGTCTTGTCTTAACCATTCCGACAGTTTCCGGGAGAGTACACCATACCATTCAGCCAACAACGCTGTCCGAGTCCAGTAGGGAGCTGGAAGAGCGGGAATGCCCAGAAGTTGGTAACGTCGGGTTGGCACGATTTCAATGCAATACCGTGCCCTGCGCGTCGTAATCCTGAGCCATAATACGCAAGAATGAAGTGGTTACATAGAACTGTCGAGGAGATATCGTCGTCCGAAGTTCCTTTGGGGGCGCTTAGGAGGGGGAAACAGGCAAATGCGCGAGACGCGGCGCGGCGCTCTCACGACAAGCGAGCTGAAACCGGCTGTATGCACTACGTAGAATCCACTCAACACCTGTATCGAGATGTCGCTTTTGCATTTGCTCCATTGAGACCTCCGCCATACATTGCGTACCGTCATAAAACTCATCGCCTATCGGACAGTTACGTACTGCAACGCATCGTCAGGAACTGTTTCGTTCCAACATTGTACAACTCTTACTCCATAGGGACCTGTACGCATATCACATTTATCGTACCTAGATACATTTGTACCCTGCCCAAATTCACGGATTTAGTCGATTGGTATGTCTTTCAGCAGCGTTGCTTCATCTAGAAGCGTGCTAGGTGAACTTTTGGTGATGAGGCTCACCCGGCTCCGGAATAAACGACGAGAGGAGTGCACGATCAACGCGCATAGCCCACGAGTCATACTGGTGTCTCTGTATCATCGCAGGCAGTGCGGCGCTGTTCGGTCTCATGCCGGCACATCCATACGAGTCAACCTGATGCGTCAAAGTGTTGAGCGACCGCAACTAGAGAGGGAAGGTCGTCCGGACGGTTCTCAAATGAGCAAGCCATTGGTGAATACAGAAGATACCGGGCAGCTACCGGCAGCACCCTAAGATACATCATATACACGGAGCACGATGAGACATGGGAGTTTACGAACACTGGAGCCGCATCACGCGGTCCGTCACCTATGACTGTCGCGAAAACATGAGCAAGGTTTAAGACAGGTTGCACAAGAGAAGCGTTACTGACTCGCGTTAATCTTCCACTGCACGTCGGTAGACCTGAAGTTGCGTCCCAAACCGGAGATTCTCGATTTGGCAGTGTTTGCCATCCTTCACGATACGAAGATCAACTTGATGCTCGTCCTCCCCGCGTCTCTCATGTTCGTGATACCAGAGCAGTCGTGGACCCCTGTGTGGCAGCGACTGATATTCGACTGTCTCATGGAACCATCGAACACAATATCCAAGCCGCCATTGCCCCCCTATCCAGCCGAACATGGCAGGTTCTCGAATTCGGCCAGGCTGTATCACGGCGTAGGTTAATAACAGAACACAGGGAGCAAGATTGCCCCGCACTCACCCATGGAGGCTGCCAACCGGGTTGTGAGGGTCCTTCGTTCCAGACGTAGAGGCACCAAATCCACACAGGAAGATCTACCCATACCTCATGGAGAGGCCAACCATCCACGTCGGGATGAAAGGCTACGCGAATTTGCGGGATGAGGAAGGTGATACTTTGGGCGATTGCAGTAGCTCGCTGCCTCAATTTCGGGTCGACGCCGGGTGGAAGATAGTTGAAGTAATGTATGTCTGTGGTCCTTTGACCGGGAAAACGTGTCCCTTCGGAGCCCAATAAGCCAGTATAGGTCTGAGGGACGTTCATAGCAGCGAGTTGCCTCGGGATCCAGCCTCACGGTCACTTATTTATTGAGGCTTTGAGAACGATAAGCGAGAACAATGGGAGCGATGACAATGGGAGTGACGACAATGGAAGCAAGAACAATAGGAGAAGAACAATGGGAACAAAAAACGGGGGCTCGAAAAAGACGCACTCCTTTGGCGTCTATATTCGAAGCATTCAACTCAGACGGCTAATTCGAACTTCGATTGCTACCGCCATCTCTATCGTCTCCTGCGTGTCATCATGCCTCGCACCTCTCTCGTGGGTATAGTTGTATGATTCTGTCACGATCTCGGGGTATTGACTTGGTTGATGTTGCAGCCTCTCACTCCCCCGAGCTCTTCCCCTCCGCGTCCTCCCACACGTGGATTGGGTTCCCAACCACAGCCACTCCCGCCAACCTTCTATAAGGCCGACGAGTATATGGTGCAACGATACCCAGGCTTCAAGCCTATGACCGAAGCCGAGCTCCACGGCTCCATCAAGATGGCTTTCCAAGCTACTGACGAAAACTTGCATACCTACATTGACGCTATCAATAAACGCGTGGAGGAAATGATTGCAGGTCCCGGGATCCGGACGATGGGGGTGAGTCATGCGTTCTGTCACTGATGTGTTGCTTATTTATTCACATCCTACGCTCCAGGTGAAGCCGCAGTCAGACGACAAGACCTTCTTCGTGCGCATCCCCGACTCCGAGTATGCGATCCGTATGTGGGATGGCGGGATGGACTTCTACCGCCAGTTCTGCCTCGATTTCTACGACACTCGTCGACAGATCCCTGTCAATCTTCCTGAGGGATTCGCCCTTTGGTCGTCGCCGTCGAACGTACAAGGCATGTACACGATGTCAGGCCCACTCGTTTCGTGGGAAAGGGCTATGGATTGTAAAGACTTCCCCGACGGGGAAGAGAAGTGGAGTGTTCCGGAGGGCATGCACATCACCCTCGTGCGAGCAGACCGTCCTGAGACTTTCACGTTCATGGTGCCTGTTAGGCAGTCTGCGTATGCCGTACCTGTACAACCTCAATATGGGAACCTGTGATGGGCACGTACGTTTGTTGTGTATTTGTATCTCCCCTCTTCATGATATCGAATGAACAAGGCGTTGTCGTCTGACCATTGCGAGTGATTCTCCGCTAGTTGCCGAGTTACGACAATGCATGAACAGCTCGCCTTCGTTGGCAGCACAGAAAGCAGGACGTCCTTGGTAAGTATATCAGCCTCATAATGCACGTTTCGCCTGACGCGGCGGAGAGCATGAGCATTGCCCACATACAGACTGGTACGCGAAACTTATCTTTGCGTCATTGCCGTGTCAGTGACGAGGAACGCAGTGACTTTTGTAACGTCCGCAAAGTGGACACCCATGTCCATCATTCCAGTACTTAGCATGAACCAGAAGCACCTGCTCCGCTTCATCAAGTCGAAGATGAAACGTAGCCCACAAGTACGTCAGCTTTTGTGGGAATGAATCGGTCGTCTCAATATGTTCCCTAGGACGTGGTGGTTTTCCGCTGATGGGCTAACCTGACTATATGTTAAATGGGTCGTGGACAGCTAGCTTGACGCGATAAACTGGCTCCAGGCAGCCGCTTTCCGTTGGGCTCTTCGTGTGGCTAGTAGCTAATTGTGTTGATAGCCGGCAGATACTCATAACTTTTGTTTGTACGCACATCATAAGAGATGCCTATGAAATATTCGCACCAAAAATGTCCCTTCATCACAGATGAAAGTCTCATAAAGCACAGAGTAACCGCCTACATACATATAAGAGTATTCGGAATGTACCTTAGTTCGTTCGTATCAAGACCAGACCCAAACTCCAGATGGACCTGGTAGCTTTCAGCAATAACGCCTTCCATCTTTAATCAGATCCGCAGCACGCTCCGCAAACGCATACACCACTGCTTGTGGATGCGATGCCGGGATGTATGGCTAGAGAGATACAAAGTCAGCGACTCGGACAGATGCCGCATGAGAATTGAACAATACTCACAAAGACGCTTGCATCGACAACCCTCAGGCCCTTGGTCCCCTTGACCCTCAAGTCGGGATCGACCACGCTGCCCGTGTCGTTACATTTGCCCATCTGAGCAGTGCCCGTCGGATGCCACACGGTCATGGCCCGCGCCCGTGCCCACGCATCGACCGACTCGTCCAAGTCCAGATCCACGTTGGCGAAGTCCCCCCCTTGCCCCGTCACGAAGCCATCCCAGGTCTTCGCCGAAAGGAAGTGCGCTGCTGAGCGTATGGCGGCTCGCATGACATATATATCCAACGTCGTGTTGAGGAATGCAGGGTCGATGAGGGGCGAGTCGAAGGGGTTTGCTGACGCAAGCGTGATGCTGCCCCTAGAAGTGGGGGATACGAGCACTGTGTCAACAGTTATGAAGTATCCGGTTGGAGGAGCGGTTGCCGCCACGTAACCGTCCTGATGTGGGGGATGCGATGTCATCGAGATGTCCGCGGAGCGTACGGCATAGTCTAACTCACGTCAAAGAGGAACTCGTACTGCGCCGCAGTGGGGCCTGCGCTCGGGTCTTGCGCCGTCTTCCAGATTGGATCATCTGTCGGTAGCCTCAACCAGCCAATGTGGTTGAAACCGTTGCCGGTCATCGTGCCTAGCCTCTTGTCCTTCCATTCCTGCAACAGCTCATTGAAGAGTGTGCTGTTCCGTACGAGATTGTCATCCGTGTCGTCCTGAGCGGCTGCCACGCTGTACTGGTTGCCCACACCAGGGTGGTCAGAGAGATTCTGACCAACGGAGGGATGGTCGACGACGGTTTCGATACCAAGAGAGGAGAGATGCGAGGAGGGGCCGATTCCAGAGAGCATCAGGAGCTGAGGCGTGTTGACAGCGCCTGCGGATAATATCACTTCCTTCGTCGCATTGAAGGCAAAGACAGGCGCTTGAAGCACTCCTGTCAGATTCGGCATCGGCATCAAAGCAGAAGGATTTGCGTACATGTGCTCGATTGTGCGACTTCGACGCCGGAGAAGACTGGTACTCCAGTTACGTTATCGTGGCCACTTCTGAGGAGCCTCGTTGCGACCGTATTGACCAAAACGTCCAGGTTGGGCCGAGAAAGTACCGGTCTGATATAAGATGAAGATGCGCTTGATCGCATGCCGTTACCCGTTGCGCTTTGGGCCCACCCTAACTCAACACACTAAAGGTCAAATTACGAGATACAATGCTAGATGCAAGATATATGCAGACCGATTCCCAAGGGGTGACCAGAGTTCATGTCTATGTTGAAAGGATACTCATCACTAAGTTCTTGTGTGGTATTGATCACGTGTGAATCTATGGGGTATGGTGTATTATTGACTGTGATGTTTAGAGGCCCGCGTGTGCCGTGGATTTGGATGTCGATTTGACCACTGGTATTGTGATGGTCAACAGGCGGAACGAAATGTTCGATCTGGATTTGGGCGTCAGAGAAAATCAAACTGAATGTGTGCGGTGTAGGCAATTCTGACCTTCTTGAAGTAAGGCTCGATGGCATCCCAGGACCACCCATCATCTCCACTGACAGCGGCATACCTGTTGAAGTCGTCTAGAGAGCTTCGTGTCCAAGCCATGATGTCTGCAAGAATCACCTTGTGAGAGACTGTCTGGAAAGGGCGGCGCGAGACTCACTAATGCTGGAGCTACCGCCAAGGACATGTCCACGTGTATACGCGATGGCCCTCCCGCCTAACCCTGTCTGAGGGACCGTCGTATAGTTCCAGTCGTAAGTCGTATTGGGCTGCAGCTCAAGTGCAAGGTAGGGGACTTCAATCTGCAACACTCCTTCGTCGCTGCAGATGCAGTGCTTCAGATGTATGGCCGGCACTCAGTGAACGTATGCTGCTCACCTCGGACCAGCTTCAAGAAGCAAGACATTAGTATGCGGATCCTCCGAGAGCCGACTTGCGACGACGCTGCCCCCGGGTCCGGCGCCCACGACAACATATTGGTACTGTTTATTCGTAGGCACGTCGGCCGGGTTGGTGAAGAGTGCTGCGCTTGTCAGCTCTAGGTTTGCTGCCAAGGCAAAGGCAAATATCGCAAGGTTCTTGCGCATGACGAGAACGGTTGTGAAGTAAGATGAGCTATCCAGGGTTACGACACTCTCTCCGGTATTAAAACTGTTGGAGCAAGCGACCGCGACCTGGTGCTGTGCGAGTAAGGATGGTACGATTGATGATGACTAGCACCTGGTGAGCCAGATTACCTGAGCGTGGTAGCTAAGGGAGGCGATACCGGAGCGCCAGGGGGAATCTTAACTATAGGCTTTCATCGCAGGGTCCGCTCGGAGTGTGGCACTAGAACACGTTCGGAGGATGCAAGAATGTTGGACAGCCATCCTAAATGCTAGGAGGACACTGCAGTATGTGATTTCAGTATGGCTAGAAGACTTTGCGCAAGTTTAAACGATATGAAACTCACGCTTAGAAGTCGGCATACGCGCCGTCGCGTCGCAGGTCTGAACCACATAGAGGCCCGCAGTGATACCCACAGGGCGGGGCACTGCATCGCTGCGAGATATGTCATGACAGAAATAGCCCAGAACATGAAACGGGTGGCTGGAGCGGCTTATAGGAATCCTTGAGCGAGGTCGCGCGCGGCGAGCAGGTCGCCCGACGCTTAAGTTCACGATCAAGGTTAGCGGAACCATTTTGAACAGATGGCCGGATTGCACAAGCGTCACACAGCTGTCACGTTACAGATTGTGGCGTTGAGTAGAAGGAGCGCCGACACGGAGTGGCCACTGGCTCGAGCCAATACTAATCGTCTCTTCGACCATGTCCACCCGTAGGCACAAACGACGACGCATCGACACTGACTCAGATCCTGTGGCTTCCGAGCAATCCTCGGCATCCCCGCTGCGCAAGCATCCTACAGAGCAGCAGATCCAGAATGGGCCCGAGTCTGGTCCCAGTGAAGAAGCGCCGACTGACGAGTTAGACACAGAGGCGTTCGCGAAGGAACGCGACATATGGGATGCTTTCAGGGAGGAGCATTATGAGTGTGCGTTCCTCCTTCTCACCTCTCTCGACATAGCTTCCCTCAGCCGTCATTGTCGTAACAGTGCTCGAGCAGCTGCCCATATCCATCCATCGCGACTTCACCCTCATCCAGGAGCTTGACCAGCAAGCCCAAGGTCCGTCTCCTTTCGAGCGCCTAAAATCCAGGCATCTGACGACGTGCAGAGTTGACATCCAATCTCACTCCTACCATCCTCAAGTATATTGCATTGCGAAGAACATTGGCTGCAGCGTCGGACAAGCCGAATGAACCCGCGCCTACTGAGCATACACACGAGTCCAATGGCGCTCTAGACGCAGATGGCTCTGTGGTGGGCCCGCAAAGTCCAAAGCCAAATGGGACCACAGTGAATGGTAAAGCGGACTCCACACCTCCTGCACCTACCTCGGCAGCCACTTCCAACAAAGGTCGCACACCCTCAATCTCCTCAAGACCACTCTCTGTAGTCGCGGAGCCCTCGCAGTCGACTCGCGAACTCTTGACCAGCATGGCCCAATCAGTGGAGGAAATATCCCGTGCGTCTGTCGAGAAGCAGTACTTGGCGCAGCATGTCTGCGACCTGGTGAGTACACACATCCCCCTTTTCAGCACGTGTGTATCGCTCCGCGGATGGTGTCTCAATTGACACCTCGGGGGCAGGTTGACCGGTACATTCGTGACCTTGACCGTTCTATCAAGGAGCAAGAAGCTTCCATCTCCCTCGGCCTTCGTCCTGGGACTCATCCAGCTTCTATCATCCTTCCGGAGCTTGTAGTTCCACAGTTCAAGCGGACCCGAGCTGCTTCCAGTCCCCCTCCTCTCGAGCTTGACGCTATCGAAGACCCCCTGCGTATTGAGATCGCCGTCGAGCCTCACACCGAACCACACGAGCCACAGGCCCCGGCCCCGGCGGTGGAGGAACCCCCTACTTCCTTTCCGCTACCCCAGGAGGCGGAAACCGAAGACATCGAAATCATCGACGTCACTGCCGAGCCGGCTGACGGGCCAGTTGCGGAGCCTGCCGAACGAGCCCCTTCGCGTGTAAGGAGGGGCAGGAAGCGACGGAAGAGTGCCAAACCGAAATCCGAGAAAACGGCGGAGCCAGAGCAGGTGACTCCCGAGGAAGAGAACGCCGCACCTGAGGGAGAAAGCGAGACAGCAGCCCGTCCTCAGCCCCCACTCATGCTGAAGATCCCCGCGCAGTCCCAGGCGGCCGCACCCATACTCCCCGAGGGAGAGCCGCCAGACCCGGACGAGCCACGTTACTGCTTCTGCAACCAGGTGTCTTACGGCGACGTGCGTCCTGCTGTGTATACGTCAACAACGAACCGCTGACAGAGATCCGCTTCTTCTATGTAATCCCTAGATGATCGCCTGCGATAATCCGACGTGCGCGAAAGAATGGGTGAGTGAGCGTCGGCGCTGAGCGAGCGCGTACCTCGATTGCTAACCGAGTCTCGGTTTCGTTTGGACAGTTCCATATGGGCTGCGTGGGGCTCGTGCGCCCGCCGAAGGGAAAGTGGTACTGTCGAGAATGTGCCGAAATTGTAAAGAAACCGAAGGGTAAGAAACGCGCCCGGTAACCTCTCCTGCGACCTTTCGGCGGATGTGCAGAGTTCTTGTCAGGTATATTTTTCTCTAGGCTCCTTGTCTTATGGACCCTTGGGTCTGTTGTATCAGGTTAGACAGTACTTGTACAACGTGGGTATCACTACATGACTATACACCAAGTAATGCAATATTAAAGTAAGGGAATAGGGGAACAAGAATAGGACAATTCGTCAGGTACTCCTGACCTGCATGCCGAGCTTGTTCGCCAATGTCTCCATGTATACCTCTAAAAGCCAGTCAGCCGGGGCCTCGATGACAGTCATGTCATACGTACCAGTCTCATGCCGGAGTTTCCAGTACTCGGTCAACAGCTCGTTCAGCTCGGCTTGACTCGCCTTCATGTGCTCGGCCATCTGTGCAGACCTGAGTACTAGTGCGCATAGAGTCGCGCGCCTGCAGCGAACGCTCACCTTGCGCTCGATCTCGTCGGCTTCCGCCCGCAACTCCTCCACCTGTCTGTCATTATCCCGCCGCTCCACCGCCATCTCCTCGTACTCGCGCTGCAGTCGTTCGATCGTCTGCTGACTAGCGAGGCGTTTGTCTTCAGCGTGCCGCTGCGCGCGCTCCAGCTTCTCTTGCGCGTTTGAGAACTGCTTGTGGACACGCTAGCTCGCGGAAGCACAAGCCGTGAGCATCGCCAACAGCGGACGAAGATTGCGGAGCATGACTAACCTCGCGCCGCATGACGAGCTCCGCGCGCTCGCCCTTCTTGCGGTCTAGCGTATCCCTTAGGTCCCCAAGCTCCTTCTGCGCGCCGTCGAGCGCGCGCATCTCCCTCTCGATAGTCTGCAGCTGCTCCACGCAGGAGCGCACGTCCTTCTCTATATTCAGCAGGGCCGCGATCTTCGTCTGGAGGTCCCTGGTCTTGACCTCATTCGCGGCGACGGTGCGCTTCTCCTCCGCGGCATTGTTGCCCATGGTCTGGATGTCGCGCTTGATGCGCTCGGGGGACTGCACGATGCGCGAGCGTGTGCGGGAGATGTTCTCGGTGATGGTGTCAATTTCGTTCGTGACTTTCTCCTGCGAAGATAGGGCGGACGGGTTGGCAAGTGCGACATGTGTATGTGGTACGGTCGGCGAATCGTACCTTTTCAGCGACGAGCCCCGCCTTCTCCTGCTTGAGCCCCTCCACGTCCTGCAGGAAGCCCATCTGCTTTTCCTTGTACGTGATGACCTGCTCCATCAACGCAGTGTTCTCTTGTCGGAGAGCCTCACACTTGGGCTCGTCTTCTGCTCGTTTGACCCTGGGTCCGACGTTCATGCTAGTCGCATGCCTACGCATATGAGTGTACTCACTTGAACTCCTCCATCTTCACCTGCAGGTCTTGGATCTCCTCTGTGACTGTCTGGCGTTCTCTGATGACTGCGGTAGACTGCTCTCTAAGGCGATTGATGAACGCTTCGCTCTGCTCAGAGAACTTGATGAAGTTGATGAAGGCGGAGAATATGGAGCGTGTGCGGTCGGGGTCGGGGAAGTAGAGGTCTTTGGAGCTGAAGTCGTTGATCTTGGCCGCATTTGCGAATCTTTGACTGTGCGAACCGTATAAGACATGGGATATGCGCAACAAGATACGTACCTACACATGGTAAAGCAGCAGATTCTGGCCGAGTGCTTGCGAGTAAATGTCCTGTCTTGGGATGAACACACACGCTTGAACACGCTCGTAGTAGACTACATACCGGGTTGTCAGAAGCAGCCAACGACTGCTCCATGGCGCTCTGAAGCGTTTCGAGCGTGATACCGGTCACTTGTTCTAGACACGCGCTGTATACGCCGAGGACGAAGTCGGAGGTGGGCCGGGCGACTTGCTCGGGACTGACGGAGTAGCCCCATCCTGTGAAGGCATCGACGATCTCGGCGACGGACATGGAGGGGAACCAGAATTTGCTGGACATGGTGTATTGAGGGAGCAGGAGGAGGAGGACGGGTGCAGCCACCGACGCGGTTGTTGTCTGATTGGGTGCACAGCGGTCAGGTGACGGCTTCTCGCGACGCGACGCGGTGGCTGGGCCGATCCTCAATCATCCTTTGCTCTCCGCCCTTCCCGTCCCAGGCCTCCCGGGCCTTCCTCCCACCCTGGATGCCCTCCACGACCATCCCTCCACCGCCGCATGTCCCGACCCCGCAACAACCTGGACGAGCTCCAGCGGAGGCACGTCCTTCCCCCAGTCTCCAGTCCCACAAAGCCCGCCACTCCTCAGACAGGCGGCAGCAAGGTCAGACCCTTCTTCGCAGGTCTCTGCCACTCATTTGACACGTCTGTTGCACAGAGTAAGTTCAAGCCGGCCAAGTCTATCCCCAACTCGACCCCTACGACTGGCACAGGTACGTCGGTGGCCTCTCAGCCCGTCAGCATCTCTACTCATTCCTCCTTTGCAGACAAGAGACTGGGATCCTGGTCCACGCCAGGGTTCAACAAGAACAAGCCACCTCCTCTCAATGGCCCCTCCGCGGCCGACAACAGTGTCTCGTACATCGACGTCTCCTCTACAGAGACCGTTTCTGTGAACACGTCTACGTCGAGTATCCCTAGCAAGCGGCTTTCGTCAGGACGCCCCGAAGACCCCTTTTCGCACGTTTCTCCTCCTAAGCGGCCTAAGACCGATCACGTCCCGGACAAGGAGAATGTCTTCCAGAGTGATCCCAAGGGAAAGGGCAAAGCCCGAGCGCGAGACTCTTCGCATCTCACCATCCATCACCCACCACCGCGTATGGCCCTGCCGAGTCCTCATATACAATTGCATCCGCCTGCGCAACGTTCTCGACCGCCTGCCTCGTTGAGTGCCGCATTCGAGGCATTAGCACACGACGCCGACCTTCCTGAGGTATGAAAGACGGGAGTGCCGTTGTCCATTGTTATCTGATCTATCGTCTCGAAGAAATCCGAGAGCGAGCTCCGCGGAGTCTGCAACACGGCAAACGAACTGTCTGAAGCCTGCAACAAGTTGATCGGTGCTGCCCGCGTGACTCTAGATGTGCCCCAGGACATAGAACTGCTCACCGTCTTGAGGTCCGTGTCCATGAGTCGAACAGCGCTGATCACGCTGACGTTCTTCAATTAGCGATTTCTTAGAGAAACGCGCGATCGCCAGTCGAGCAGAGCTGAAAGCGATCCAGCGAGGAGAGAGGTCTAAAGCCGCCACGAGGGCCCCCAGTCTCGAGACATACCTGCCAACGGCTTCCAGCACGACCCTGGCCGATAGTGACCCCTATCCGTCCAATGCCTTGGAGCCACCCTCGCCCTTTGATATACCTCGGACATCTACGCCAGTGCACAATGCTTTCGTCGCGGGGCCATCTGCGCCGGCGGACGCTATGGACGCCGATGAAGATTACTGGGACTCATTCCCTTCTGATGGAATTGACCTCACTGACGAGCCAGACGGGCCCGTCCCGACGCCTGCTACGCCACCCGCAACTCAGCCTCGACCCCTTCCTCCCATCCAAGCCGTTTCACCCCCAACCCCAAGCGAGTCGGCTGATCTCAAGACTCGACCCTACTACAACCAGATCCTCGATACCTTGAAGAGGGTGTTCGGCCTCCCAACTTTCCGTCCCAAGCAGCTCGACGCCATCTGCGCAGCGATGGACGGCCGCGACGTCTTCGTGCTGTTCCCCACGGGCAGCGGAAAGAGTTTGACGTTCCAGCTCCCGGCCGTCTGTCAGAAGGGCGTGACCATCGTTGTCAGCCCCCTGTTGTCGCTCATGCGCGATCAGGTGCAGGCGCTGCAGAAGATTGGGGTCCACTGCGCCCTGATCAATGGCGACATGAAGGAATCAGAGCGGACAAAGGTGAAGACGCAGCTCCGGAGCAGGGACAAGCCCAACCTGCTGTACGTCACACCGGAGCAGCTGCAGATGAGCGGGTACATGCAGTCGACGCTGCAGTGGCTGTACGAGCACGGGCAGCTCATGCGGTTTGTGATCGACGAGGCACATTGTATCTCCGATTGGGGAAGACGATTCCGCGACTCCGTGCGTCTCTCCTCTCGTCAGCCCTGCCTGTCACGCTGTCTGCCGACTGACTGCTCTTCACAACGCAGTACACCCATCTGACCGAGCTCCGCAAGAGCTACCCCAAAGTGCCGATCAGCGCGCTCACCGCGACCGCGAACGCCGAGGTCGTGCACGACATCGTCTCCCGGCTCGACATCCCCAACTGCGTGCGCCTCAAGCTCTCCTTCAACCGCACGAACCTCGACTACGAGGTGCGCCCGAAGAAGTCGCACAAGGCGTGCGTCGACGAGATCGCCGCGCTCATCCAGACCAGGTTCCCGACGCACACCGGCATCATCTACTGCCACTCGCGCGACAAGTGCGAGGAGGTCGCGAAGGAGCTGCGCGAGCGGTACAAGCTGAACGCGAAGCACTTCCATGCGGGTCTGGCCGACTGCGACAAGCGGAGGGTGCAGAGGGAGTGGAGTGAGGGCGAGGTTCTGATCATCGTCGCTACGGTAAGACCCTTCCCGCTCTTCTAACCTATCGATATAGGTGCTGAAATTGCTCGACAGGTTGCTTTCGGCATGGGTATCGACAAGGCTGATGGTGCGTGGCTGTAGGTTCTGTACGCTTCAAATGAGCTCACCCTTGGACAGTTCGATATGTTATACATCATACCTTACCGGCCACACTTGCCAAGTGAGCATATATGCGTAATCACCAGGGGCAACAGCTGATACGCTTATCTTGTACAGCTATTACCAAGAGACTGGTCGCGCCGGACGTGACGGTCGACCAGCCCATTGCATCCTGTGTACGCAACGCCCTGCTCTTGTCTCTCCACTTGTCGACTGAATGCTTACGCGCCACAGTTTACTCCTACGGCGACGTCACCTCACGACTTGAGATGATTCGAAAAGACGAGAAGCCCGAAGAGGAACGGCGCTGGATGGAAGAAGACTTCTGGAGTGTCGTGCGCTACTGCTCGAACGACGTCCGGTGCCGCCGTCAACAAGTGCTCGACTTCTTCGGCGAGAAGTTCGACCCCGCCTTGTGCCGCGATCTCTGCGACAACTGCCGCGACAAGACGCCCGTCTCGAGCGAGGATTACACGGAGGACGCGATCAGGGCCGTCGCGCTGTTCGAGAACCTCTCAACGACCGGCACGCCCATCACAAAGAGCCACCTGGTGAGCGCCTTGCGAGGCAGCAAACTGAGGACGATGGTCGACAAGGGCTTCGTCAACGTCGACGGCTACGGCTCGTGCAAGCACTTGACGCAGCAGCTTGCAGAGCGGCTGATCGACGAGATGCTCTTCCAGGGCGTCCTCACGACCGTCCAGCAGAAGACGTATCAGGATTATACAAGCTCGTACTTGAAGGCAAGCTATCCACGCGTGCGGATGAAGCGCTGACGCTAACGCTCTTCCTGTTCGCAGCTCGCCTCGAACGTCAATAGATTGAAGAACGGCAGGATCCAGATCGAACTCGAGTACCGGTCCAACGGACGAGCACCAGGCTCTAAAGCCCCGCGCAGTGCTAAGTCGCGAAGCAAAGGAGCACTTCCAGCCGTCAACGATTTGGATCCCGCTCTATCGTCCCTCGCAGGTTCTCCCGCTGCTGGTCCTTCCGCCGCGGTTTTCTCCGTTTCGGGTCCCTCACGCGGCAGGAAGCCGAAGGCGCCTATTCCGCCGCCTCCACAGGATGACCAGGAACGGATGTTGAGCCTCTTTGTTGATGACGCGGAGGACCCCGACTGGCAGGACGACGACGACATCGAGGAAGTCTCAAGTCCAAACCCTCCGCGGCGCATGGGGACGCGGATGGTGCCGTCCGCGTCGCAGTCGCTGGCGGCTGGGTTGCAGTCCGACATCGAGGAAGTCGACAGCCCTGTACTCCGGCCACAGCCCAAGGTTACTCTCATCACCCATGAAGATCTCGTCGACTGCCGGCCCACAGGTGGTCAGACTATTGAGGAGTGCTGTCAGAAGGATCTATCCGACTTGCGGGACAAGGTCGGTCATGGCCGTCTCAATTCTGATGATATTGTGACAAACATTGATGGACCGCCCCTGATCCAGATCTACCAGGAGGATAAAGACCTTGCAGGACTCTTGAGCGATGACGTCCTATTTGCACTTGGCGCCATGTTGCCCAGTGGTGAGTTACGGAAAGATGTTTGGCAGTGGGACATGGCAATTGACAACAGACCTAGACCAGAAGGCTTTACAAGAAGAGCTGGACAATGCCGGCATTGCGATCGCACTTCTCGGGAAGTGGGAACAGAATATCTTGGAGATTTGCAAGAACTATAACATCACGCGAACGCAAGGATAATGTGCACGTCGGCTCCATCGTTAGGTCTTGAGAACCATAGAGCACGATATTATGATACATGCCCCTATTGTAGGATGTGTACGTGTATATGTTAGTAGTTACCCCAGTTGGACCCTCACGGCCAACGCTTGCTGAATCACTGGGCCGCCTGACCAATCGCGATACGAAATCCTGTTAATAATTGTCCTATATGATCTATGGTATCCATGACACGACCTCGTCCCGATGTCGCTTGATACACACCGCCTATTCGTCTTGCCTCCACGTACTATACCAACCATGGTCATGTCCCTCCTCCATCGTGCTCGTCCGCGAGAAGTGGGATTCATGTGTAAGCCATGCAGACGTCCCAAACAATCGGCCCGTAAGCTCGAGTAGCTCTTCGAGTGTATCAACAAGGTTTTGCATCACCTCCTGCTCTGCGAACGCATACACGAGCGACAGACCAAGCGCATGCGGCTCTTCGTCCCTGGCCTGACGGATACAGTCCTGGACATGGGATTCAAGGTTCGCGAACGCATGCCTCGCAGATGGGAGGAACTGTGGCAGCGGCTCTCGCGCACGGAACGCGTGCTGACACGCATAGAGGATAATACAGACACAGGACATCTGCCCAATTTAGGTCAGAAGAAATCTGACACGCAGCGTTCGATAAGCGCTACGCACGAATTCGCGCCGTTCCTTGAAAACCTTAGCCACAGTTTCCTTGCGCGGGATGTTCTCCCTTATCTTCCGAAGCCCGGTCATAAGATCAAGGAGCTTCTGCATGACTATCACCATCTCGCGATAATGCCGTAACGGTTTCTAGAACGAGAAGCTGAGCGATGGTGGGTCGCAGCATCAGTGGAAGTCTCTCACTGGAAGGAGGCTCAGCTCATTGTCCATGGTTTTGAGGAGGGTGGTGAGGCGATAAAGCGCGCTGCGAATCTGCAGCTCCAGTTTCAGAGTCTTTCGCATCTCCTCGTGTATACGCTTCCGATGTATTCTGAACATGTCACTACATGTATCATGAGTCTCTACCGCGACGTCCGCAGATGGTATGCGGTTAACTCACTGGCTCAGCGTCAGATATAGGCTACTGAGTAGTCCGAGTGTCCGACTCGTGTCAGACAAAAACAAGACCTGTTATACTGTGTGACCCGTGCCGAACCTCTCTCGCGTGAAATGTACACATACGCGGCAATGTCGCGGGAACAGCAGGCTATTCATGAGAAGCGCTGCGACGATTCCGGCAGCAATCATCACTGCTCGCACGCTAGAGAGCTCTGTAGCGCCAGTCAGCTACGAGTAGCCGTCGAAAATTGTAAGACACGGACTAAGGGCGGATGTTGCCAGTGTAGGACTGACATAGTGTGCGAAGACAATGGGAGGCAGCGTGACAGATCTTCGGGCGCGGTTCAGCCAAGGAATTGCGGTGATAATCGTACCACTCACGCAGGACATCCCATAGGTGCGACCGACGTATTCAGGATGATCCATGTTATCAGTATGTCGAACGCCTGTGTGAGCGAAAAGTCAACGTTGGGCGCGCACGGTACATATGGTGTACTGACGGTGACCATCGCAACTAGTCCGTACGGATTGTTTTTGCAGATGATTGTGGTCTGGATGGCGTGTGTATAACAGTCGAGTTTGATTGTATAGATACATTACTCACCACATACGCATACACCGCTCCTAGTAGCGTTCCAAACTAGATGCAGGATTGGCCCTTCAACCCAATCAATGCATTGGGGCCAATACTAACCAATCGTAGATATCCGGTACGCCATGTCGCCCCCGTGTTCGTCTCTAGGACCCACAAATAGCTGCAGAAGATGACATCAGACAAATTTGGTTCTTTCCTTCTATAGAAACGTACCTGATGGTCATCCACTGCCCCCGCCAGTCTTGAAACCATTCTCTTCCTGAATGATGGCGGCTCAGTCTCGTCGAGTGGCCGACAGAACACGAGGGTAGCACGTACCAGCCGAATGTGCCGGCATGAATGCAGGGAAGGTCAGGACGGCCACTCCAACCGCGTTCTTCAGCCCATGCTTCCAATGGTTTGAATGCTGGAACGACCGATAGCGCTTCGACAACCACACCCGCGCCCGCAACATGTTATAACTGGACCACACTTTCCCCATCCAACCGCTCCAGAATCGCCAGGACCACACTTTTGCAGCTCTCAGCCGCAACTCCATCTTGCTTGCCGACGCTGCCGCGTACACCTTGTACCGCGCCGCTAGGCCCCCGGCAGGAAGGGGCCGACCCTTGTGCAGCGTAAAGGAATACGCGCGCTCAGCAAGGCCCTGCCGCGCCTCTATAATGGTCAGGCGTTCGTCTGCACCAACGGTTGTGCCGACGTCATCGTTTGCCAGCCTCAGACCGTACACCAGCTCGCCGTTGTCATCGGAGATGAATGGTCCTGGAGGGACGCCGAGCCATTGCAGGGAAACGCGCGGGTACCACAGGCGTATCTTCGATTCTTCATACGATGTAGCGACTTGTCGCGCCACCTGCAGCGCCCTGCCCATCTCCTGTGTCATCTGAAGACCCATGAGAACGCAGAACGCTAGACTCCACCGGGTGCCGGCACGTTGTCCGGCTGACGCACCTGGAGAAGGGCGATCGCTGCTAGACTGCAATCGAAGATCTCCTTGGGCAGGTGCGCTTTCTTGCCCTCGGCGCGTTGGTGCATGTCGACCTGATCGAATACATGCTTCAGAACCTCGCGCATGCTGTCCCTCGTTACGACGAGCTTGCGCTCAGCAGCGTGTACGGCGGCTTTGTGTGACCCTGCCTCCACCTGCAGATTCTCGGAGGAACTGGATGCAACCTCCGCTGCATACGATTTCTGAAAAGTCAGGACGATCAGACGTTCAACCGTGTTCATCGCCTCGAGGATGGCGTTCGCGAGTTCCAGAGCAGGTGGCTCTAATACGGATACGAAAGCGAGGTCATGATGCACCCGAGAAAAGTATTCGTGCAAACTCGGAGTGGCGCTTCGAAGAGATCGAGGAGTATCAGGCGTTCCAGGTATAGGTGGAGACCGAGGGGTACCAGGAGCGCTACGAAGGGGTTTGACTGGCGCCAAACCCCAAGCTAACTCACGACGGAGGTGCTCGATGATCCCCACAAAGGGGTGGATCGATTGGACTGGAATGGATAAGGTGGTTAGCAGCACTATACCCTGAAGGAAGTGAGACAGGTTGACATACGACTCAGGCGGCCTATGCGCAATTCAAAAGCCGCTTGCGAATAGGACTCGTTCAGCATGATGGATCGGCGGAGTAGTTGATCATGGAGCTGGCGATAGAATGTCACTTCCATCTTCGTTTCCCGGGCCCCAATACGATAAAGGCTCGAGGAAAGGCATTCTTGGAGTAGAGCAAAGATAGACGCTGTTTCGGACTCAAAATTTGTGCTTGAACCACGGAATACTACCATCATAGTGAGCAAAGAGACCATGCAGATCACCGCTGCAGAGAGCGTTATCCAAAGGAGATAGCTCGAATCTACTAGCACGCGCTGTCCAGGTATGTGGTTAGTATGGGCTCAGAGCTGTCTGAGACAAACAACAATGCGCACGTCGGGTACGCCAATATCGTTTGTCAATAGCCAGATCGATATGAAGCACGATATGCGTGTCGATAGCTGCAATCGCACAAGCCTGCTCTTTGTGATCCCGGCTGTGTTCTTCAATTTGTTAACGTCCGGGATCAGCCTTTGTGACTGTGATCCTCACCTAGGAAGCTGATGAGAATGAGGAACACCGCACAGATGGTCCTGGCCCCTGTAGTATCAGGACCGGCCAACGAAGCGAGATATTTCGCAAGTGTGGATACTCCGATCCCAAGCAATGCCCCAAGAATATTAAGGCAAGTGAGCTCGAGTTGCTGGGAGAGGTTCTCCTGAACAGAGAATACGAGCTCCTTGAGAGCAAGGACCAGAAACGCGTACTGGCCTCCCAGACGAGAGAAAGGCCTGATAGCAATCACAACGGAGCAAAGGAAGGTGGAGAGCAATCGGGCGAGAGGCCGTCTCGCTAGAAAACATCGTGCAAAGGACGAACTGGTCCATCGTAGGATGCTACAGATCCCCCTTGCGAGACCATTGGGGAGCTTCATGTGTACTGGGAGAAAGAGGGAGCGCAGCGTTCCAGGGCGATGGGTCGGGCATGATAGGCTTGTTGCGGGATGGAGCCTTGTCGTGGTCTTGGCGCGTAAATATTGACTCCGAAATTCGCCCTGTTTGTGCGCGCAAACAGTGACCTACACAAGCGCTTACCCTCGCTTAACCTCATCTCACCGACGGCTATGGCTCGCCTACTCGCCCACCGCCGCCGTTAGTTTCCTCCCCCAATCGACGGCCGTCTGGAGAAAAACACCAATCAGCAAGGTGTTGCACACCGCACATACCCGATCACCTACCACGCATCCACAAGCCGACCCGTGAATCTAACTGGCGACCCGTCTCTACATCCTACATACTACTGTATGGTCCATGAGGATGATGCCTTAGGCCCAGATCGGAAGCAGCATAGTCACCCGTGAAGTCTAGTGTACCGCTATGAAGACGGGCTGGTTATGCCAGTGGAACAGACCCCTCGATAACTACCCAGCGTCGAATCCTGCCTTACAGAACGCGCATTCGTGCCGGACTGCAACACATAAATACGAGGAAGTCCGTCTGCGCGGAGAAGCCATCCACCCGAGGGACATGCCTTCCTTGGGGTGAACTGCTTGCACTTGGGGCTTGAAGAGCACGGCGCTGCAGCATTGCAGAGATCGACGCGGGTCACGGGACATCCACGGGAGGAAGCGCTTTATGGAAGAGTGAGTGCGAACTTGGGGGAGTTCACTGAAGGTTGTTGATGTATGACACAGATCTGAATTCAGGGCATGGAGCCGTACAGCGAGTCGAAACTTGCGGGGCCGTACTCCTAACTGAGGTTCTCGCTCACCGGGGTTTGAGACTCCAGTATTTATATAACAGACCCCTTCCGCAACCTTTCCGCCATCGGACCTTTTGTGGTGGAGGGAAAGGGAGTTAGGCTAGTGGGAACCAGAAAAACCCTGCCCGTGGGTCCCCCGCTCATGCTCAGGCTATCGTATGTCCGCTAGATACCCCGAATCCCAGACAGCGCTTCGCAGCAGTAACCTCGCGTAATCAATCGCGGGATGATTGTCGTGGCGGAAAGGCAGCCGTCACAACTGGTCCAGTTTCATGCCTTTTCATACTTGGGGGACTGCATCGCGACCACGACACTGGCAGATTTACAGGCTGTAGTACCAGTAGGGCCGCTCAATTTTTGAGGACGCAGGACGCACTCAGAGCTCATTTGATGGATGGGATAGGCTAGCCGAACCTGCCGCATACGGTAAGGTACCAAACTCATCTTTTGTGCCCGTTGTTTTCCAAGGGGTCTGTCGTGTCCCAAGCCTCACAGAAAAATATGAATCGCGAGTATGTTGAAGACGAAAGCTTTCCGCGTCGATCGACACTACCCTTGAGGCACTTTGTGAGGGGGGAGGAGTGTCATCGTCGCTCGAGAGGTTTCGAAGGCGAGCTTGTCGGCTAGTCTCGCTTAGCCCATCACCTGCATCAATGGCCTCTGAACGCGTCCTGCGTCCTGCGTCCTCAAGAATTGAGCGGCCCTTGTAGCAGCGCTCGGCCTCAGTGATCTACGCGGTCGCTGGCAGCTTGGAGACGCACCTGCCTAATACAGCATAGCACCTTATATGTTCCGAGCCATCGTCAGCTCGACCTGACACTCTATCCTCTTCATAATAATCATTCTCGCAAAATCCGCCGCTATGCTATCTCTGGGGCACTACCCATACGCGTTTGGCCACTTCTGATAGTCCGATGAAGCCATGACGTTGAGCCACATCCCTGACAGCCACGTACCTACACTTGCCGGATGGCCAGAGCTCACAAGAGCCTCAGGACTAGCAATCCGCTGCCGTGGTCTTCCCTTCGGGGCCACACATTTAGAGAGTCGATGGAGACCTGGATCATGGGCTGCATAAAGCGGGGTTGCGGTGGACTTAGGCGTACTGTGAAGGTGAGTATTCTGGTTTTGGGTAACTTCATCTTACCCATGCGTTTTACATCTCTCGCGGCGAGGAGGCAGCGCCTAGAGCACTGATTCTCGCTGCACTCCGGATGCCCCCTTCTTGCGGAGAAGGAGTTCTCCGGTAGCTGCCCCTCTGAGACAGCAAGCAAAGTGCCTTCGTCTCTCAAAGTCGCCCCGCCCTCGATTTTCCGGCACGGTTTCCAATTCCTTCGGCTGCAGACGGCAGTTCATTCGCCCGGCTTTTCCCTCGACTCATCTGGGAGGTTGGAGCGTACCAGACCCTTCAGAGAGGCTCATACCACGACGTCCAGGACTACGGGTTTCTTTATCTCGTACGCAGAACCGTCCGGAATGTGGTCTAGGTGGGCCCACCCCCGGGCAGACGACATGTGAGCCACAGCGGACCAAGGAAGGAAGCCCTCTGCCTCGAGGTAGGCTTCGGCGCTGGATCTGGACATACGTGAGCGTTCGATGTTCGAACGCCAACTCATGGTTTTGCCACGCACCCATTGGAAGCGTCAGTTCTACGCTGAGCAACAACATTATACCGACTTTCCATTGACGTCCTCAAAGACCCTCTCTCATGGGCTAGGCTGGCATGAGGACGTGTAGCGTCTTGTGGTGGACTCGTCTCGCACATACGGCTTCGGCGTATGGCATCCCGGAATCCGTTAGTGCGGCGATTCTTATCGCCGCGTGGCTGGCCTTCGCAGGGACTCGAGGATACGAGCCGACGGCGCTGTACATGAGGACAAACGGATAGGGGACTCAGAATGCTCAGGTGTACACCCGAATCCTGGCATTGGCTCTTCACCTCATCCCCGTTAAAAGGTACGCCTCACCACGTTGCAGCCGTTTGGTATAGTCACTGCCATATCCGTTTCCAGGCCGTCTTGGTGACAGAAAGATCGAGTCCTGGGAGCCAAGGTCAGCACAACATCCGACTGCCTTCGTAACCACACCTGTGGCCAGGCGGTCGCCATTGCCCTCAAATCTTCAACTCATCGTACCTCCCGATCCCGGAGATATCGTTGTCGCGCCAGATGCCGTCGCCAGTCCTACTTTGGCACTCGTACTGCCCGTGTCTCTACCAACAGCAGCTCCATGTGAACGTGTCGGTCCGCTGGTCTGGTCGACCGGCTGGAGGGAACATTTTACGTTGTTGTAGCCGAACAACAACGTCATCCTGTCCCACAAGGCCGCCAGTTCGTTCATCAGCACGCCGCATGACGAGAACGCACACTTTGCATTACAAATACTGTGTCGAGTGGAGCGGCCGAGGGATCCGTCACTTCCGTGTGGTCATCAAGCCGTATTATGCTTAAGCTGCGGCCAGTCAACGGTTCACTTGAAGCCGGCGTCGGTTCCAATTGGCACCGGTTCTTTCTCTCCAGACCATGGGGCACGTATGCCAATGGCAGAAATCCGCGCATCCAGGGAGCGATTGGCCATATCCGCGGGGATGGGCTTCCTATCTGCGCGATCACTCCTTCGCAGGTAAGGGGAGACGTATCGAAGTCCGTCAGCGGACTCCCTGAAGGCACGTCGAATGCGTTGCACTACAAAAATACCTGGGGTCGTGTAGCCTGGCCGTCGACGCCCGCGCAATGTGGATCGCCCAAGGTTCTATTGTTCCACCTTCGCGAGAGGCTTTCTGACAAGCTGCGAATGTGAGAACACCTTCGGTACTTTGCGCGACAGCGACTGACCTTATCTTCAGGGTACACCAGGCCTGTTCATGATCTTCGCGGACACAATGTTAGACCGTCCTACCACCAAGCACAATGTGCCGTCCAGCCGGAAAGCATATACCTATTTCCTCCCCTATGACATACACCACTACCCTTGGTCTCGGATAGCTCTGCTGATCGCTTGATTGGAGAGCACTCGCTCCCTGCGATGTTTCGTAGACGATACCAGCGGACCCCGTAAGGTAAGGACGGCGCTGGACGACGATCGGACCATGTCACCGCCTTCCTTTTCCGTGAGAAGGCGCGAAGGCCTGCGGCCCATCCTCATGATCGCCTCGCATTCGAGTTACGGAAAGTGACTTACGGGCGATGGCCGTCACTGAGAAGACCATACCTGCTTCTCCACCTTGCGCCCGTCATATTACGATAACATGTACCTCCCGACACGTAACGGCGCGCCGCAGAGGAACGATCGCAGAGCCAGGTCCTCGAGCACCCCCTCCGCTAGCTCGAGAACGGGGGCACGGGAGCGCAAGCGCGGAGTCGTCGGAGCCTGGAGGCGGAACTTGGCACACACAAGTCCACAGGTCCTGCACCCACGGCGCCCAGATCGGCCCCGCCGCGAGCCCATGATGCACGCGCCCAGACCAGCACCCAGTCACGTCCGTCCATTCGCCCGTCCAGCCCCGCTGTCCTTCCGTTCTCCGCGGTGCTCTCGGCGACGCGCGCGGAGTCGAATCGTGTCGTCGCCTGCCATTAGCGCAGCGAAGGCGAAGTTCGCCGGACGCGCGCGTCCGTCGCGAATTTGAACAGCCCCGGTCTTTCAGAATCACTTAGCCGCCCTGAGCAACGGCGTTGCTCCCGATCGGGAAGCCGCGAATATGCGCCGTTCGTGCGTCGGAGCTGCCTTTGAGCGGCCGTGGAGGCTCCCCTGGGCGGCTGTCCAGGGTCATGGCCACGGAGCTCTGCCACACCATGGTCCACGACGATCAGAACGACCGTCAGGGGCCGGTAGATCAGTCAGTCATGTCATGCCGGACTTTGCTGTCGTAACGTGCGTCTTGGTCTGCGCTTCCACGGCGAGCAAGGCGCGAAGGTCCAAGTGAGGAAATGTTTGTGGCACTTCCGCGCCGCGCAACATACCATTTAGAAAACAAAAGAAGTCCACGAATACTGATGGACTTGCTATCGACACGTTGCGCGTTACGTATCTCAACGATTTCGCCATCCTTTCTCTGCTTGGACTATAGCTATTTGCACATCATGTTTGTTCCCTTCATATCGTTCCCCTACTGCGTCTTCCGAGTTCCACAACTGCATAGAACAACTCCTGTATATATATAACACACGCACGACAAATATACACCGGTGGGGGGACAGGATAGGGCGAAAGCACGTTCTGAAGCATCTACACAACGACGCGACCGACAACGACCAGGCTACTGTACACTCAACAGGCATTTCACGACGACAAGACAGGGGCGCACAACATACGGACGGGGAAAGCAAAAAGGCACAGAGAGAGGGGGGTAGACATAGATGAGAGAAGATGCGCGCATATGGAGTTAGATAGAGACGAAAACGAACCGAGCTCTACGCGCCGTGTATGAGCGAAGCGCGGAGCTGTCACAGTAAGTAGACGTACTGTTTATGATGCCGATCAACCGTGCATCCTTCGTGCGAACTCAGCCAGACTTAGCCTGGCCCCCAGAGATGGGCTCAGCCATCCTGGCATGCTCCATGCGCCCGTCCCTCCTCACGTCCATCATCTGCGGAGGACCCAGCTCGGCACCCGGGCCCCTCGACGGCGGCTTCTGGTAGACCTGCGGGTAGGGGGCGTAGTGATGGGCAGGCGCCATGGGCATCTGCGCGTCAGGACGAGCGTGCGGGTGAGGGTGAGGCATCATGTACGGCGTAGCGTACTGGGGCGGGTACGGCGCGATGAACGTGGCCGGGTAGAACTGGTGCGCGGGATAGCCGACGGGCTCACCGTCCTGACCAGTCGCCTGCGGGTGAGGAGCAGGGATGGGCGCATAGAAGATCTGGGGGTAGTACATGGGGGTCTCCCCAGGTTTGGCAGCGGGCGGGCCGGGGTACTGGGGGTACAGCCCGGGCGGATAGGTGACCGGTGCAACGTAGGGGACCGGGGGCGTAGAGCTCGGAACGGCCGCCGCCGCGGCGACGGCGGGCGGGACCGCGATCCCTTGCGGTTGCACTGCAACGTCGACCTGCTGCTGGTCGACGTTGGTGGCTGGAAGGTGGGGCAGGGACGGGTCAATCAGTGTCTCACGAGCTGAGCGCGACGACGAGGACGACCGCTCAGAGGATGGATATTGCTCACTCTTTCCATCGCGCTTCTTGTAAGGCCCTCGCTTGATCCCCTTCTGGCGCTCCTTGCGCTGGGAATCGACGCACTCCTCAGCGATACCGTACTTGACGCAGCGGAGGCAGGGGCGGGCGTCGTCGCACTTCTTGCACGCCTTCTGGCAGTTGGTGCACGCGTTCTTGACCTGGCGGCGCTTGGTGCGGGTCGGGTGAGCCGGGACCATGCCGGGAGGGAAGGGGTACATGTGCATCGGCATGCTCGAGTAGGAGATGGGATGCATGGTCATCTGAGGCTGGACCGCGTCGGAGGGAGGCTGAGGGCCCTGCTGCTGGGATTCGGGCTCGGGGTTCGAATCACCCATGGCGGCGAAAGGAGGGGGGATACGAGAGGCGGAAGGACGATGGGAGGGAGATGATATAGTCTAGACAGGCGACGTAAAGAAGGCAGGATGGGAACTGAATGGAAGCTTTGGCGCCTTTGGGCCCTGGAAAAGCACACGTGTCGGGGCTCGGTGGAGGCGGGGGGCAGGCTTGGGAGGCCTCGCGCAGGAGGAGCGGAGGGGGCTGGGGGCAGTCAGAGGCATTGTGGGTGCAAGAGAGGAGGACATACCGTATGATGGATGTCGCGGGCTCGGGCTCGGGCTCGCTGAGCTGCGAGAGAGGGGCGTCTCCGACTCAAAGCGGAGGCAGAGGCGGGGGAGGGAGAAATTGAAAGGCAGCGTTGGTGGCAGCCCGACGAGGACTTTATGCGACCCACCGAGCCTTTACTCGTCGCTTCTAATCTCACCACGCGCCCCCCTTTCTCCCACTAGTACGTAATGTTTATCGCCACGCACAAACCCTAACCCCGCCCAACTCCGCGACGCACCCAGATCCCCTCTTATCTCCTCCGTTTCCTGCTCCGCCTCATTCCCCCCTTCATAAACACCACGCCCCGCGCACGCCTCCTACCCGCCTTCTGCCTCTGCCCCCGCAAGGCAGCGAACCGTACGGCCGTGTCCATTCGTACAAGAAGCACCCCGGCTCGCCCACGCTCACGCCTTTCTGTCACTCCCAGACCGGCCGTGTATCGTAACATCGCGTCTCGTGTGCTGCTTCCCCTTCTTCTCCTCCTAGCGCTCTCCCCCGCCGCCCAGCTGCTCGAGATTGAATTCTACCACCCCTCTTCGACACTGACAGATCGCGCCCAGGGTCCCTGCGCGCCACTCGCGCCGATCAGCACAGTACTACTCTTGTCGCAATCGGTACAGGACATGTTCCCGGGAAGGGCACAGACGCCCGCAACCGAGACGGGGCGTGGAAATATTACCAAACAAATGTGATCCATGACTACCCGACCTAGACGACAGTACTATGCCTACGTGAGCAGACGAGGGTATCCTCGCCGTAAGGTCCGATTCGCTTCACCGTGCTCGCCGCAGCCATACGAGAGAGGGACAGAGAAGGAACAGGCGAACTCAAAGAGAGAACAGACATTGTGCACAAGCTGTATAGAGCGCCTGTTACAGTACAGTAGCTGATTGGGAAACAATGATCAATAAGTAGCGGCCACAAGGCAAACAGAGACAAATAACACGAGGCCGCGCCCCAGCGGGCGACGAGGACAGTTGCAGCGACCTACTCCAGCAAACTGGCATCGTCGAGCTCAACGCCAGTCGGTACCCAGCTTTCTGCTGGCCCTGACCGTCGCGCGACCCCCTGAATCCAGCCAGACCGCCTCTCACGTCTCCTTGATCTCCTTTTCTCGTCTTTCCTTTTTTTCTCCTTCGCTCCTTATCCTCTCTCATGTCCTCCCCGCCCTCCCCCGCCATCGGTCAAGTGGTTCATGAAAAAGGACGCGTGAAAAAGAGAGACAGGCCTCCAGCTCTCGCCATCGCAGATCCGACGTCGGGCTCGGACAGGGAGGCACGATACGAGCGAGCTGTTGGGAACGATTCGCGCCAGGTAGCCACCGTTTTCCTCGATTGTCTGCCGTCCAGCATGGTGCTCATCCAACGCGTCCCACCGCCCCAGCCCTCTGTTCAAGTTTTCGCCCCCGAAGAACACGCTACCGACGTCGAGACGGACGTCCCTCGCTCTGCCTCGGCCACGTCTTCGCTAGACCCGTACTATTTCGGCGTTCACACCCCATCAGACTCCCCTATCCCCCCTGTCCCTGCTGTACCCAGCGTACCGAGCTTGCCCAGGACGCCAGAGATGCGCTCTTACGAACCCGTCACCCCTGGAAGGGACCCTGCTGCCATCGACCGGCGCACCCTGGTCGGCGTTGGAGAACTCGCAACCCCACGCTGGGCGCGGGGTGCCCGCAACGACGACTACGAATTCGTGGCGCAGGAACGTGTTGAAGAGGTCAACGAGGACGACATGGTCGAGGTAGAGAGGCCCGAGGACGAGAGGGACTCGGACAGCCCGTGGACAATCGAGGCGATCGACGGAGAACAGGACGAGAAGAACGAGGTTCGTACGCTCTCACTTAATTCTCGTGACGTTCTCCTGAATATCAGCGCAGCAGCTCATGGAGGTGAAGCCGGTCTCGCGTCCGTTGCGTAGCCGACGGTCGGTGGCCGAGGAAAGCGGTGGCGAGGAGATCCTCTATCCTCGCTATCGTCAAGCTCAGTATTCCGACGCGCCACCTACACCACAGGTGCCGTCGCAGTCACAGAGCGACTCGGAGGTACTCGCAGGCTCGATGCCTTCCGCCGTTGCCGAGGCGGAACCTCCACCGAGCGCCTTCGCTACACCACCCCAACGCCCTAGGAAACGGACCTCAGAGGAGTTTGAGTTGGACAACGGCGTCTTGGTGCCGAAGTTCTCTTCCGCCAACGGTACCCCAGGTACGGCAAAGGACAAAGACAAGGTTCGTCGGCATCGCAGCCTTGGCGTCGGAATCCCCTCTCAGGCCACGCCCAAGGAGAAGGTGAAGGATCGCCGGAGGGACACACTCTCTGTGAGCGTTCGTCACTCGCGTCAAGGCTCCTCTTCCTCGAGTCACGGCGAGGCGCACCATCCTCGCCGGATGCACAATTCTGACTTCTCGCATCTCCCTCCATCTCCGTCATCGTCGTCGATCCAGCAGTTCCTGAAGCATACGGGAAACACTAGCAGCTCCGCCTCTTCTCCGCTGCACACTCAGCCCCATCTGGCCTCGAACGTCGCCCACTCGCTTCTCCGCGGTACGCAAGAGGGATGGTCAGATCTGGACGATCAGACGACGCTGGAGGCGCTGAGGAAGATCGACGGTCTCTCGGGTAAGACGGCACGTGCTCGTTCGAGTATCGGGGGCCACAGCAGGATTGGCAGCTCGAGCCGTCCGGGGACGCCAGCGAAGGCGACCACCCAATGGGAGGGGATCGAGAGCGGAGGCAGCATCAAGGGCAGCAAGCGGTCCAGCATGTATGCCTCGCAGAGCGGCAAAGAGAGAGGAAAGGAGGGTGCTCACCGTGTTACGTCCAACCCCGCCCTCTCGTCTGGTGAGGGTGCCGCAGACATTGACCATGTCGCAACCAGCGGGGACGACGCGCACCACAGTTCCCCCCAGCCTGACCGGTCGGCCAAGAAGACGGGGACGGCGAGTGCTCGCTCCAGTTTCACGCCCAAGAGAGGCTCAGCGTCATCGGGTACATATGCGAGTACTCCCACGACGAGCTCACGCGATTCTGCCTCATTGTCTGTGGGCACCAGCAACACCTCCGTCTCTGCCGTCTCTGGCCGGCAGTCCTCTGGGAAGGCCAGGCGGAACAGCGCAAGCAGCGATATCTCCATTGGCCACGGGGGAGATCCCACTTCCGCCCGGGACCGTGCTGCATCCCTCGTGGCTCCTGCGGACTCTGCTGATGAGAGCCACGTCCCACCCGTCCCCCCGCTGCCTAAGGAGCTCTCGAGCTACAAGTCTCCCCTCTCTCCCAGTGCCAACCACCTGCCCACTGTTGACTACCAGAGCGACGTGCCTCTTCCAGACCGGAGCAGAAGGGAGACTTTCAACGACGTGACGTTCCCGTCCATCATTGATGTGCCTGCCATTCCAACGACCCCGTCCAAACACAGCTCGCTGCAGGTGCCCAAGTCGACGACCCCGACCAACTTGCACAAGACACCGTCGAAGAAGTGGAGTTTCTCTGGTGCGCTTGGCAGAAAGCTATCGTCTACCCCGTCGAATTCCTCGATGAAGGATGCCGCCCAGTCCAAGTCGCCGGCAATGCCAACGAGCCCGCGGGCCATGTCGTTTGGCCAGCAGATCCGTAAGTCGATGTCCAAAGAGAAGCCCCGGTCGCCCGCCTCAAAGGCCTCGGAAGACTGGTCGCCTATCAACTCGGACGCAATGGCCTCGGCTACCTCTTTGGCCTCTTTGTCCTCTGTCGGATCTGGTCGTGCTGCCTTGTCCCCGTCCACGGCTCAGCCTGTCGGCACGCCAAGCACGTCCAAAACCCCGGACCGCTTGGTGTCGAGTCGGTCTGGCACGGCTTCGAGCGCTAGCACCAATGTCCCGCCTGTGCCCCAGAATGCGCCCCTCAGCCCGTCCTCGTCTGTGCGCCGGAACCCGTCCACAAAGCGCCTGACGCCATCCTCGATCCCCTTCTTCAGGCGATCGTCGTCGCAATCGATGCAGGTTCCTCCCCCAAGCGTCCCGTCCACGTCCATCTCGCCCACGCTCTCTTCTGGACCGGCCTCTGCGACGCACCTCCGTGCTCCACCCACCATGTCGCCGACGAAGGACACCAGCCTCTCCTCCCCGACTGTGCCCAGTTCGGCGAAGAAGTCTTCGGTGTTGAGCTTGGGACTGCCCTCTTTGTTGAAGGGATCGAGCTCCAGGCGCAGTCTGCACTCGGACAAGGAAAAGAGCGACGCGAAGAGCAGCCGGGAAAGCGCAGCAACGTCATCTGACCGGGAGAAGCCAAAGAAGGACGACAAAGATCGGAGCGAGAGCAGGATCTCCGTGCTCATGGGCAGAAAGCGAGGAAAGGTGCGTTGTCCGATTGTTTCCGCCCGCCCGTCCCCCTCGTTAAAGTGACCCGTGCCCCGCTCGCAGACGCTCTCGTCTGCCCAGTCGCCACCTAAGAAGGCGGAGCCTGTGGCTATGCCACCCATGCAGATTTCGGCTTTGCCTCTGTCCACTGCTCAGCGCGTGGCTAATCTGAAGTCTTCTTCACAGTCCTCCTTGAACTCGAACTCGAGTTCGGTCAAGGCTGGCTCTTCTCGCGTCACTGCCCAGACAGTGAGCTCGATGCAAAAGCTCTCCGATACGTCCCTGCGCAGGCACCAACTTCCGACCATCGCCGGCTCCCCGTCCGTCGGTGGCGGCACTCAGCCTGCTGTGCGCGACGCGAAGGATGGTCCACCCCTCTCGTCGCTCAACACCTCAACCGCGTTGTCCAAGGAAACTCCGACGAAGATTCCGCGGATCTCCAGCAGATCTTCGGCCGCCAACTCGCCGACGCTCAAAGCGAACGGTACGAGCCGCAGGGCGAGCATGATCGTAGGAACGTCGAGCGGCCTCGCGTCCTCCCGCGGCGCCTCGCCAACCGGAGGCAGCGAATCGATGAACGAGTTTGGTGTCTTGGAGAACGGACAGGTTTCTGCTACCAAGACGGCACGTAACTCTGTCCGTGCTTCTCCCCAAACCACATCTTCACGTGTGCCCCGTCAGGTGTCTGCCCCGAATGGCACGACGATCCCCCGCAAGAACCGGGAGTCGTTGTCGTTCGGGCTGCGCAAGGCGTCGACTAGCTCCGTCGCATCGACCACCTCGGGCGCCCATGAGCAACCACAGCAGACGGCTCATTCTCACCACCGCTTCTCGGCTTTGTCGCCCTCGAAGGGCCTCAAGCTCCTCAGCCCCAAGGTATCTCTCCCTACCGCCCGTTCATCGAACTCGTCTTCGACCCCTAGCATCCAGCAGACCATCGGCACGCCTACCGGGAGCCGGCAGTCGCTCTCGACGCCCTCGCCTGCACCTAGCTCGGTCGACGAGGAGGAGCTGCTGGGCGATGAGGAGATGATGCAGTACATCAAGAGGCAGCAGGCGAAGAAGCTGCAGAACGGCTCGTCTCAGGAGGACCTCGAAGCTATGCTCCGCTTCCCCGAACCTATCCCCCCAGCTCCGGTTTTGTCCCCACAAGGTATGTCTTCCCCTTCTTTGAAGCGATCGTTCTGCCAAACTCATGACTTTTGCGCAGCTGTTCTCAAGAGCGACCAGGCACGCTGGTTGTGTGAATACGAGTGCAAGGAAATTCTCGACTATGAGTCTGTGTACTACATCGGCGCTCGCAGTGAGAAGAAGATGGCGACTCCTGACAACTCCACGAACAATCACGGCTATGACGACGAACGAGGAGACTATCTGGTCGTCAATCACGACCATCTGGCATATCGTTATGAGATCATAGATACCCTGGGTAAGGGCTCCTTCGGACAGGTGCTCCACTGCCGCGATCATGGCACCGGCCAGTCTGTAGCTATCAAGATCATCCGGAACAAGAAGCGCTTCCACCACCAAGCCTTGGTCGAAATCAAGATCCTCGATAATCTGCGCAAATGGGTATGTCTCTCAGGTAACCAACACCATTGTTATGCTTGCTGACGTATTCGCAGGACGCGGAAGAGAAACACCATGTCATCAAGATGACGGAACATTTCTACTTCCGTGGTCACCTGTGCATCGCGATGGAGCTCCTCAGCATCAATCTCTACGAATTGATCAAGGCGAACAACTTCCATGGGTTTACCACTGCTCTCATTCGCCGCTTCACCAGCCAGATGCTTCAGTCCTTGGCACTCATGCGTCATCACCGCATTGTCCACTGTGATCTCAAACCGGAGGTACGTTGCTTCTTAGCATCATATGGCTTCGGGTTGCTAATACCTCGTACAGAACGTGCTTCTTCGTCACCCTGCCAAGAGCGCTATCAAAGTCATCGACTTCGGTAGCAGCTGTTTTGAACATGAGAAAAGTGAGTGTTGTACACCCTGTAGAGCCCTAGATCGCTTGCTGACTGCTTCCGTAGTCTATACATATATCCAGAGTCGTTTCTACCGGTCACCAGAGGTTATCCTCGGCATGAACTACCACATGGCTATCGACATGTGGAGTCTGGGTTGCATTATGGCTGAGCTGTACACCGGTTTCCCGATCTTCCCCGGCGAGAACGAGCAAGAGCAGCTTGCATGTATCATGGAGGTTCTCGGCGTTCCAGACAAGGACTTCATCAACCGCAGCTCACGCAAGAGACTCTTCTTCGGTATGTGACATGTTACTCGTGGTCGTTCCTCTAGTCTTACTCCTTGCCAGATACGACTGGTGCTCCTCGACCTGTCGTCAACTCGAAGGGCAAGAGGCGACGTCCCGGCACTAAAACACTGGCGCAGGCGCTGAAGAATCCCGCGGACGATATGTTTGTGGATTTCATCTCGAAATGCCTGATTTGGGATCCGGAGCGGCGATTGAAGCCACAGGCAGCATTGCGGCATCCGTTCATCACTGGTGGTCGCCGGTCCAAGGTACCAAACCCGACGCCTAGCAGCACCGCCAAGACCCTTCTGCAATCCGCGTCGTCGAACCTCGGTAGCCGCAGTACGAAGGTCACGGAGACACCGAAGAAGTCCCTGATCAGTGCACCGACCCCGCTCACCGCACGCAGCTCTCGTACGTTGGCGGTACCAAGCACCCCGAGCGGTTCGACCAGCATGCACAGCACTCTGGGCTCCTCTTCGCGGTCCTACAGATCGTCTCAGGCGCAACCCATGTCTTCGTATCATTCCAGCCGTACTATGGTGAGTCCGTCACAACCTCCTTTGCCAAGCGAGGTTGTTGACGACGATCACCTGTAGACCACAAGATGACCTCCACGACCGGGATACCTCATATGCGCTCCTGCTACTCTAATCGCATCTTCGCAGACTACACCACGATATTTACACTATGCTGACGAATTCCGAGCTGATCCGTTCTAGTTGGTCCTCCTTGCTATCCAATACCCATTCGGTTCCTTGTACTTTATTCCCGCCGCATCTCCCATCCACGTTCACACATCCCATCTGCAAATCGAGCGTTGTTGTTATTATCTTCCGGTCTGTCGGTTACCTCATTATTCCACGATCCTGCACCTCCCATCTTTGCAATATAATACGGCAGCCCTTTGCGGTGCTCGTTCTCGCACATGATCTCATACACGGTGGGATGGGCTATTACCCAAGAGCGAGGGTCGCTATGTTAAGACATCCACAATTCATACTGCGCTGTGCGTCCTTTATCAACTTCTTCCGGACTTCGTCAGAAAATGTTCTCGGCCACTCGGGCCTATGATAACCATTTCTCTTCCTATGTTGTACAATTACTTGGATCTTGGATAACTAGACTACAGTTCGACGTCTCCTCCATCATCGAGGCAGCGCAGCTTGATATAGACGTCGCTGCCTGCAAAGTCGTCATAGCATAAGTAGACGCAAAAAAGGCAAGGCAAGGCAAGGCAGAGCACGCACCCCAGCCATCCAGCGACTTGAAGTCCAACGAGCCTCCAAAGTACTTCGCGTACAGCCTGCTCATCGGGAGCCCGTACCCCAGCCCGGCGATGGTGCCCATGCCCATCTGCACCCCGCGCCCCGCGATCTCCGAGAAGAGGCTCTCGCCGCCCGCGCCGCCGTCGATCGCGCCCGCCCCGCTCATGTGCTGCGCGGCGTACGGGCCGCCGCCCATGCCCTCGTCTTCCCAGTGCATCTCCGCGCCGCGCCCGGCGGTGGTGAAGGAGTACGAGAAGATGCGGGACATGTTCTCCGGGGACACGCCGCCGCCCTGGTCGCGGACGCGGAGGAAGAGGAACCGGGAGGGGCGCTCGGCGGTGCGTAGCGAGGATATCGGGAACGGGAACTTGGACGGCGGCTGGGACGACGGCGGGAAGAGGGCGTCGGGGTGCGGTGCTTTGGAGACGGTGATGACGACGGGGGGGACGCGCGCAGGGGAGGAATGGGAGTGGTGTCGCTGGTGCCACTCCACGGTTGCGCGGAAGGAGTTCTTAAGGATCTCGGTGAGGATGTACTCGAGGTGTACGGGCACGTAGCTGCAGGCGTGCATCAGGGCTCCGAACACGGTACGCAGAGGGAACGGGAGGCACTCACGCGAACGTCGCGTCCGCATCGCCGTCTATCACGATCTGTGGACTCGCACCAAGGGTAGCCTCGCACAGGTCCTTCACGAAAGAGCCGCATACGCCGATGAGCTCCTTCGGCGAGCACGCGAGGTCCACGACACCGAGATGGTTGCTGGCCCCGTCGCCTTGCGCGAGGTCCCTCGAGATAGCGATGTGTTGCTCCGCAATGAGGCGGACCGCGATACGGTTCCGAATCGCGTTGTCCAAGAACTCGCTGATCTGCTCAGGGGTCAAGTACCGCGCGCACTCCTGGAACCTATCCGACGCCCCCACCGCGTCACTCCCTCCACCCGAGCGCGGGAAACGAACGGACAGACGTACTCACCCCTTCGCCATCGCCGGGATGTCGTCCGCGTGGCTCCTGACGAGGTCCGCCAGGTTCTCGATCAGCAGCGCGTTCTCCTCGAGCGTCCTCACGGGCGGGTGGGTGACCAGGAACTGGAACGCACGCCGGTGGGACTGCAGCGTCCGTGCGATGTAAGGGTTCATGCCGACGATGAACGGCAGGGCCTCGAGGGCGCGCGCACGCATGGCGAGCATCCGCGGGATCTCTGAGAACACGTACCCGACGGACTGCAGGACCGAGTCCGGGGTGAGCGGCCGGGCGAACGAGAGGAGCTTGGAGAGCGTGAGGGGGCGCGGTGGCTGCCTGGCGTGTTGTTCCATGAGCCGCGAGAGCTCCACGGGGGAGAGGGGGCTGTCAGTAGACTGCTCTGGATTAAAGATGAGGCCGCTGCGTCGGGGTGTGCTCGAGTGGTAGTTTGCATGCTGTCTTGAGCGAGTCGAGGCAGGAAAACCGCTGCTGATCCCAGCCGTGCGTAGCCTTGCGGCCTTGTGTACCAACGTAAGGCTTCTCATCTCAAAGGTCGTAAAGGGCCACGCAGAAGAGTAGATAGGATGTTGTGGATGGAAAAGGGACGGTCGCAGTTCATATCATAGGGCTCTCCCTATGGACGGAGCTTGTGGCAGACCAGACGCGGAGTCCGGGACCAGATGACGCGCGCGTCCTGTCATTGGCGCGTATCCTCAGGCCTTGCCCACTCTTCCATACTCTGCTCCCAGTCAACATCCCGGACACACAGCGGCGTTGAAAATGACATCGCTCTCCGAGGGTATTGAGCCCATAACGTCCGATAGCATAACGAAAGAAAATATGACATGCGTGGTAATACTACTGCTACTAATCTAGTTATACACTTGATACAATGGCCTGTGCAAAAGGAATGAGATGTGGCTCTGATCCAAAGGACAAGGTAAGGACGTACGTTGACGAGAACTTGGTGCCCTGGCGCACGACCTTCTCGACGGCATCCAAGAAGTCACGCTCTGTTGCGACCTTCCGCCGCGCACGGATGGCAAACATGCCCGCCTCCGTCGCCACTGACCGCAACTCAGCACCAGTCGTGTTGGGACATAGTCGTGCAATGAGATCGAAACGGATGTTGCGCTCTACGCTCATACTGAACCCCGAGGGTCAGCTCAATTGCTCGAAGATAGCAAGGAGGGGGCGTACCTTCTTGCGTGAATGCGAAGAATATGTGCGCGGCCCTCATTGTCTGGTAGTGAGAACTCAACACGACGGTCAAGACGACCAGGACGCAAGAGAGCAGGGTCCAAAGTGTCAGGTCTGCCAATGTCAGTTGAGTTGGCCGAAGGGTATGCGACGGACACTCGGATTCGAGGCTCACCTGTTAGTGGCCATGAGCACCTTGATGTTTCCACGGGGATCGAAACCGTCCAGCTGGTTGATGAGTTCAAGCATCGTCCGCTGCACCTCATTGTCACCGCCGGCACCGTCGTCGAAACGCGCGCCACCAATAGCATCGACCTCATCGAAAAAGATGATGCACGCCTTCTTACTCCGCGCCATCTCAAACAGCTCGCGAACCATCCTCGCTCCCTCGCCGACATATTTCTGCACGAGCTCGGAACCGATCACACGAATGAATGTGGCGTCTGTTCGGTTCGCCACCGCACGGGCACAAAGGGTCTTGCCAGTTCCCGGGGGACCGAAGAGAAGCACACCCTTTGGTGGGTCAATACCGAGGTTAACAAACCGTTCGGGCTGAACCACGAGTTAGCCTGCAAACATGTCACACGGATATTGCACGTACTGAAAGCAGCGGGGTTTCGACAACTTCGCGGAGCTTCTCGATTTGCTCCTTGCAGCCACCAACGTCGGAGTAAGTCACGTCAGGCTTCTCCTCGACCTGCATCATCGTGACAGAGGCGTCGATCTTGGGAGGCAAGGGAATCTGGATCTGATATTTGTTACGGTCCACGCTGGACGAAGAGCGTCAGCCGAGCGGACAGTGACAACAGGGTGAGGCATGACATACCCCACACGCATACCCTCCTCGATATCTGTTGGTGCCACACGCTCGCCCAGGCCAACGACGAACTTTGCAATCTGCTTGATGTTAATGACGTATTTGTCCTGCTCGTCTGCACCCTTCTGGCCCTGGACTGCACCCTCCGGGTTGACCGCACGAGCGCGCTCCGCCGCATCGGGATCCATGGGAATGATCTTGGTACACCGGGCGACCTGTAAGGGGTGCTCCTCGCCCATACGTTGTCTGTCTGCCGCGAGGTCCCATAGGTTTGGTGAAGCAAGGCCAGTGTCGGACTCCTTCACACCTGCAAGCGGAGGATGTCGGGTTACATGTGTGCGTTGTAGAGGGGAAAGACATACCGATCTTCTCGTTAATGCGCTTCTGGACCTCCTTAATGTCCGAGTCTATCTTCTTGAGTCTGGCGGCATAGGGACCTTGACCCTGCAATCCGGTGAGTCTCTTGTACTGAGACCGAGGCCGAAGAGACATACATAGGTCTTCAGGATTTGAATGTCGCTATCATCAAGGGCTGAGAAAGATGTGAGCAAACTAACCAGCCATTGAAAGTATGGACGTACGCTTGATCTCCTTCTCCTCCTTGTCGTCAACTTTCTTGTCCCCTTCAGAGACGAGTTAGGTCGTGCAGGTGCATGAAGTCACGAACGACATACACTTCTCCCAGTCACTGTAGAGCCTACCGTTAGCACGTAATAGAAGCTAGCACGTAGAGCACTCACGCTTTCGGCGCCATTGTATGTTGTAGTGGCGGTAGAGAACAGAGACGGTTTGGAGGACGGAAGCTTGGTCAGAAGCGAAGCCATCAGAGGACGCGTCAGTCCACGCGTAGGCGCCCCACAAGCGCTGGTTCCCCTCGTTCCCGTTTCGGGGTGTGCCAGACTCTGACGACAGCTCCCGATTGGATACCGGAAAGAGACGACTGTCGTCAGTACTTACTCGGCCCTGCCTCCGCTCATCCAAGAGCCAAGAGACCGCGCCTTGCTCATCTACCCCCATACGCCCTCCCAGCCATGGCCGGCGCACTCCCAAATGCGAAGCAGAACCTTCCCAAGATCAGAGATGAAGACCGCGAGTCCCGCTTCGGCCAGGTCTTTGGCGTATCCGGCCCTGTCGTCGTCGCCGAGAACATGACTGGCTCTGCCATGTACGAGCTTGTCCGTGTCGGACATGATGAGCTCGTCGGAGGTGCGCTCCATACATCGGAGAAACACGAACTTACTCGCACTAAACACTCGCGCAGAGGTCATCCGTATTGACGCGGACAAGGCTACAATCCAAGTGTACGAGGAGACGTCCGGAGTAACGGTCGGTGATCCCGTTCTCCGGACAGGGAAGCCTCTCAGTGTTGAGCTCGGTCCTGGTATGTCCATACTTTGATAATTGGTGTCATACGTTGCTGAGAAGTTCCACAGGCCTGATGAGTAACATCGTCGATGGGATTCAACGGCCACTACGAGTGAGTCTCCCATCCAAGATGTCCCCGATGGTGTGTTAACAGAAAACATCTAGGCTATCCAAGAGCTCTCCAAGTCAATATACATTCCCCGTGGTATCAACACTGAAGCTCTTGACCGGTCACTGAAGTGGGACTTCAACCCCGTCAACTACAAGGTATGCTGCGGCGTGTTCTCCTAGTCCTCATACCAATCAATGCTGCTCTTCAGGTCGGCGACCATATTTCTGGAGGTGACATCTTTGGGCGCGTCTACGAGAACTCCCTCGTTGACAACCACAAGATCATGCTCGGTCCTCGCGGTCTCGGTACCATCACCCACATCGCCGAGAAGGGCAGCTATGCTGTCGATGTGAGCTCTTCCTTCTCGTGCATCTGCAAGGTTTTGTTTTTACCCCAGTGTTACTTCAGGATGTCGTTCTGGAGACGGAGTTTAATGGTCAGACCACGAAACACACTCTGATGCAAGTGTGGCCTGTTCGTGCGCCCCGTCCGGTCACGGAGAAGCATACTGCCGATTACCCTCTACTCACTGGTCAGCGGATCCTGGATGCTCTATTCCCGTACGTGTTCTTGCGTATATACTGGTTTAGGGCTAAGCAGCTGTCTAGTTGCGTGCAAGGAGGGACAACCGCGATTCCGGGTGCCTTCGGTTGTGGAAAGACGGTTATCTCTCAAGCACTGTCCAAATACTCGAACAGCGATATCATCATTTATGTCGGTTGCGGAGAGCGCGGTAATGAGGTACGTAGTGAGTGGTCTAGGGCCAGCATTGAGGCTGACAGTTTGTTGGCAGATGGCGGAAGTACTCATGGATGTAAGAAGCACCTTTGCTTGTGTGCTAGTGCTTGCCATTTACACCATACCAGTTCCCCGAGCTGACTATGGAAGTCGGCGATCGTCAAGAACCAATCATGAAGCGCACGACTCTTGTCGCCAATACGTCGAACATGCCTGTCGCTGCCCGTGAGGCGTCCATCTACACCGGTATCACCCTCGCGGAGTACTTCCGTGACCAGGGCACGAACGTCTCCATGATGGCGGACTCTACATCACGTTGGGCCGAGGCATTGCGTGAAATCTCAGGTCGTCTGGCGGAGATGCCCGCTGATTCCGGGTACCCCGCTTACCTTGGTACGAAATTGGCCAGCTTCTACGAGCGTGCGGGTAAGGTTACTTGCCTGGGTAACCCCGTTCGCCAGGGTACTGTATCCATCGTCGGCGCGTGAGTATGCTGGAATGAGTGGTTTGGCTGCAGCCTACTCACGGTTTCCTCAGTGTCTCCCCTCCTGGTGGTGACTTCTCAGATCCCGTTACTGCCGCCACCCTCGGTATCGTGCAGGTGTTCTGGGGTCTTGATAAGAAGCTCGCGCAACGGAAACACTTCCCGTCCGTCAACTGGTCGCTATCGTACTCCAAGTACACGAAGGTTCTCGAGCAGCACTACGAGACGACGGAGCCCGGCTTCGTCGAGCTGCGCACGAAGACGAAGGAGATCCTGCAAAAGGAGGAGGACCTCGCCGAGATCGTGCAGCTCGTCGGCAAGTCGGCGCTGGGCGAGAACGACAAGATCACGCTCGAGGTCGCGCGCATGCTCAAGGACGACTTCCTGCAGCAGAACAGCATGTCCGAGTACGACCGCTTCTGCCCGTTCTACAAGACGAGCGCGATGCTCCGCAACTTCGTCGCGTTCCACGACGCGGCCCAAAAGGCGGTCGCCGGCGGTGACGTCACGTTCGCGAAGATCCGCGACTCCGCGGCGGACATCATGTACAAGCTCTCGCAGATGAAGTTCGAGGTACGAGTCTCACTGTCGTGTGTGCCTGTTGCGCCTCTTGACCTGATGACACCGACGACGCATCCCGCAGTCGCCGTCGCAAGGAAAGGAGCCTATCAAGCAGAGGATGGACGCTTTGTACAGCGAGATCCAGGAGAAGTTCCGTCAGCTGGTAGAGTAGGCTGGACGCTATACCCCATCTCGATCACGATTTCAAGTTCTGTATGTCGCAATAGTTGTTCTCAATTCTCTCCATTCAGCAATACGACTCGTATGTGATGTCACTCCGCTTTAACGCCCGGGTCCAGTAGCACATGGTGACTGCCCAGTCTCCTCTAGATCGCTCCTTTCTCACCACTGGCGAGACTTTTAGGATGGCCGTCGGCGACATCTAAGCCAGCGATGGTGGCTGGTGCCTATGGGTGCTGTTGGACCCGTAGCACGCATGCGCGAACGCCTGAACGAACGGGCTGCTGCTGCGGAGGCGTTTGGTGCGATGCCGATCTTCGCTCTGCTGCCACATTAGCGCTGCGCCCTTGCTGCGGTCTGCGCAAAGCCTGCTCGGGCGGATAATGATGCACCAGGCCGTCATATTGGCAGTCGTGCTCGCAGCACCCATATCGCAACCTACATAAGCCGCGAGACCCCTGGACCTGGGCGCTGCGCTTCTTGCCTTCGCCCAACTTTGTTCGCCATGCTTCTTCTGCACACCGTCCTCGCGGTGGTGTACAGCGGCCTCCTCGCCGTCTCGGCCCGCCCGGAGTACTTGGGCAGGTTCTACGACGCAGAGGGCGCCGAATTGACCGACGCCTCAGAGTATTCCTACTACTATCGGCCGCAGCACGAGGCCTCGCAGGCTGCAGGCTACGAGAATCCCCCCCAGTGGTCTCGTGACGCTTCCCAGCAGATCCTGGGAGCACACCGTGAGTACGCGGAGGAAGGCTACGATGGCCAGGAGCCTGCTCGCTTTCCGGGCACCGATCATGGTCGCCGACCCGAGCCTCCTCATCACTTCCCGCCTCCGCCTCCTCACTTCCCGGAGCCCCACCATGAGTTCCCAAAGCCTCCTCACCCCTTCCCTGAGCCGCCGCACTACCCACCCCCGGAACCGCATCACCCTCACGGTCCCCCCGAAGGTTCTCCGAAGAAGGGACCTTTCCCTCACTTCACGATGCCGGACCACCACAAGACGAAGGATAAGACCATCTATCAATTCTTGGAGAGCCACCCCAAGTATGGCGCAATACCTGTCAAGGCTGTGTGGCACAGTGACTAAATACGCAGTTTAGATTCTCGCGCCTCTTCAAACTGGTGAATTATACGGAGGACATCACGAACTTACTCAACGACTCCTCCCAGAGGTAAATATCTCCGATCATAGCCCCATCGTATGCGAGACTGACGCCAGTGCCCAGTGTCACTTTCTTTGCCCTTCCTGACTGGGCCTTCCCGAAGCCGCCGCATCACCATGGCGTGGACGGGGATGAGGATGCCCAGTTGGAAGAACTCTTCCAGACTGGTGGTGACCTCAGCGACATGCTCGCCGCCGCCGAGGGCTACCTCAGCAGCGCCCATAAGCCCGACGAAGACAAGATCAAGCAGTTCCTGAAGTATCTGCTGCTCTACAACATCCTGCCTGAACAGACGCCCCTGCATCAACTGCGAAGCAACCATACACACGCGACGTCGCTGAAGCTCGAGGACGGCTCGTTGGATGGCGAGCAGCTCCGCATCCGCGTCGGTAAAGGTTTCGGTGCCGACTTCCGTCCTACAATCAACTTCGGGTCCAAAGTGTTGGTGCCTGATATTCCGACCAAGAATGGTGAGCTTCTGAGGAAAGCGGTGCCAATGGCTAGTACTCATGTATTCTGACGTGAAATCAGGTGCCATTCATGTCGTTAGCAAGCCCATTCTTCCCCCTCCTTCCGTCTTCCAGATCGCCTTCCTTTTCTCCGACGCTTTCTCCATTTTCGTAAGTTCAAGGGCTAATGACTGTGTTCGCGCCATGTTAACCATTGTCACAGAGCTCTGCTATTCAGCGAGTCGGACTGACGGACGAGCTCGATTTCCATGGCGGCGAAGATGGTTCCGGTACTGGAGCGGTTTCCATCTTCGCGCCCCACAACAAGGCGTTTTCGCGGCTGCCGCCTAGGTTGAAATTCTACCTTTTCTCGCCATTTGGCCAGAAGGCTTTGAAGAAGCTTCTACAGTTCCACATTGTGCCCGACGCTGTATTGCACTCGAGTGAGTCTGCTTGGCGCACGCAGCCCACTCATTGATCACTGAAAAACATTCCAGATTACTATCACAACGCGTCGGAGTCTGAGTTCGTCCCGTGTCATCATGATGTCGAGACGAATCATTTCTATGCGCATCTCGATCCCTATTCTCAAGATTGGTCCATTCCGGAGGAGTCGCGAGGCCAGGAATATGCCGAGTTTGGCTATGTCCACGAGAAATATAGCTGTTTCAAGGTAAGTTTGTACAGCACACATTGCTTGGAGAAACATTGCGATTGTGCGCAACGGTCCCGTGGATTTGGTGGCCCGAATTTTCCATTGCCATCGCACCGCGGACGCGTCTCTGTCACTGTTTCTCTAGGGGATGATCTCAGTTCGCCTACTGTTGTGCTGACTACCCTCCTTCTCACAGCACGACGGTGGTCGCCCGGAACTTCAGTTCCCGCCCCCACCACCCCCGTCGCACTTCCCGCCTCCACCGCCCCCGCCCCACATCCCCCCACCACCGGAACACTTCCCCCCTCCACCTCCCCCGCGGAACCGTCAACCTCAACACCCTCCTCCGCCCCGTGGAGGTGGCCCTGACCATCCTCAGCATCCACCTCCGGGCGATGAGCCCCACCATCCGCCCCACCACCCTCCTCCTCATCCTCCTTCGCCCCCAAAGGGAGGTCATCACCTGCCCCGCCCCGACGTCGTTTACTCGGCCAACGCCACAGTGCCCACCCTTCTCGAGGGGCACCCTCTAGAAGTCAAGGTCGTCCAGCTCGCATACAGGAGCCCTTTCGGGGGTGAGCATCACAAGCACGCGTTCTACCAGACCGTCGTCGTCGCCCATGGTCAGCCCGTCACCGTGCCGGACGTACCTGCGCGCAACGGCGCGGTCCATGTCATCACCAGGCTCCTGAACCCCCTCAAGAAGCCCCATCATCATCACGGTCGCGAATTCGAGCGCGATGATCTTGCGTTCGGCCCTTTCCTACGTGAGGACCCTGAGAATGACGACGCTGACGAGTGGGCTGGTTGGGAGGAGTGGTTGCCTCGTTGGGCCGAAGAGTAGGAATGAGTTATAGGGTAGCACCGCGTTACCGCATCCAACACCATTCATTATTGCACCCTCCACCCGTCATATCAGAATGACTGCGTGACCAGAGTCGATGAGTTTCGTACTGTATCCTAGTACAATGCACGCCGATGGAACATTCGACCAGATTACAGTAAAACGATAGAAGCATATGTGATAGGAGCAGGTCGTAAATTACTACCATGAGTCGCGATGAGCGTTCGATACGATGCAATCCTTCTCGAGAGTGGCCTCTCAGATCAGAGAGGGAACCTCAGGGAAAGCTCCGTCAATTTGCTGAAACCGTCGACTCGGTAATCATCCCTCGTGATATTCAAGGGGGTGTCGATGTCGTCCACAAACGTCAGCTGCTGCCGAGTCTGATTATCATACGTGGGCCACTCAATTAGACCGTCCCCCGCGCCGTTCGGGTCGCCGCGATTGACGAAGTGAATGAGATAGCTGGTCATGTCTCCCGGACCGTAGACATTACCAAGATCGCTTCCATGGGCCTGTAGATGGAGTACATGTAGTCAGACGCATTATAAATGCTTGATTCCGTTGTCACTCACGGCTCCAAAACGGCCGAGCTCAAATGCGCTATCACCGATCGTGAGCGTGCGTTTACTAACTATAGATCATGAAGGAGAAATCTTGCGTCAGAAACGGATTGAGAGCATAGCTCAAGTACGCACGGAACGACCACGTGGGCTGCTTATCAAATGTATGCTCTACAAAGAAGCGTCTCGGAGCCTGGAATACGAGGTCCCCTTGAATAGCCGCCAAGCGCTTGTATTGCGGAGGGAGCGAATAGTTTGTGCCAGTGTCGAAGGGCGAGCCCTGACTCGGATCGTTTGGATAAAGGGTATCGAAAAGATCACCAATGTCGTCGTCCGTAGCCCCATCGACGTAGTTAGAACGCATATATGACTGGAATCCCCTGTCTGTCCTAGAAAGTCATCAGATTTCACGGATCAAGGTTTCAGCCTTCTCAACATACCAAACAGTCAAAGAGTTGATGATGGAAAAGAGTGTGCCTTCGTCGTTCACGTTCTAGGGCTTGATTTAGTGGCAGAGCTACTGAGAGCCACAGAGAGACATACCCCAGATACGTGTGGGATCCGAGCAACGCTACCCTGAAGTACCAAATTCTGGGGCGTGTCAGTCAAGAACCTTCCGTCAACGCGGGGAAGCCACGCGAGGCGAAGGGACTAAAAAGTCATCATTAATCAGACAGGAAATTTGGATTTCTTGTCGAAACAACGCACTTGCTTGCTGATAATACCGGGGGATTTATCCACGGCCTGTTTCAGAACATCAAAGGGAAGGGTCCTCAAACACTCCAAGGTTTTTGGTGATGCAATGTCTGCGCATGGAGTGTTCTGAACAAGTTGGTCGTACTCGCTCTGGCCCTTGGCAATATCGCCGACAGGAATCGGAGCACCTGATTGCATGAATGCGCCGTGGAAGAGCCCTTCGGGATCGCCGCTATTGGTCAACATATGTAAAGCAACGGAGATCGCGCCTGCACTCTCGCCCCAGCTGTTGATTGTGTCAGTGAGACCAGTGTTCTGCCACCTCAAACTCGTCTCACATAGTGACGCGCTCTGGGTCTCCCCCGAAGTCTGCGATGTACTTCTGTATCCACTTGAAAGCAACGCGTTCTATGAAGAGGCGCTCTCAGCATCGCCAGGAATGTCCATACGTCAGAGGAACTTACGATCTTCTAGACCAATGTTACCAACGCCTTCGGCTTTCACCTCTTCGCCAGCGATGAAACCAAAAGCTGGAGTATTCGCCTATGAGCTGCTATGCTGACTGACTTTGCGATCGATCTTACCGGATACGCTGAGCACAACGGAGGTCAGCGAGCTGAGCCATGTCGACAGATCGCGAAATCTTACCGATAGTTCATGCTGACGTAGATCACTGGCTCGTCCAACTCGATGGAACGCTTCACAATGACACCGCCATCGTACCTGAAATGGAGCGGTGTCAGATAGGAAGACGGTATTAGCGGTTGGGTACTTACGTGTCTGCCGAGCCGGTCTCGAAGCCACCTGCAATGAGGAATGTTCTGATTGAGTCGATGTACGTCAATTTGCATGCTATTCGTGACCTTACCACCGAAGATCCACTGTCGACACGCTCAACATTAGCGTATTACCTATCGAATTATGGGAGGTTGACTGACCACCGCGACCGGAAGCCGAGCTGTGGAGTTAGTGCCAGCCGGTACCCAAACATTGAGATTCAAGCCTGTGCGGATGTGGATGTCAGAAGCAGATAAACGCATGGGACAGTGCATCGCTCACAATCTTCTGACGGGGGAAGCTTGGCTCTGATTGGATACCGCCATTCGGAGACAAGGACGCCAGCAGCTGGATCATCGACCATTGAACGGACATCTGTAGAGCCCTGCTGAGGACAAGCTGGACCGAAGTCGACTGCATCCTCTTCATCGATGTAGGGGCCAACAGGAACGGGAAGGGAGAACCGTCTGGGTAGCATGTAAGTTCACTAGTCTGACTTGACACGAAGACTACGAAATCAACGTACGGGGCGTCAGCGAACTTGATGCCGAGAAACGCATCGCTCACCCCGTCTGACACTCCCGTGAACGTCCCGCTGTCCAACCGGACAGAAGGAGGCTTGGCAGCAGGAGCGGGAGCGGCGACGATTGCGGCGGCATACACCGTCGCAAGTACTATGAAGCTGTAAGTGAGCATGGTAGAACGGTAGCAGACGTCGCTGCCCTATGAGCATCCTTTCGTCCTGGATATATACTTGACACAAGTGAGGCGCGTCCTCTGGCAATGCCGCGCCACGTCAACATACGGACCAACATCCTCTCACCGTGACCGTCAGTTCACCGCACCGAGCAGTATGTCATTGTAGGAGAGACGAATAACGGCTGGAATTCATACACGATCATCGTCGAACGCTTGCTGTCACAGAGAAGGGCTACTAGTACGACAGCGCGTCCCGATGTGTGTCCGTTGTGGGCGGGGCGTTCCGTTGGGGTCGGGCCTGGTAAGGGGGAGGGGTTGGACACGCACTGTGCTCCTAGGTATCTGGGCCGTCTTCACTATTAAAAGCTGCCTCAACCTCCTTGTACGCTGAAGGGCTGCAAGGCAATCTCTTATCTCTCCCGGTCATTCTGCGATGTCCGCGACTGCGTTCATGCATCTCCCACTTCACCCCATCGACCATAACAGGCTGATCAGGGTCAGTCGTACAAACAGGGCATATCATGCGCCGGTTCGCGCTTAAGACGGCCATCGGACTGTAGAAGACTCCGTAAGCGTCTGCTATGATGCATACATGGAGGATGTTGGCTTACTCGGTCGGACGGTCACGTACAGCCAGCATCTCGGACGCAGTCTGCGAAAGCGTCGAAGGATCCGGGAGCGGGTCTCCTTCCAAGAAAGCTGCAGGGAAGGCTCATTAAAGAACCCGAAATTGCTGAGAATGGACCGACCTGCCTTTCGTTATAGCATTCCCTATGTCAAGCACGCCGGTCTTCCATGCCTCCCCGAGCTCTAGAAACCCCCAACTTCGTCGATATTGCTGACGTAGAGGGAATGGGTCTCACGTACCTGTAGCGTCTAGCAAGTACATCGGGACGATCGACTGCCCACATTCCGCTTGGCTCTCGGCATTTGCAGCATTTACGGCCGGAAGAAGCTTGTTGCGGATCCAGGCGACTTGCCGTTTTGCATACCTCCTGGTTCCCAGCTTCATCTGCTCTACTGCAAGTCTGAACACTGCCTCTGACGGCTCTGGGGCGCTCAAGTACTCATGAAATTCCTTATACCCTGACCAGGCGTCGGGCGTCCGAGTGAGCGGTTGGAAAGTCAGATAATGAGGTGCTCCTCACCGATCGACTGATAAATGCCCAGTGTGTAGTCCATTTGTTGCGACTCATTCGCGGGCGACTGCGATTCTGGACCGACTCCAGCAGTAGCGATTGCTCGCAGTGTTTTGATTTCATCCAGCAAGCCTTGCTACTGTGCATAGATGGAACAGACAGTCATAAGGAAGGAACAAAGTGCTCACTGCTATCATCTGGTCCACACGCTCGTCCAGGCGAGGCTTCAGTACCTCTGGCTGCGCATATAACCAGAAACATAGTGTGCGATACCTGTCATCGCCGCACGATTAATGAGCCGAAGAAGATGGTTGCAAGTCGCCCGTACCTCGGCTTCGATGTTATCCGGGATTGCTCCTCGATGATCTCGCTGGCAAGCCTACGGTTTTCTTGGATGATACGTAGGTTGGTGAGGACCTTTCTCGAGTCTCGCCAATGCCACCGCTGCGAAACCAACGGGTCGACGGCGGCAAGCAGCTTGTGCAGTCTCAGGGACAGCTGGGGGTCGAGGTCCGCAGTAGGGGCTTGCTCAGGGAGATTGTCGAACAGACTGAGTAGCTCGGGTGGAAGAGCTGCGAGAGCATTGCTTAACAGTTCAGAGGGCAACGGAGTTTGCTTGTCTCCAGGCGATTCCTCCGCCGACTTGCATAAGGAGGCCATTCTCTCGGGGAAAATGAGGTGTTGAATCCAATACGACGTGCCCCCTACCACGATAGGAACCTGGCCCCTAGAGTGGGTCTCTTCGACCTGCCCACACCGCACCGCATGAAGACAGGCAGAAAAACAAGGCTCTAGGCACCCACCGCATTGATAGCATCCTTGATCCACTCCGGTCCGGTCAACTGCTCTCCGGGCTTCTTGTAGTCCATGAGGAGATGTTCGACGCCGAATCGTTCCTCCAAAGGGACCTTGTTTGTAATGATATCCATACCCATATACACTTGCATGGAGTCCGCATTGATGATCCTTGCGCCACGGTATGGATAGTTTTCACCTTTTGCAGACAAAGCGAGGGCAAGCTCGATGCCGAGCTTTGACTTGCCTACACCCGTCGTTCCACAGATGACGATGAGAGGTTTCGAACTCATGTTTCTGAGTGTTGCAAGGGATGTCTTCAAGATGCTAGTCTGGGGATTGTCCAGATATCAATCAGAGAGGCATTGGGATTGACATAGACATAGACAGACCATTCACGTTCACGTTCACCACGCAGGTCGACAGCATTCTGAGCGAAGACGCTGCGAGCGCCCATGGGGTCATGCTCCATGACATCGACATCTCTGTCCACTGTTCCGGCCAATGCAGTTCGTTCGAGACATCCACAGCAGCACCTCGGACATTCTTTCAAGAGCAAGCCATGCATGCACATGTCACTTCGACGCGTCTCAGCCTCACGTTTGACCTAAACATCGTTCGGTACTAGATACAGTGGACTACAGTAGCATGGGCATCGAGAAGCAACGGTATAGCCACTAGGTAGTGTCCATGCGGTCCGGTGAGATGCTGCGACTGCGAGAACGGAAGCGGCCAGGGGAGCCGCCATTCACACGGTCTGGCGAGATGCTCCTGCTCCTAGACCGGTAGGGCGAACGTGAGCCGGAGCGGCTGCGAGAAACATACCGCGACCCGACCGAGGGCGAGCGAGACTTGCTAGCACTCCGTCCTCGACTAGAGCTTCTTGAAGACGAAGGACTCCTCGCACCTGCCGGGCGTCGTGGACTGCCGTCCCGGCTTCTGCTTCTGCTCCTGTCCGTGCTCCGACTTCTACTCCTGCTCCTACTTCTCTCGTGGTCACTTTTGCCCTCCATAGCGTCCAACAGCCTACTCTTCCTCGGCCCAATCTCTCCCAAGTCCTCTAAGACATCTCGCTTGGTGATCCTGGGGAGGATCAAGTCGCACACACGCTCCTCGGTCAATAGCTGGTCCACAAACTCGTCCATATGCGTCAGCGTGTAACCCCCTGGGATCGTATGTGAGAAAGGGAAGCGATACGTGAACAAAGACACATACCCATTCCCAAGTAACGCAATTTTCGATAGTCCTTGAGCAAAGGCTCCAGGATTTCATAGACTTCCGCTGGTCGGAAGGTCATCCGTATGTAGAATGCAGCGAGTGCCCGTAGATACCTGACGAAGCCAGGGTTGGACTGTGTCACAGTCGAGTGCCATCGGTTCGTACTCACTTGAACTCGTCCGCCTGCAAGTACTCCAGCAGAATCTCCTTCTCCGGCTGAATTTGGAGGAGCTTGAGGAGTAGACATAGGAACTCCGTAGGCTTTTGGTTGCCGTAAACACCACCGATCGCCTTCAGCTCAATAGCTTTATCAATCAACGTTTCGGCTACACGGACACCCTCAGTCGGTAATGCCTTCAAGGTAGCGAAAGCAACATACCGGTAAGCGCAAAACAGTGCTCCTTCCAGTAGCTTGAGTCATAGATACGATTCCGGATCACAGATTCGACTAGGTACTGTACATTCAGCTATGGAAGTCTCCCATCTGGAGGGTCACAATGGTCTCACCTGAGGATTCTGGCCATGAATAGCGGTTGCCCCGCGGACGGTGGTGTTGGCCATGATGAACGCGTTGTGTACGACTATTTGTCCTGGACGCGGCTCACTTTGACGCCACCACAATAGGCATGCACGAAAGTTTGGTCCCTCCACGCTCATTTGACCTGAATGGCAGCGGGTGGCTTCGGATTTCACGCCCGACTCAAATTCCAATCTCAACCCGCGCAAAGTGGTTCTTGGACAATACACAAGTTTGCACGCGTTCTGCAGTCATTGAATGATCATCCATCATTTGCCGTACGAAGTCATTAGATCCCTATACGGCTCGGCCCTATCCAGGTGACCGTTGACCAAGGCTTCCTACACGTCGTCATACTTATCGTAAAATACGCAACATTATGCTATAGAACCCTTTCAGAACTGAGTCGAACGGATGCTGTTCCGGAGACGGTGCTGGATTGGGCGAGCGATGCGCTCAGGAGCATCGTAATCAACAGAGAAAATGCTGACGGCAGTGAAGCAGTCCGCGCTAGTCGGAGTCTCGCCTAGAGGATAAGGACACTTGTTAGCACAGTAGGATAGAATGCATTGCGGGATGCTTACCAGGGTCCTCGCGAACCCCATTGATGTTGGAGTTCACGCCAGTCGCGACACTGCGCGCTCAGTCAGTACAGCACCAGTATTCATTCGTCCAAGAAAACGCACAGATCGACTTCAACGGGCAACCCAGTGGTGTTGTCTATGGCAATCGAATTGACGGTCGCACCTCCGGTCAAGCGAGTGAAGACGAACGGAGGCGCGGTGCAGTTGCTGGCGGGGCCAAATGTTGGGATGTTAACACTGCGAACGGAATGTCAGCTGCTAGCCACCGGAAAGATTGTAGATGAACGAACTTGAGGCCAACGCCAAGCGGGAGGAGCCGCTCCTGGCTCGCATTCACGCCGGCCGCGATAATGGCTACCAAATTCTTCACGACCTGAGCGGCCAGGTTCGCTGGGTCGTTGGGCTCGCCCGTGTTGGTAGTGAAAGAGCGGTGGGTGCCGTTGCCCGCAGAGAAGGCAATAGCAGGAATCTATCCCACCAATGAGTACATGACACAATCCGAGAACCGTGTGTGCGTCTCACGCCGCGCTCAACAGCGGTATAGGTCGCACCGATGGTACCACTCAGTGTGTACAAGAAGGGGCCGTTGTTCTGGCCTTCATTAGGACCGGAGACCACGAGGTCGATGGGAGTGCTGCCAAACTTTTTGGGAGCAATGATATCGATTCCGAACGTGACCTATCACCACAGGCAAGCGTATCAGTGCTGATTCAGCGTTGCCTAGATAGGATGTACTTACAGTGGCCGAAGGCGTTCCATTGAAGTAAACTGGACAGGCAACCTCATGTTAGCGCATCTGACTTCGGCGACTACCCCGTTAAGAGCTGCCACTCACACAGGTCGCCGTTCTGCGAGTCGGCGCCAAAGAAGGGAGCACCAGCAGGAATGGAGTCGAACTCGCCACCAGGATGCGTGATATTTGTCGTAGGAAGGACGAAGGTGCCTCCCTTACCAGATTGCTGAATCGCTGGCCTATTGGTCGTGTCAACACCGAGTCTCCCGATTGGATACAAGCGGCATTGCGCAGCTCACCCAACCAAAAGGACATTATGCCCATCTGCCTTCAGCGCGTCAAACGCCGCACTATAGCATAGGCAGGACGTAAACACATAGATGCGGCGAAGTATACGGCGCACGTACCGGATGTTGGCAGAAGCCCAACTGTCATCATTCGTGACCAGAATGTTGAGACCTGCGGCACAGGACACGAAAGCGAGGAGGAGCGCGGAGAGCTTCCACATTTTGGAGAGAGGTCTGTGGTCGTAGCGTGGGCGTAACACAGGAGGGTTGGGGGCGAACCGCAGCGAGTTGAAAGGCTAATGACGCGCTCCATTTGTACTAGGTGAGGTGCAGCACTGATCACGTTACGTTTGGCATCCTCCCATGAAGTTTTTTGGTCTGTCTAAGACGGCAGAGGACCTAGGCCATGACGGGCGAATAGGGAACGGTGGTAGGATGCACGTTTGTGCACTGGTTGACCACCCAATGCCGTAGCCCGCGCTGTAAGGTTGATGAAGGGTCTGGACAGCGGCGGTAAGTGCACGCTGCGAAACGAGGCCTTGAAGACTAAGCCTCTCAACTTCATATTGCTTCCCAGCAGTTTCTTCATGACACGCCTGGGAGATTCGCAAGTAACGTGAGATGCGTCGCTCAGGTACGAATAGCTTGCAACCGCACTAGGCAGAGTGTTTTCCTAGGGAGGCGCGAATGCTCCAACGGAAGCCTTGTGGATGCATTGATTCTATATAAAAGAAGACCAGGAATGAGCTACTTGACGGTATACTCTTTGCACGTTTGCCATCTAGGTAGGGCTTCGCGACGTGAGTGTAACATGCCTATGCGCGACAGCAGGCGGGACGTATAAATGTCGAGCCCTAGTCTAGGTCTGTCGTTGTCACTTGCACTAGCCTCTCTAGATGAAGTGTGAAAGTCAAGGTAAGGTCAGATCTTCAGAATGCGAAGATGATGCGCGAAGGGGACCGCGCTCGCAGCTCGGAGTCGGAAGTCGGGCCGCTACCGACGGTACAGACGCGCCAGGCGGTCGCTGCGCAGTCCTCTGGCTGTCCGTTACAGCCTGGAGAGGCCCCACGCTTGCATTTGACCCCCGCTCAAGGACGTCTTACTACCCTTTTTTGTCGACACCACTTCTATCGCCTCCTTCTGACAAGGAACAGGAGAGTTACAGCATTGGTGTTGTTTACTATGGCGTAATGTCATGATTATTCCACCGCTCATTGGCAGCCTGCAACTTACAAAGTCTGAATATGTAGGACAACAACGCTGCTAGCAGTACCAGCTTCGAAATCTTGAGGCTAGTGGGCAGATCTGAAAGCGCGGGTTCGGGGCATGATCGTGACAACCCGTAGCTCCATACCTAGCGCAACCGAGGCATCCGTGGCGGCGACCGACGAAGATGACTCGAGGTCAAGGTATGTCGATCCATGAGACGGAACGCCCGCTCGGGGTCTGGTGTTGTAGAGTCCACGCGGAACACCATCTACTTGTGCCCTGCCCGGGTCTTGCGGCAACGTTCAAACCGCGAGTTTCGCGCATACGCTTTAATGCGTAATTGAACAGGGCTCATCCCTGCACTTCGCCAGGTACCCACTTCCGCCAGACTGAGTTCGGCGAACGAGTGTCATCACCAGAAAGGACACTCTGTTCACAAGATTCACCTTTTTTGTCAACGTGGCTACCAACCCGGTTTGTAGTATCGCAGCTACGAAACCATCACAAAACGACAGGGTGGGGCTCTGTCCGCTGTCACATGGAGGACGTTGAATATGGCTCTTGCTAGGACCTGGGTGAGTCTGCTCTTATACTCTTTCTCAGTCAAACCCGCTTCTCATCACTCTTCCTTGACGTCACTGCAGTAACGTCTACGAGAACTCTTGCACTGTGAGATATTCAGTGTGCTCAGCCGTGACAGACGTCGTGCTGCTGGATTGCGCGTTGGTCATGTCGGCGCTGTCGTGTTTGTGCTCATGATTAGGGGATGACTAGTAGCTCGACATAGAGCGAGACTGCATAGTGTATATGATCCTACTCTCGTGTATGGTGATAGGGAGCGGCACCGACAAAATATATTTCGCGTGTATGAGAATTCGAATGAGGATGGCCGAGGATGAGATTGTGCGACAAGGAGCGGAAGCTTGTCGCTCGCTCCCATCATCGCCACTGACCGAGTTGGCCTCTCCCATCCCACTGGCTCAGCAAAGGCCCAGATTCCTCCACGCGATTCTCGTGGTTCGGCCTTCCATCTCACATACGCTAGAACGGCCAAGGGATGGCGTCGGTAGAGAGCGCACCCGCATACCTGCAGCCAGGGGTCTCCGTGTCACAACCACCCCACCTCGAAGGTGATCCGTCTCTGGCTACGGAGATCTTACCTGGTCCACCCCCTCTAGCTTCAATTCAACAGGCTGGTGTTCCGCGAAAAGACCACAAAAAATCTTCGGTGTCCTACTCTTATCTGCCCTCGGCGGACCCAGGAACAACATATACCACGCACTTTGCGATGGCTGCTCTTTCCGCAGCTCCCGCCGACCTCGACGGGGCTCGGAGGAAACGCGCTCGTTTGGATAAAGGGTACGTCTTCACATCGTCTCAACAAGCAGAGCTCAACTGACCTCCTGATTATCGTTCCGGTTCTACTTTACACAAACGAACACCTCGAACCTCTGCCCGCAAAATTTGCCCCCTCTTTCGCCCATTGTCCCCTGCCTCCGCAGCGCCGAGAGCAGCAGGTCACAGCGTGCATCCGCTCGCAGCTTGGCTGCAGTGGCGCCGTCGTCAGAACCTATCCCGATGCCGGAAGCGACCGCTTCGTCATCGCATGCCCTGTCGGACTTTGATCCCCAACACCTATCACTTGACTCTGACGACGCCATGGTGTCCCGCGCAACATCCGTCCATGGGGATGACTCGCCTCCGGAGTCCGCTGAGCCACCTTCCAAAAGGCAACGCGCCCGGCCCCAGAAGGACAAGGAGAAGGGAAAGGAGCGGGAGCGGGATGCGGTGAGGGTGAAGGAGGAGCCGACTGTGGTATCCCTGAGCGAGCATGCCCCCGCTGGATTCGTGAGTCCTTCTTGACCCGCCCGGACCATCTGCATCGAATTAAGCAGCAGTGTAGCCCAATGAGGACCATTGCTCTGCATGTCGGTCGTTGGGTGCGCTCGTGTACTGCGATGGATGTACAAAGGCTTTCCACTGGCTATGTCTAGATCCGCCCATGGAGGCGAGCGACCTTCCGGAGGGCGAATCTAGATGGTTTTGTCCGGCATGTCTACTGGAACAGGTAAGTGCCGTAGGTCTTCCCCCGTATCGCAAGTTGATCAGTGCCACGCGATAGCGCCCTCCACCCAAACCGCCTGCCTCTCTCAAATTCATGGGACCACTCGTCCACGAACTTGGACACAGGACACCAACTGAATTCCAATTGCCCCAGGACGTACGCTCTTTTTTCAAAGACGGTGAGTCACGATGTCTTCAGCACCGCTATCTCAGTCCCCTCACAACCCCTCCAGTGGGTACCGGAACGAGAGGCACTTATCAAGATATGTCTGAAGTGAAACAAGCTCGTTTCAAGTGAGATATCTCTTTCGTTCCCACTGAGCAGCCTCTCACGGACAGATGCCACCAGTCGACATGGGCAGCTTGAGGATCGCGATCCGTACAGACTGAAGGATCGCAACGGCGAGCCTGTCCTTTGCTTCCGCTGTGGTACATCCGCACTTCCTCCTGGTTTGGCTGCGGATTCGCCCACTGCTAAGCGAGCACGACGATCGACTTCGACCAATGTCCCGAACTACGAGACGGGTCGGGCCATCATCTCATGCGACTATTGTCATTTACATTGGCACCTCGATTGTCTCGATCCTCCCATGATTACCATGCCGCCTTGGTCGAAGAAATGGATGTGTCCAAACCACGCCGAGCACACATTGGTAGGCCTTCGTCGGTCTGATATTGGCATGGTTCCTAATCACAGATGCGTCTTAGCAACCGAAACGTCGTATTCCTCGGGCGAATGCTACACCCATCGATATCATGAAGCCCCGACAGTGGAATAACGGTAACATTGAAATCATACAAGCCGACTCCGCACCACCTCCCGCAATCGTGCCGGACAAGGTCAACGTGGACGAAGTACTCATCAACGGTCGTCGGTATCGGGTCCCGGAGAGGATCATCACGCTCGACTTCTGGGACAAGGTAGCGAAGAATCGCCGGGGCGAATCCGCGTCTGTAACGTCAGTGGCTGTTTGAGGTGCCTTCACATTATCTTGACGCATGCTCTTAACAGGGAGATCGATGGGTCAAGTGCCATGTCGTCACCCTTAACGTCCTTGAGCTCCCTCGATGAGCATGATAGCGTCCCGCCATTCTCGATGGAGCCTGCGATGTACTCAATGGATGATGTTAACTTTGCTCAGGTGAGGAGGCATGCCCCGAAGAGTTTGACGTGAAACCGAGGCCTTTTGTTGCTGTAGATGCTGTGCAACCTACGTTTGCAAAGCTCTTCCGATTCTCGTGTCCCTGGCGAGGACCGTGCTCGAGGTAATGTCAATGGCGTTCACGGAGCAAAGCGCATCAAAGTAGAAGAAGGCACATCGCAGGTGCGTTTGCCAATTATATCTGTGTCCTTGCGACATTCTCATGTGTCCCCTTAATGTAGACTGCGCTGGATAGATCGCAGAGCGGCGCTGCGTCTACTAGCATCGCTGGAGGAAATACCACACGTCCCAAGCGTGCCGCACGCGTTGCCCCTTCCCGGTCTCATTCCACTAGGAGATCGGGTCGTTCCGGGGATGGCGATATAATGGCCATCGACTTCGACCTTCCGCCTCTCGTCATCTCATCCGGGAAACGTCCCGACGCCCGTCGGAAGGCAGCCCGACCACCCGAGGCGGCTGATAGTGCCTCTCATGCTCCGGCCGTGAACGGAACCGCATCCACTACCACGGAAAGCGACAAGACTGCTTCTGACGCGACAGAGGTTCCTTCGGCATCCGTCTCGGGCAGGCCGAAAAGGAATCGGCAGCCAGCGAAATCTTCGTCCTCGCGCGCTGTGACCATCAAGCCAGATCCGGACGCTGACCCCCCGACGTTGGATATACCCCTTGCCTCGGCTTCTAGGAAGAAGGCAAATGGCACGTCTCGTGCATCGAAGCCTAGCACTCCGCCCACGGTGAACGGCAAGACACCTGTCGCATCCGCGGATCCCAAACCGGAGGCTACTCCGACTCTCAAGATTCGCCTCCCTAGGCTCGGGGCTTTTAATTCGCCCTCCGCAGCCAAAGAGTCCGTACTAGAGACGTCGAGAATTTCACCGACCAAACCCGCCGCTCCTGCCGTTTCTACTCGCCCGCGGCGCTCCCTCCGACGTCAGGCGTCCATACCCACTTCTCTGAACTCGGCGTCCGTAAGCGATGCAGGTTCTTCCTCCAGGGTCAACGACCCAGGGCTCTCCGCTAGTCCGATCGAGTCGTTCTGACACCACCCCGTGTACGGCAGACCCTCTATCGTTATTGCATCATGACTCGTTCCGTGTTCGCAGTACTGTACATGGCAATGTATTCCATTACCGTAAGTCTCCCTATTTTGAGGGCGAACGGTCTGTAATGTCGGCATATTCATGGGTTCGTCTAAGTTGAGGTTGGGCCCAGGGTTGTCTTTTGGCGTCTAGCCGGCCCTTGCCAGCTCCCATGTATATTGCGAGGCGACCTGTCTTCGTTCATGGCACTCCGCATCTTTGGCACACGTGTCGTAGCAGAAACTTGCACAAATCACAATCCATGTACACTTTCCCCGTCCGGCCCCAATTGCCTACGCCGATCGATGGCACTGCAGTCAAACTGCCGGGATAGGATTTATGGATGAATTACGTGGGCACTTGAGATGCTCGCCGGAGCTACTTGCGACACTGACGAATTTTGGCGGGGCAGATCGAGAACGTATACATCTTACCAACACGAATAGACGTCCATAAATTCGCCCGTGCATTGGAGGGAAGCTTACAAGTTTATCCTCACGCCGCTGGCCAGCTTCAAAGGGACGGTCAAGGTTGTTGGGTGGTAAGTACCGTCATATACCTACGGCTGATGTCCAGGTAACTCATGCGTGGCGTAGATACTACCCACTCACCACTGCATTATGGTGGAAGTTGACGAAAAAGAAGACCATCTCATGGCAGGATTGGATGATTGGGTAGTGCAACCCAGTCTACGTCCGTTTCTCAGAGCGCGAGGGGTTCCAAGCGAGCTCTACACTCATGACACTGCGCGCTCGGGAGATGCTTACCGTCTCTTGTTCATCAAGTTGACCATCGCGGGCGAGCAGACCGCTATCGGGATCTCGTGGCATCATACGCTTGGTCCGTCCTGCATGGTATTCCTCTGTATGCTGAACAACTCACGATCCGCATGGTCACTCAGGAGATGCAACCGTTTTATGCCGGTTCATACAGTATCTATCTCAGTGTTACCAAGGTGGCGGCAGCCTGCCTTCTCCTATCCCCACGTTTACCAAACGGGACTTTGCCCCACCGAGCGAGTCGCTACTGGCAGAGCATGCGCCTCTCATGCCCCACCTCACCAACACCTACCGTGTTAGCGAGCTAGGTCTACAGTATAGCGCCATGAATCAGGATACGGCCAGGGTATTTTTGAAAGTGACCACGCAACAGCTACGGCAACTGAAAGAGAGGATCATGATGCAAGACCCGGCCGCGGTCCCCATCGAGAACTTACTCCCATCTAGTCATGACTGCCTGGTGGCGTTCATCATTACCGTCCTGAACCGTCATCTGAATACCCCAATCACTCGGGTGGCCAATGCAGCCAGTGTGAGGACGGTTTCCATGTCACCACTGCAAGCAGCTAATCCGGCCACAGTACAGGAGAGTTTCTGGTGTCGTCGAAGATGGCATTGCCGGGAATGCGATCTACATTGTGGGATGGCTCTCAGCTCCTCCTGATGAAGAGCGGTGATTGATAGAAAAGTAGATACCCACAAGTATAGCTGCTGAGGACATCCATGATCTCAAGAGGATCGCCTACGCTCTCCGCCGTTCCATATTGTCTTGGCGAGAGCGCTCCAAGGTAGAGGAGTACATGTCAGTCGCCAGCCACTTCATGCAGTTGGCCACGGACCAAGGCCATTCGATGTTCTTCGCCGCTCCTCCCGGACACATGTCGGTCAATTCGAACGCTGGGTCAGTTGTCATGACCGCCGGTGTTCGCCTTGGGCTTGCGCTGACCAACATCATCAGGATTGACTGGCATTCCGCACATTTTGGTCTTCCAAACAAGATCAAATTCCATACCTCCGGCATCAACGACCGGTATGTCAGGGTGTTTTCGTCAAATCCTACCACCAGCGGCGAAGAAGAGCCATCCCCGTCCTTAGATGTATCTTTCGCGATGGCGAGTAGCATACAGGAAGAAGTCTACAATGACATCATGTCCGTCCTACAAGCTCAAAACTTCCCGGATAACATCTTGTAGTTTAGCTTCGCAAACATGGTTACTTCCAATGTGACATAGTAGTACTACCAAAGAACTTGCCTCTAGAGGCTATCCGGCAGCCCGGCCCGCGAAGTTGTCGAGGCGTTTTCAGGCCCTGATTTGGAAAGCGATCTGAAAGGTCCGGACGCGTAGACGCCGTCTCTTGTTCGCAAACTTGTCCCATCTTGAAACGTCCTGTTTTGCTACTTAAATCAGGAATGTCCGATTTAAAGTCGCTGGTTGATGAATGGCTTTGTTTGGATCCCGTAAGCCTTGCTGTGATCTGTGCATCATGTCTTGCCTTCCGTGTATTGTGCACTCGCTGATTATGTCTTGCACAAGAACGAGGAGACTCGGCGCGAAATCGAGCTTTTAGTTGAAGCGGGAAATACTGCAGAGCTGGAGAAGAGGATGAGGTATAAGTTTGCCTTGGATGAGTGCACTGTAAATATTGACGTCCCGCGGCAGCCCTCGCATTGAGTTTGGCACTGCAGGTAATTCTGACTCACTTACTGCTGCTATAGCATAGTATTAACACACAATGACGTGGAGGCCTTCGTGGACGAATGGAAGCAGGGTGGGCTCGCATGAACGACCTCATCATCATTCAGGCGTCTCAGGTGGGCAAGCCGAAACGCTTAACCATCTCTATCAGCCAATATGAACCGCTTGATATCACAGGGGCTATGTGCGTACGTGCTGGAGCATGTCAAGGACGCACGATCTCGCGGTGTTGTTGTCGGATATGATCACAGGTACCACTCTGAGAAGTGGGCGAAGCTGACTGCGGCAGTCTTCATTGACCAGCAAGTGCCCGTATACTTCCACGACGGTGTCGTCCATACGCCCTTGTAAGTACACAGGAATGTCTTTCAGTTGTTGCCTGAGGCTCACGAAATGTAGGGTGCCTTTCACAGTGAGAGCCAAGCAGGCAGCTGCAGGTGTGATGATCACCGGTGAGTGCGTACCCCCCCCCCTCTGTTTCCCATATACCTGATAGCAGCCCTTTCAGCTAGCCATAATCCGAAGGTCTGTTGAGGCTTTGTTTGACTGTAGCAGATACCTCATTTGTCCCTAGCTAGACAATGGCTACAAGGTTTACTGGGAGAACGCGGTTCAGGTACATATAATCAATTGGAAACATCTATGTCTACTGAACGGATAGTGTCGTACAGATCATCGAACCACATGACAAGGGCATCTCCCAATCTATTAGGAAGAATACTAAACCTCGCCCGCTCAAAATCGACTCGCTAGCAAGCTCTCCACTTCTGAGGAAGTATGATTACTCTGCGTATCTCGAATACATCGGGTCACTATCATTTTCTCGGTATGACAGTCATCCTTCCGTCTTAAGGCTGGTACCGATCAATCACCTTGGCAGCTCTCTCAACGCTCAGAGTAAACTAAAGTTCGTCAACACCTCGATGCACGGCGTGAGCGACGCAACAATGTCCAAAGCATTCGAACTTTTCGGGTTCCCTCCGTATATCCCCGTTGCGGCGCAGCGGAATCCGGATCCTGACTTCCCCACTGTCAAGTTCCCGAATCCGGAAGAGAAGGGTACGTCCACACCACTGTATACATCGCTAACTGATAATTATGCTACCATTTTCCAGGTGCCCTGGTACTTGATCAGTCTACCTAATGCCCACAGTGATAGAAATTCACGTCCCTCCGTTAGGACCTGGCCATTGTCACCGCAACTGAGCATGGAGCCGACTACATTCTGGCCCAAGATCCCGACTCGGATCGCTTCGCTGCAGCAGAGAGAGGGTGGGGATTCACCTCATGCAGTACCTCGTTGCATGAATCCGGCTCTGACGCAGTTCCCTCTAGACCGGATGGAAAGTGGATCCAATTCACGGGCGACCAGCTGGGCACGCTTTTCGCTAGCGCTACCCTCGACAAGTACAAGACGACCGGCGAGCCTCTATGTAACGATTGCGCTCCCTAAACCTTCCTGCTTTGCCATGCTGAATCAACACCTCAGCGAAACTTGCAATGGTCGCCTCGACAGTGAGCTGGAAGATGATCGAGGCAATAGCGCACGCGGAGGGCTTCAAGTTCGCGGAATGCCTGACAGGTACCCGGTCTTACAGTACTGACGTTCCGCCCGCTCACTGGCATGAACCCAGGGTTCAAGTACATCGGCAACACCGCCCTGAACCTGGTCCAGGAGGGCTTCGAGGTGCCTTTCGGCTACGAAGAAGCGATCGGCTTCATGTTCGGCTCAGACCTGCGCGACAAGGACGGCGTCGCCGCCTCCGTCGTGTTCGCCGAGTTCGCCGCCTCGCTCCAGAGGCAGGGCAAGACCGCCAGCTCCCATCTGCACGAGCTCTACGAGCGGTGCGTATCCCATCGTCTGTCCCTGCTGTCCCCAGTGCTAATCAACAAGTGATGGGTGTCCGCAGATACGGTTTCTTCCAGGCGAGTGTCCCCACACGTCGAAACCCCCCACCCGCCAGCGTTGACCTCCCCCCCTCCCCCAACAGACCAGCAACTCCTACTTCATCTGCACCGAGCCGCGCACAATCGACGCCATCTTCGCGCGCATTCGCAATTTCGGCGGCTCCTCCGCCGCCGGCAGCACGCCCAGCTACCCCAAGACCCTCGCCGGGCTCACGATCACGAGCGTGCGCGACCTGACCGTCGGGTACGACAGCGCGAAACCGCCGACGTACAAGCCCGCGCTGCCGCTCTCCTCCGGGCACATGATCCAGTTCCGCGCGGAGAGCAGGGCGGACGGGACGAGGATCACTCTGACCACGCGGTGCGTCCTCCTCTGGCTCTCGTTGCCTAGTGCAAACGGGAAACGGCTGATACGCCGCTGCGCTGCAGGACGAGCGGGACGGAGCCGAAGATCAAGTACTATCTCGAGGGCAGCGGCAAGGACGCCGCTGCGGTCGCGCAGCTCTTGCCCAAGGTCGTGCAGGAGCTGTCCGACGTGTGGATGGAGGCGGAGAAGAACGGTCTGGGCAGGCCGTAAAGGTGACGATGACGGGAACAATCACTGCCGGACAGATACACGATTGGAGTGTGGGTTGTTACAAGAAGCAGAGCAAATACAGCATTTCTACATCTTTGAGGGCAAATCACGGCGTGAGCTCACGCTACCAGAGCCCTCCGTTGATCGTCGAACGCCTTGGCTCGCTGCCAGGTTTCCACGCTGAGTGTGGGTTCGTGCAGGGAGAGCGCATATAGTCTACAATCGCATGAGCATCGACTGCGACATCTCCGGCGGCACAAGGACTCACTTCGAGACGGTCATCCATCGGATGAGATCGTCGGGTGTGACGCTCCGATCGTCCTGCCTCGCGCTGACAAACTGCGCCTGGATATGCTGCAGGGCGCACACCAGCGGCCGCAACACGCATCAGCCGTTCCGCCGCACCGACCGCAGTACGAACACGCAGACGCACCTCGGACGTCCCCTCCGGCACGACGACCGTCCCGCCCCGCGCGCCCACCACTAGATCCCTGAACGCGTCCAGCTTCTCCCTCGGCGGCACCTTCACCGCCTCCCTGGGCTTGTACAGCGCCGCGACGGCCGCGGGGCTCGCGCGGAGCGGGACGCTGAGCTCCGCGCGGAAGAACGCGCTCCTGCGGCCCTCGGCGAGGACGACGCAGGCGATATCGGTCGGGAACGCGAACCGGCTGAAGGGGAAGACGTACGCGAGCGTCTGCGCGTCCATCACCTCCTGCAGCGCGCGTACGTTCAGCACGCCTGTCCAAATGGATCAGTCATCGTGGTACAATCAGAGGGAGAAGTAGAAGGGTAGGATCGGCGGGGGCGCACCTCTTTCGAGCAGCTGGCCCTCGCGCACGCCGCCCTCTGAGACGAGGAGCACGGTGCCCTGCGGCAGCTGGAGGACGCCCGCGTGGAGGTCCTCGTCCTTGCTCTCCGGCGTGAAGGTGCTCTTGTTCAGGCTGTCCAGCGACAGCGAGAGCGTGTGTGAGAGCGGCAGCAGCAGGCCGAGTACGGCTGACAGCGTCGGCAGGGGCGCTGCCGACCACGGCGCGGTCGACGGCACGGGCGGCGGCGGAGGAAAGTGCGAGACGACGAGAGGCGGAGGGAGCAGAGGCGGGTGACGGGATTGGCTGTCGGCCAACCCTGCGTGTCAGAAGCGAGCTTGTGGAGAGAAAAGCAGGAGGGAGACGAACACTCTGGCGATGCACGAGAGCAGGATCCATTCTGCCGCATGGCGGTCTCCTCCAAGGGCCTCGTCGGCGATCCACGCGATGAGCTCTTCACGGATCTGGGCCGTATCTTCTGCTGGCGTCGCCGGCGAGTTGGACGAGATGCTCAATAGCACACCGTCTCGATTCGAGCGGGAGACACGCGGGAAGGGTCGAGGTACGACGTTCGGCGCGTGCGATTTTGTGAAGAGGACGTGGAGGGTCGGTGCGTCTGCGAGGATGTCTTGTGTTCGGTCCAAGCCACACCTACGAAACATAAAACCAATGAGCCCAGAACGTCTGACGGTCGAGTTAGCCACTCACGGTTCCGTGGAGAGAATGCCGACAAAGGTCACGACATCGGAAGCCTTGAAAGACTCGACATTCTCGCGTTCGTAGAGCTGACGAGACCGCTGAGATCGGAAACAATCGGTCTTGACGACATCCGTACCTTAATCTGTATGCCAACATGTCCGAGCTCGGGGTGGGGGTACTTGTAGGCCCTCGAGGAAGATGGGGAGGGAGAGTCCGTCTGGGTGGCTGCTGGGACATATGAAGCGATCAGACCTGTTCGGACGCTAAGTTAAGGACTTGAACGTACGGGTATTGCTTCCATCCATCTCCTCCACGCACCAGTCGGACTCGGCAGGTACGCTAGTGGCCCAGAGGACATTGCACTCGCGGAGGTTAGCGTAGTCGACGTCGGTCGCACTGGAGCTGCTTGCGCTCTCTGGCTCGTATATTCCCCAGCCGCCGCATGTGCCATCGCTATGCTTGGCCAAGTACATCTCCGTGGACAGAGACGTGTCCTGGACCATAGCACGGAAACGGACCAAGGCGCGGTCGCGGAAGGTTTCTGGCGGACGGTGGACGTTCAACGCAGGAATCTAGGAGAGCATCGGCTTGGCTCAGTGCATCATATGTCGACAACAGGCGTGACAAACTGACCTTCTTGAACGCGTTAGGCGACTCGAAGAGTTTTGCGAAGTGCTCGGCCACCAAGCGAGGGAAGTCGAGCGAGATAGCATGTGCTCGATATAGTTCCTGCACGACAACGGTCGGGTCCTCAACGGCCTGCGTGCGGTAGTCTGCGGTCATGGTGAGCAGAGCAGCGTGCAGAGGACGAAAGGCGGAGGGAAATCGAGACAGCGCGGACGACTTGAGTGAAGGACGCGGTCCAAGTCCAGAAACGCGCCTCCGCCCCCCGCCATAATGGGACGCGTCCCGTCACATTCACGCCCCAAGACAAGTCCGAACGCCTCCCCTCGCGCGCAATGCTCACGACAGACAGGCAAGGTCCCCAGATGTTATACAATAGAGTGGTATGGATAGACAAAGTCTAAGGCTGTGCAATGTACTATACAGTAAGTAATCTAAGTATGCGACGTCATAAAAAGAGTGGAGGGCTAATAGTAGACTGGGCTGGTAGTGGCCGCCCCGGGCCTGGTCACATTACAATATCTGCCTGGTTTCTTATGCTACGAGAGTCGTTCCAAAGTCCACCGAAAGCACGAAAGCGTCATTGGTCCCCAACGAGATAGGAAATCGCCCCATAGGGCGCATCGTCAGGCTCAGCGTTCACTGATCGTCCACCGCGAGCGCGTTGTACGTGGGGCACAGATCGTCCCAAGCTTCTGTGATTTCCCAAATCCGCTTGAGTATCCCTGACGATAATCGAAACAACGAGGACTAACTGGGCTCAGGATCATCAGCCTTGACATCGCGAGTGTCTTCCGCCATCACGACAGCGAAGCCCGCCTCCAGATGAGGGTCGATGTGGCAGTGGAGGAACCACGGTCCCGGGTTGTCCGTCTGAACACAGCGCGTATGACATAAAAAATGGTCAGCGCTACCGCTAACCGATATGACAAGGCCGCGAAGCACTCACCCTGAAGCGGATCGTGACGTTGTCGCCAGGGCTGCCGGTGCTCACGACGTCGCGCCAGATCGGGTTCTCGTAGTTGTACTCCGCGCTGCCCGCGCTGCGCACGACGGCGAACGTGTGCTACATAGGCGAGGAGAGTCAGCGAGATCGGTCGCTGCCAAGCATGCACTAGAAGCCATCTCACTCACCCCGTGCAAGTGGAAGGGGTGGGGAGCCCCGGGCGCGTTGGCCGTCGCGGGGAACGACAGCTCGATCGTCGCGTTCGAAGGGAGGACGAAGACGGAGCCGGACGGGAGCAGGTCCGATGCGCTCTGCGCGCCGCTCATGATCTGCAGGAGGACCGGGACCGCGGGCGGCACGAACGTCGCGCCGTTGATAAAGAAGTTCGTGCCGTTCTAGGAGCAGAGCATCGCAACGGTCAGCCTTCGCGCTCTCGAGAGGATTGAGCAGAAACGGGACTCACAAAGCTGAACGCAAGGTTGATAGCCTTGTCGACACCGCCGACCTCAGCCTTACCGGGCTAAAATATGGACAGGGAGTGATCAGCAGCTTACCCTCGTAGCAACGTGCGCCCACATACCACCGGCATCGAGTTCAACGGCCTCAGCGCCGTCTCCACCAACGGGTTCGTGCTCACCGGCACCGCGAGCGCCGAAGGCTCCGTCGGCGCCGCCCCGTCGTACCTCAAAATCGCCGAGTTCAGGCCCCCATCGAATCCGACGTTGCCCAAGCTCGGCTGCGCCCTGATCCAGTAGCTGTCCACGCTCTGGTTCGCATTCAGGACGAACGAGTACCGCTGGCCCGCGAAGATCTGGATCGAGTCGACCGTGAGCGGCTGCGTGCTGACCGCGTCCGCCTCGATGACCGTGAGCGCGTGCCCGTCGATGCTGAACGTGAAGTTCGGGTCGCACGAGAGCGACACGAGGCGGAAGCGGTAGCGCTTTCCCTGCGTTACGGAGATGACGGCGAGGTCTGCAGTGGGCGTGGCCGTCGAGCGTCCTTTGCCGTTGATGAGCGTGGAGTCGCCGCCAAAGCTGCAGAGTTGACAAGGCCGCGTCAGCAGCTCTGTCCGGTCTGGCGAGAAGTGCTAAGGGATTCCAAGAAGCGACTTCGGGATACTCACGGTACCGCAGGGCCCAGCTTCGACGCGACATGGTACCAGTCTGCGAGCGTGATGACCGTGTCATCTACAAGTTACGGTCAGCGTTCGGACGAAGGCATGGACATACACAAATCGAGACGTACCATTATCCACGTCGTACAGGTTCTTGTGGGGGTCATTGGGGTCGTAAACCACCATTGCACCCCGCAGACCGTCACAATACTGGGTAGATAGATGGCTGTGATACCAGAACGTCCCTAATAGACGGTGGGTTGAGATACGCGGCATGAGTATGACTTTTGAATCCCCCAGACTCTCACCTGCTTGGTCTGGGACATGGAAGTCGTACAAGAAAGAGTTGCCTGTCGATATCGGGCATTGGTTCACGAACGCGGGCCCATCGGCCCAGTTGGTTCCCTTCTGAAACAATCCATGCCAATGCTACGAAACGAAGGATGGTCAGTATAAGCTTACGACGTCATTGTCCCGAAGTCTAATCAACTGGAACCAAACATGCAAGAGCCCAGCGCCATCACCCCAACGTCACGAAAATCGCTCCCTAGTGTCAAACACTCACGATGCTAGTGGACTTGAGCATGGTGTGGTTGGTGAGCTGGTCGACGACGTTGATCTGGAAGTGGTCGCCCTTCCGGCCAGTGATGAGGGGGCCAGGGAAAGAACCGCCCGCGAGCACCGCGGCGCGCTCATATCCGTCTGGGGAGATGTTCGCGTTTGCGACAGTCAAGTCCGTGACGGGCCCGATGGCAGCATAGCTCTTGAGGGAGAGCGTGAGGGCGGCGAGCACCGAGGTATGAAGAAACCGGAATCCCAACATTGCCAAGAGAGAGCAACACCGCCACCGACGTGAGCGGGTGACGCAAAAAGAAGTGGGGCGGGAGGAAGAAACAAAACCAGACTCGCTTGAGGCCGAATGAAGGAAAGGACGAGCGCAGGACGATGGGCGGGCGGTGGGTTCCTCAGAACTACCGTCGACAGGTTTTATACGTGCCCCAAGCGAGACGGAGCTCCAGAACCGATTCGGAAACATAGACGCCAGACTTCCATCAAGCCGCGCGTAGGCGTAGGAGGGTGTACTGTAGAGCGCTTCTCCTGTAACGCGGGCAGTCGGCTCGCAGCGTGGTCTGCCCGTTTGCGTGACCAGATTGCGGCCAGACACATGGGAACTGTCCCACATCCCTGCCGCACAAGCGCCTCGTGCTTGGCCTGCGGTCACCGGGCTCAGACCCTGCGCGCGCATTCGCGAGCGAGAGACGTTCGGCTATGTAATCGGAGCGTCCGCTGCCAACTACGCGCCTGCCGACACCACGTCTCACTCTCGGCCGTCCCGATGCGATGTTCGCGTGGCTACAGGCGACGTCGAGCGGGAAAGCCCTAGAAAATAAGCTGTTGCGAATCGTCGGAGGCTCCCACACACTACGGTAGGCCGCGCCCGTCCAAGGCGGCGTCCAACAGTAGTATCCGCCCCTCGGATGTGCGGTGTTCTAGGAGCACAGCAATGTACGCGTATAGAGAGTAGAATATCAGGCTAGCGTAGGCTCTTCAACTTCGGTGCAGTTTGCTTAGTCCAAGGTTCACTGCAGTGATGCGTGCCGTTAGCGGACGTGGCTGAAATCAAGGAGAAGACCACGTCTAGTCACCATGTGCACAATACATACTAGACAGGCGTGTTCATAGCCACCGTCGGTGGATTGGAGCGGCACATATCGCAGTCGACCCCATATGTGCGCCGTGATGGGAGTCGGACGCCGCGTCAGGCATTCGAAGGGCCAAGCTTGCCGTGACGCTGCGTCAGTGTCGGCGCTCAGTATGTAGGATGTCCATGTCGCTTAGGACGACGGGGATGCTACAGCGACTTTCTGAGGCCTAGACAACCCTACGCGATCTAGAACGACAGGATGAGACGGACGAACTACGGATGCAACAGAAAACGGCGACCAACGGAGTCGGTGTGTTGTGCGGGAGCCATGCGCTACGTCACTAGACAGTGCCAGTGTGGGTGGCCCTAGCAAGGGACTGAAGACGATCAGTTACATGGCATTCATGGACCAATGATTGCGGGTATAACTTTGTAGCAGGTGTGCACCGGGTGCGGCCGAAGGTTGTGTTACGTGGTGCCAGGCATTTGACCGATGCAGTCCATGTCGATTCTATGTGAAGACACAGGGTCTGCCGTTCTATGCAAGACCTCGCGCGTGTATGTACATAGGAAGTCGCGCGACCATCGGCTGTTCATAACTGTGGTCCGTAAGGTAGATAGAATGGTATATAGCTTGTCCAATCCGCGCACGTTTTCCCGGTCGTGTTACTCCGGTGTAGAGAAGCCATCGACGATTGTCTGCCTGGCTGCGCCTAGGGACAATCCTTGTTAGCAGTCCCTGTCGAGCCAGGCTTCGCCCAAGTCGAACATGTCCCGGTCTGGGAACACTTCCACGATCTCGCACTTGATGCCTTCTGTCTCAAGCTGGTAGGTCCGACGGAGCTCCCTTGTACCATTAGCGACCTGAGCGCCGACGTCGAGGAGAGAGAATTCTGGGTAGACTCGGAGATGCCTGAAGATTTGGCCGAGGGCGAATTTCTCATCCAGGAGCAATCGCTCACACTCGGGTGAGGTTACAGTAACTGAAGAGGTCGCGATACACAGAGTTTTGGAGCCGCATTTCAGGTGTACTTGGCGTGCCTGCTTGATCGGATTCGCTGGAGATGCACCAGTCCCGCGAGGTCCCGTATCTGTATAGATGCATTCGATAGTGATGGTACGAGCGAAGAAAGCACTGGATGGGGGTAACGTCAGTGTGGGGCCCTCAGTGTGGATAAATCGACATCACCTGAGATGTCGTTGCAAGTCACCTTGTGCAACGAGCATGATCCTCTCCAGTCCTGTTACATCGTCTGGGCTTCGAATCTGTTCAGAACAACACAAATGAATGCTGGGCAAAGACCGGACCAATCAAGATACGGAGGTGTTCGCAGCGACTCCGGTGAACACTACATTTGTAAACCTTGAAGAGCCCAAGAGATTTTATGCGTGCATGAATAGAGCAGACGAAAGTCGTGTTCACTCAGAGGCGGGACTGAGACACATTTGACTGCGAGGATACTTCTTCCAAGGCGAGCAGCGTCTTGCTTCTCGGGGTAACATTGTAAGGCCTATGCCTAGCTTCTCGCGTGCTGGACCTGGTATCCCTTTAGCTGTGCCTGCGAGAGCAAGCACAGCAAGCAGTCAGGTATACAGGCGCGACCAGCAACATTTATGCTCAGATGACTGAAGGCAATCCTATGGCCTGGAACGATAGCTTGTCAAGGGAGATGGCAGATGAAGAGCTGGCTACTCCACAGTGCTCTCACCACATACTGCCTCCGGACAAAGCTTAGGACGGCCAGGGACGAGGCCGGTCCAGGGCATCCCCGCTCCCATGTACGAGAATTGACTTCTCCTTTTGGGCAGGCCACTCACCTCTATACTAGTGGAGGCGCCTGTGAAAGTGTCTCGGGCGAGTCCATTGTTGTCGGTTCGCATGATCCTCCACGGTTCTAATATCTACGCTGCCAGCGTGTGCCTCAGCCACATGTGAATTGAGACGCGTTGATAGCAGAGATGACACGTACCTATGGAGCAACACCACGAGTGCAGGTGCGGAAATCTCAGGAGCGTCGTGATCAACAGTATGGGGAAGTGTAGGGATGTGCTCAACGTGCGCAACGCTCGCAGCCTTCAGTCTGCAGCTTCTCGATGTGCGAGCGAGGTGACGGAGACGAAACGTAATAATCTGACGCGGGAAGTTAAACAAATCGCACTCACCTACGCCACGCGCTAATCTGTAGTGCGCAGGCGAGCCTCTTCATTTGAGCCTCGAGGCTTAGGGACGCGCAAACACATATGAAAGTCTGTCTGCACGGCGTAAAGGACGGTGCTGGATGGAATGCAGATCGCTATACCCCCATGGGCGAGGAAACTCATACTGTGCAAGCAGATCGTCGAGGAGAGTCGCCGCCAAGATTGAAGCGGAGCTTCAAAGGGGGGATGCGTGCTCTGGTAAGGACTGGTTCTGTGCAGGGATCTCTGCTCGCTGTTCAAGGTGGCTTCGGTCTATCTTGCTGCAGGTTTCTCCTCCTTCCCCCTCCAACTCTTTCAAAACGGCTTCTGGTGGTGGCCTCGGCGGTCGACGGATGACGGAGGCCTCAGCCAGGGCGCGCACTCCAGCCATGGACGGCACCGCCAGCCCCAACATCCATACTATCGTCAAAGCGCAGATCGTCTTTTTGCTCTCGACCCTCACGGAAGAGAACTTCGAGCGAAATCAGGTGGAGATACGTTCAGTAAGTCGCATGCGTCTTGAAGCGAACGAAACGATGGCTCATGTAAACCTTCTCTCGTCATTTACGCATATACACATACAGCTTTCCGAGCAGCATGGAATCGACACATACCTCCACTTCATACGCCGTCTCATCGTTTACTCCCATAACAGACTCACATCTACCACATCACCCGCCGCATTTGATCCCTCCTCCGCCCTGACATTCCGCTTGCTCGTCCAAGAGACCCAGCGCCTCGCACGCGATCCGTTTCTAGCAGACAGGTTTCGAGATGGTGTTGATCAGGGAGAAGGAGAGGTATACCGCAACTTTGACTTTGTCAAGTTTGCGGACCGAGTTGGGCTTCGCCCGCTAGAGAGGCTCATCTTGGCGTCCTCCATCGTCGCCGCTCCAACTCGGAGAGAACTTGCGGCGCAGGCGGCGACCGTGATTCGTGTAGACTTCGAGAACGCTGTTTTGGCTTTGTGCCAGCATCCTTCCTTCGACCATGCCGATCTCAATCCGAATCAGGTCGCGAAGTTGCTGTCGAACCTCCTTGCCGAAGTCCCTTCCGATGCTCCCATCCTGGATGCCACCCAGCGGCAAGCCCTCATTCTTGCTGCCCAAGCGAAGTACGGTTCGGAGATCGTCTCCCCAATTCTCCAGCATATTATGCCTAATCTGAGGTATGCTTCGGAAAGCTGCACCTTCACTCCTACTAACACACCTGCCCGACGTACTTAGTCTTCCGCCTGGAACATCTCTTGTGCAAGCATTGGTACAGCTGGGACCTGACATCACGAGCGATGCGGACGTTGTCCGTTCCCTCATGGCAAGATTCGGAATCAGCGAGGTCAACCCTCCGACTGATGCTCAAGTTGTGGATCTCGTGACTTCCCTCGCGCGGTTGGCTTCCGAAGGGACATCATTGCCCGACGTCGGTGCTGTTGTACGGGCGCTCAGTAGCTTCGTAAGCACATCGCTGTCGTAGACAGATGATTCGCACTGACAGCAAATCCATCCGTATCTACAGAATAGCAGTCTCAACTGGGCCGCTGCCATTCAGGCATTCGATATCCCTGACAGGCAGGGCGTCGACACGGCAACTCTGAAGCTGCTTATCGCTATCTTAATGAACACGCCGCGCGACGAGCAGCACCACGCAGTCACTGGCTTTTGGTCTCTCTGGTCCAATACTCAATACCAACTTCGCCTGCTCGATGCTCTGTTATCTCTTCCTGCGGACACCTTTAACTTTGTCAATCTTCCAGGCCGGAAGATCGTCACCGTCGAGGATGTCGCGGGTGCCAGTCCTACCATCAAATCACTGGCTGCGAACGTGCAAGGGCACACTTGGAACTCGCTGGACTTGTTCGAAGTGTTGGTTCAGGCAGCCGACTTCAACAGCACGGAGATCACAAACTTGGTGCGCGAGATGTTGGACAAGGCAGTCAAGATCAGTGCAGAGCTCGTGCATATGGGTCTTCTGCAAGTTCCGGTGAGACTTCCGTCCCAAATCGGTAGCGCTTCCCTGATTGTTGCCCAGCAAGCGTCATGGAACGACATCCGCCTGGAGTACACTCAGCGGCTCCTCGCTATGTTTCTGGCTGGTCACCCGAACCATCAACTCGTGTTCATGCGGATCTGGCAGATCGAGCCTGCGTACCTCACTAACGCGTTCCGGGACTTCTACGATGAGAGTAACCTCAACATCACGAGGATATTAGACGTTGCACAAGATCTTAAAGTGCGTGTCCTCGTTGCTTATTGTGATAACCGGCTAACAGGTCGTAGATCTTGGATGCATTGCTTGAGGTCCGACCGTTCAAGTTCGCCTTGGATGTTGCTGCGTTAGCCTCTCGTCGCGAGTATCTCAACTTGGACAAGTGGCTTGCCGACAACGTCACAACACATGGCGCCGATTTCTTGCACGCTGTCATCGCCTTCTTGGAGCTCAAGATGGACAGTGAGAAGACCGTGCGAGTTTCGGACCCTCCTGTCGAGCCTCGTACGATGCAGCTTTCGCCTCAGACCATAGCAATATTCTTGCGGGTGTTGCGCAACAGGTACGTGTTGCCACCATCGTGTTGAGACGCCATCTGACCTTAGTCGTAGCTCTAGCATCATGCATGAGAACGACGTCGACTATTGCCTCGAAGTGCGGAATGCTTGTTTGCAGATCCACCCGCGTCTCATGAACCTGGTTCCTGGTTCCGACATTGAGCCAGGTTTCAGTGTCGTCACGTACTCTACAGAGATTGAGACGGAGGTCGACGGCATCTACAAGCAGATGTACGACGAGCAGATCACCATTGACGACGTCATCAAACTGCTGCAGCGCAACAAGGCTTCCAGTAACCCCCGCGACCACGAGATATTCTCTTGCATGCTGCACTTCCTCTTCGACGAGTACAAGTTCTTCCAGTCGTACTATCCACACCGCGAACTTGCCATGACCGGCTATCTGTTCGGCTCCCTTATCCAATACCAGCTTGTCGATTTCATCCCCCTCGGCATTGCTATCCGCTATGTCCTGGACGCTCTCAACTGTCCGCCGGAGACTAACCTCTTCAAATTCGGCATTCAAGCGCTCTCCCGATTCGAGTCGCGCCTCTCCGAGTGGCAACCGCTCTGTCAGGCTTTGCTCAAGATCCCACACCTACTCGAGGCGCGCCCTGACCTCGCAGTCAGCATCCAGCGCGCGCTCGCCAATGGAGATGGCGCGAGCAGCTCTGCGGATCTACGAACACTGACATCGGTGCCGATGATAGAGCAGCCGCCGATTTTTACGGCTATTCAACCTGACCGGCTGGACGGCGAGCCTGAGAAGCCGCCGGAAGAGGTGTCAGACAAGATTTTGTTCATTGTGAACAATCTCGCCCCGTCGAATTTCGAATCGAAGCTGGCGGAGATGAAGGGGCACTTCCAGGAGCATTATTCGCGGTGGTTTGCAAATTATCTAGTTGACCAGCGCGTCAGCATCGAGCCGAACAACCATCAGCTGTACCTTCGCTTCCTCGATGCCCTGGACGTCCAGTCATTGTTCCGATTCGTCCTCCACGAGACTCTCGTCAAATCTGCAGTACTGCTCAACTCGGAGAAGACTCAGCAGCTCAGCTCGGAGCGTGCTGTCCTGAAGAACGTCGGTTCGTGGCTGGGCAGCATCACGCTTGCCAGGGATCGTCCAATCAAGCACAAGAACTTATCGTTCAAGGACCTGCTCATTGAGGGCTACGACAACAACAGGCTCGTAGTCGCAATCCCGTTCGTCTGCAAAACGCTTGAGCCAGCGGCGCGCTCCAAAGTGTTCCGCCCCCCGAACCCATGGCTGATGGCCGTCATCAGCCTTCTCACCGAGCTGTATCACTTCGCCGAGCTCAAACTCAACCTGAAGTTCGAGATCGAAATGCTTTGCAAGGCGCTCGATATCGACCTCGATGTTGTGCAGGCGACTACTATCCTCCGCAATCGTCCTCTATCTGATTCGCTCGCCGGTCCTCCCCTCCCTGACTATGTCGGCGATATCGACTCTCTGCCTATGGGTGGGTATGATCCGACAGCGCAAGGACAGGACGCTCAGGTAATACCCCTAGGACCGACCAGTCCTTCTGACACCCAGCGCGTTCTTGGCGCCCACATTGAGAACATCCTGTCGAGCATCCTCCCTCATGTCACCATTAACCCTCAACTCGCCCCTCTCAACACAAACCCGTCCTTCAAGCGTGCGATTCAGATGGCGATTGACCGCGCTGTCCGCGAGGTAAGATTGATCTCTGCTCTCAAAAGTGTCTGGGAACCAACCAGCTCCCCCTAGATCATCCTCCCCGTCGTCGAGCGCTCCGTCACCATCGCCGGCATATCTACCCGCGAGCTAGTTGCTAAGGACTTCGTCACGGAGCCTAACGAGGACAAGCTGCGGAAGGCTGGTCACCTCATGGCACAGAAGCTCGCTGGAAGTTTGGCTCTGGTCACCTGCAAGGAGCCGCTCAAAGGCAATCTCGGCAGCCACATCCGCCAGTTCTTGTCTGAGTTCGGCTTCACTGATGTGAGTGTTTCCTGCCTGCTTGGGAGACCGACGCTAACCTACCCGGTCATCAGCAAATCGTTCCCGACCAGGTCATCTTCTTGCTGGTGCAGGAGAATATCGAGCTTGCTTGCCAGGCTATCGAGAAAGCGGCTATGGATCGTGCGGTGATTGACGTCGATGACGGTTTTGCAGCTGCATACGAGCTCCGCAGACGTCACAGGGAGGTGAGTAATGTCACTCGCCAGCCGTCAATGTGCGACGTTAAATTATGCATATAGTCACGACCTGGCCAGCCCTTCTGGGACAGCTCTGTGCCGCAATCTAATGTCTTCGGTTCTCTACCTGACCCGCTGCGCATCAAGCCCACCGGCGTGCAGCAGATCCAAGCAGCCGTCTACGAGGACTTCAGTGCGTATGCTTACCACCCCTTCACATCGTTCGCTGACGGTTGTCAAGGCATGGACCCCAAGCGGCGCATGTTCATTAGCCGTCCGAACTCGACGGTATCGTACTCCCGCAACGACCAGATTCCTTCCCTTTACAGTCCGTCGCCTGCCCCAGAGCAGCCCGGTCAAGCACTGCTCCGTCCTCAGGAAGCCATGGAGCGTTTCAACGTAAGTGATCTACAATGTGTGAAGACGGAGAGCCACTCATCGTTTGCCTCAGGCTCTCGTCAGGGATCTCGAGGCCGTGCTCATACAGCTCCCTATCGCCTCCCTTGCCGCGCTGCCACCCAACCACGAAGTCCGCCACCTTGTCCGTCAGATCCTCTTCATCGCTGCCGATTCCATCGACCGCTCCCGCACGCCCCTCCTCATGTCCCAGAAGATTGTACAGTTGTTGTACAAGACCCCTTCTCAGCTTGGTCGCGAGATCTACGTCGCTTTGCTGGATCAGCTGTGCCACTCGTTCGAGGAGGTTGCACGGGAGGCAATCACGTGGCTGATCTACGCCGAGGACGAGCGGAAGTTCAATGTTCCCGTCACCGTCACCCTCTTGCGCAGCGGCCTTGTGACCATCTCGCAGGAGGATCAGCAATTGGCGAAGCTGCTGTACTCGGATCCCCGCCCAAGCCTGCAGAATTTCGCTGCTGGACTGATCCGGGAGTGCCTCGCGGCTGACCCGCCCCTCGCTACTCAGGCTCAGTTCTCGTACTCGCTTGAGGCCTTCAATCAGTTGGCTCAGCAAGGCAAAACGAACGATGAGTTAGTGCTTGCGTGTATCTCTTTTTGCGCCATCCCGCTTACCGTGCTTTCCAGGGCTAGTCGGTTGCTGGATGACCTCCGTGGCGTACCGCGTCGGACAGCTCAAACGGCGAATACTCCAGTGGCTGACAGTCAACCTGCTCGTCAACCTTCTGTCAAGCCGGAGACGGAGACTTTGCGTGAGAAGCTGTTCATCTGGTTCCAGCAATGGATCAGCATTTATCAGCGGTCGCACTCGCCCGAGAAATCATTTGTGCCGTACATCACCCAGCTCACGCGCCAGGGCATCCTCAAGGCCGAAGATGTCTCTTCGTTCTTCTTCCGAGTTTGCGCGGAGTCGAGCGTGAACAGCTACATCAAGCACGTCAACGCTGGCGAGTTCGGCTTCGCTTTCCAGGCACTGGATGCCATGTCGCGCTTGATCGTGTACATCATCAAGTACCACGGCGATGCGTCCGGCGTCAACAACGATCAAGCCAAGGTCCACTACCTCACGAAGATTTTGTCCATCTTTGTGCTCGTGCTTGCCAACATGCACGAGGAGCAGGGCCCTCACTTCCAGCAGAAACCGTTCTTCCGCTTCTTCTCAAGCCTTCTCAACGATCTTCACTCGGTTGAGAGTAGTCTGGGATCGGCCTACTTCCAGTTGCTCATCGCTATCAGGTGAGTTGTCAGGCTGTCGTTAACCTACACCATGTACTAATATATCTATAGTGATACCTTCAGCTCGCTGCAACCGACGTACTTCCCGGGCTTTGCCTTCTCGTGGATGAGCTTGATCTCGCATCGTCTCTTCATGCCAAAATTGCTCCTGTCCGACAATCGCGAGGTAGGCACTGGCCCTGTCAACGGTGCAGGCGATGACTGACTGTTCGCCATAGGGATGGTCTGCCTTCTACAAGCTTCTGCTGTCGCTCTTCAAATTCCTCGCGCCTTTCCTCAAAACTGCTGATCTGCAGCCTGCTGGTCGCGATCTTTACAGGGGCACTCTACGCCTTCTCCTCGTCCTGCTTCACGACTTCCCCGAATTCCTCAGCGAGTACTACTTCTCCCTCTGTGACGTGATCCCCCCGCGTTGCATCCAATTCCGCAATATCGTTCTCAGCGCATACCCTCCCAATGTCGTCCTTCCCGATCCCCATCTGCGGGACATCGACTTCGAGGCGATACCCGAGATGGGTCCCATTCCGCCCATCCTGTCCGACTTCGCAGCCAGCCTTAGAGCGGGTGACCTCAGAATGTACCTTGACCAATTCCTGTTGAACAGGGGTCCGCAGTCTACATTCCTGTCGTCACTCAAGGATCGCCTCCGCGTTCCGGCTCAAGAGGGTGCTGCGGAGACGTACAATCTCCCCCTCATCAACTCGCTTGTCATGTACATCGGGGTTTCTTCTGTCGCTCAGGCGAGGGCTCGCAGCGGAGGTCCGCTCTTCGTTCCGACCGACCCTGGTGTCGTTGCCTTGCACTACTTGGCGACCAATCTGGATGTTGAAGGTACGTGTCTCCAATTGTATCTCTCATCCCTATAGCTAAACCTCGACGTTACAGGTCAGCACCACTTGCTCAGTGCGATGGTCCTTCACTTGCGCTACCCCAATGCGCATACGCATTGGTTCAGCTCCTTGATGCTGTACCTCTTCCATGATATTCAGGTTGATCAGTTCAGGGAGATCGTGACCAGGGTATTGCTGGAGCGGTTCCTAGTCCACCGTCCGCACCCGTGGGGCGCTCTAGTCACGTTCATTGAGCTGTTGCGCAACCCCAAGTACAACTTTTGGAACCAGGAGTTCATCCACATTGCTCCTGAGGTCACGCTTCTGCTCGAGAATGTGCGTGAATCCAATCCCTCTTCAGCGAGCGTCCACTGACGTTTCATCCAGGTCGCGAGGTCGATCTTCCAATCCTAGAGCATCCTCCTTCTCTCCAGCATCCCCACATCTTGCTATCGCTTTCGCTATCTGTGATATATATTCCGCTCCTCCCCTTCTCAATTTTGGGCTGTGTTCTCATTGCACTGTATTGTAACAAGATTTCCTCTCTCGCACTGTTACAAAAGGCACACGTGATGGCTCGAACTTTGCTTACGGTCAGCCCTGACGAACCCACCACGTACCACGCACGACCTACACCACGACGTACTACTCTATATGTGTCATGTATATTCAATAGTGATGTATCACCTCATACATACCTCTTGTCGTAATCTAGAATGCGGACATGGCCTCGTTCCAGCTCCAGTTGTTACCCCAGACCCTGTGTAAGATCGGTGTCAATGAGCAGTTTCATCAGTTTATCCTGTCTTGTGACTTACCCTGCACCGTGCACTCCTCCTGTTCCTCGTTCATCCGCTTGTCGCCCGACGACGATCCAGTCGGGCACAGTCACTCCGGTGCGGATCGGGAATAGACGCACAGCTCTCTCGAACCCGCTCATGTCGGCACCGTAGGCGAAGAGGACGAGCGAGTTCGCATTGGTCGGATGGGGGTGCAGGAAGAGCGTAGCCATCGACGGGCCATTGAGCAATCGACCGCGGAGCTTCAGACTTGTGCCACTGATCTTGAACGGTGTTCTCGCTTCTTCCAGGATTGACCTCGAGAATGCTCCCAGTTCGCCCCTGGCCAGTACAACTATATTAGCTGACGCCAGAGACCCGTCCCGCATCCTTGTCGCGGCCTCATCTTCAGTGATGATGTCGGCATCGAGCTTATGGTATACATCGAGGTTGTGCGCGATACGCAGACCGGCTGACAATTGCGCAGAGGGCGACTGACTTGGGATGACGATGGTGATGGGGCCGGCAGAGCTGAGCACATTAAGGATTCGACCAGTGGGTGGTACCGACTGGACATCGAACAAAGGATATGGCTGTGAAAGTGACACATCAATGAGACGCCGTCCTAAGACAGCGCTTGGGCCCACACTCACGCTCCAAACGCCTTGCTCTTGAGCCAGAGCTAGGAAGAAGTCAGGCTGGTCCCAAGAGGCTTCATCCAGCTCCACGCTTTGTCCATCTACCAAGAAGGGCACATTCTTCACGTCTTCTGGCAACGAGCCAAGCCGGATGGAAAACGCCTTGATATTCGTCGTCCGCACGGAAATCCCACCTGGTTCGATGTCCACACCAAGCCTCCCCAGACTGCGGGCACACGATCATTCAATGCGCAGGTCTCACAACGACAATGCGACGCACCGGCCAGGAATGCTTAGGCTATGGACCGACCATCCATGTAAGGAACCCGAGTCGCTCGGGACGGCCACGGTGAGCGTGTAAGATCTTGACGATGGCGCAGCGGTGGCGCCCTCGCCCGATAGTATTGAGGCCACGAAGGTTTTGACCGCATCGTTGAGGAACAGGCCCTCATACCAATGGTGTTCACCACTGTCCTCCCGGTATCTAGAAACGCATGGGCATCGCTGCGATTGGGAGCTTACGAGAAAGGACATACGTCACATTAGCGTGGGGGTTCCACGTCTTCAGTGTAGCAACCAATTCGCGGGTGTGCCATACAGGGACGTTCTCGTCGTCCCCCCTGTAGAGTTGAAATTTGTCAAAAAGAGCAGCACTACGATAGCGGCAGGTAAACATACCCATGAATGGCCAGGATTGGTGTATCCGCTAGGTTCGACAGGAAGAGGTCATTATCATCGGGGGTGAGCGAGGAGTCGAGCAGGGCACGAAGCGCAGGGTCGATGTAGTGAGCTGATCTGCGAGAACACAACATGGCTCAGACCACAATGCCTTCTGCGGACTTGATGTCTGACCTCGACTGAACCCAGGGGACATATGCTTGCGATTTAATGTAGCCGGCAGCAGGGACGACTAGAAGAGCCGTTCAAATCCGTTCAGCGACATGATATCTTCATTCCGGGTCATTCGCTTACCTCCAACGATTCTGTCCGGATACCTCCCACCAACATACCAAGCGCCTTGACCTCCGTTCGAGTGGCCCATAAGAAGAACCCTGGTATCAGGTGCAAAACTCCAACTGCGCCATTCTTCTCGGGCGCCAAGGATGTCGCTTAGTGCTTCCACTGTATTCCATGCTTCTCGCGTGCTAGGGCCATGCCAGTCCAACCCCTGAAAATTACGTTGAGAGAGCATCGTAAGATATGCTTGAGAATAATGACTCACCCATTCCGTTCGGCCTGCAGGGAGTATAACCCAGCTGTGACGTTGTCGAGGCAATGCCTCAACCCATGAGAGTCTATGCTCTTTCAGAGCGTCCAGGCCCGCGCCATCTGCGGTATGAGACGGTCAAATGATAACTCCAAGCATAACTGAAACATAAACTCACGAAGGGCGAGAATAGGCGGCTGCGGTGCATTAGTTGGCTCCCGAGGAGGTATCACGATAAAGGAGGCAGGCATGGAAGTGCCATAGAAGAAAGATGCCTTGATTCCGGCGGCGGGTACGTCGTCTGCTGACCACTGGGCGTAATGTTCCACTGGAATAGCGATACGCACTTCGGATACTGTGTCCTGGGACTCCACCGTCAAGGTCAGCTCGATTGAATCATGCCGCAAGGGCGCCCTCTGTGTCAGCGTGATCGGTATAATCCGAGTCTGGGTAGGAGCGATGCGAGTCTTCTGCAAGAGTGAAACCTCGAAGATCTACCAGGAAGATCAAACGTTATAACAGCTACTGGTAATGGGACAAAGCCCCATACCTCCGCGAGATCTGCGGAGACACTGGCCCCGGTAACGGTCCACCACCCGTCGAGACTGCGGAGACCTACACCAACCGCGTTCCCAAAGGCCCAGCCGTCGACGAAGTCGCTCACGACAGCATGAGAGTCAACGCGAACGACAGCTGGAACCGTATCTTGGATATCGACGGTAAGAATGATTGACGTCTTGGGTACCTCTGAGCCCAGATCGAAGCGAGGATCACCGAAGAGCCTAATCTACGACGTTTGTCAGAGTCAGCAGGAAGTAGACACGGGCTCAACCGTAACGAATCACCTCATAGTCGCCGCTGACCACGATCCCGTACGTTGTCGGTGAATCAGTCGATGGGGGATATGGGAGGCTGACAGCATTAGGAGGTGCCCTGCCCAGCGCATATATATTCCCGGCATGCCATTCTGGCACGAATTTGTCGTCTTTGTTGTCTGAAGGAGGAAGAAGGGTGAAGAATGATCCTTGATCCAAGTCTACCAGCAGGCGTGGTATTGATGTTTCCTGGTTCGAGGGATTCGACGGTGGGTACACAGTGATGACCGAACGTAAGACACTATGATGCTGTAGAGCCGCCCAGCCCTCAGTCGCGCGCAAAGCGGCCCATCTACCAAGGGCGTTCGTGAGCCCGGAGGCGAGAATAGGGTGTTGGAGAATCATGCACCTGACAGAAGGGTAGGACACTTCGATGACGTCGTCCAGGGATTGAGCTTTCGTCCATCCGACGGAGCCACCATCGGCGTAAGATGAGGGCCAAGTCGCGTTTAAGTCAATCGGGTCCGTCACTGTCAAACGAGGATGCTTCAAATGCGGTCCCTAGGTATACAGAAGGGAGAAATTACGCTTCAGCGGAAACGATGGTGACAAAAAATGCTGTTCCCGCGCATGAATTGGGAAAGGCCCCAGAACCTAAACGATCGAGGCCGCCTCAGTAGGATCGAAGCGACCAAGAGCATAGCTACACTTACATCCCAATCCTGTGAGAGCGACACCGTCCATGTCTGGTTCTCTGTCACAGCCGGTATGGTCATGACCGCTTGCGTATCACCTGTGGAGGTGCTTGTCGCGGCACTCAGGTTCAATCCTATGAGGGTGAGTAACGCCGCCCTAATGGCATCAGCAACCATGTCAGGCGTTATATTCTCCAGCGCTTCGCTTGGTCTGAGTCAATTTCCCAGTGCCGCATCAAACCACGCTCTCCGGCCCCGATAACGGGATTGGTGGTGTCAGTGGTGGAATGAGGCGTAGCTGACTAACGCGATATGAAGAGTTGGTGGTAACAGCTCAGAGTCTCGCGTTCACGGGAATCCGAGTCGCACACGTCCACCTTGTTCCCATTGCTCTCGGCATCTCCCGACCAGCTGGTTTGCCGCTGGATAATGGATTTGACTTGAAGGTCACAACTGCTCTGTAGACTACACACAGCATCATCTCAAAACTTATCTGCACCAACCTCTCCCTTCGTCGCTTAGAGGCGTCCTCGAAATGTCCATCGATGTAGTCAACATCCCCATCGCCCCTGCCGACGGAGAGGCGATAATGTACCTGAGGCGTCGACTCGAGGTTTTGTTCCCTCCTCTCATCGCGGCGCAGAGGTCCTCCTGGGAACAAGGTATTTTTACGCAGGCTCTCCTTGAATGTCACATGCTTGCAGAGTCGATAGGCAACAGCGTTCATGCCCAATTTGGTGCACCGTTTGGTTTCGTACCATGGCTCTATGCTCTCGCCCACGATGCGCCTGTCCGCCAGGGCCCTGACGGCCGGCTCGCAGTCCTCCTGAACGGGGATGGAAAGTCCGATGCCGGTGTACTTGATCCTGCGTGTATTGGATCCACGTTGTACTATCTCTGGTCCGTCCAACAGAAACATAGATTGCCCGTGGCCAACGTCAATACGCGCGAATTTGCATTTCCAACGCCCCGTGGGTCGGCAAGCCCTACCCTTCTGGACAGCGTCGAGCGCATGCTGCGCTACATCTTAGAAGAGTGTCCCCGTGCGCCCGTCACTCGGAGCTGCCAGTCGAGACGAACAACTGTTATCTCACCGCATCGACGTGGTGGAGATTTGGTCCGACTCAGTATTCATGCCGTCACCTTTCCTGGTTTCCGCTGCGGCATATTATTGCAGGGAGATTGGCTACCATGCATCCAGTAAACCGTGGCTGCCAACGGGTGGCGAATTGTTCCGCATGGCATTGCGGCAGATCATCCTCGCAGCGGAGGTACTCTAGACGCCCTCGGGCGAGTGGTCGCACATCTTCGATCTCACTTCGTACCAGTTCAAGCGCAAGTCGTTCTGGGGCGTAGGGAACGGCTGGGTGTGCTGTGGAATCATCCGAGTCCTCCTGACCGTCTTCCACGCGGACTTTGGCCTCACATCAGAGGCGGAGGACGAGCAGACTGCTCCTTTGCTCCGCAAGGTGTACCACATCCTGTTGAGGACCATCCGTGGTTGCCTCGTTTACATACTCCCCTCCCACTTGTTTCGCGACGTCCTCGACGATCCCGCGTCCTTTGAGGAGACAAACTTATCGCAGATGCTGTCATACACGCTCTACAGGCTCCTCGACCTCCACCAGGCGTACCCTGCCTTCAAGGCTGTAGGGCTCTCTCCTCTTACAGACAGAGAGCGCGAGGACTGGGAGGAGCTGGCACAGGCTATGCAGCGAGCTACAGAGGCGAAGACCGACTTATGGGGGTTCGTCCGCGAGGTCTGCGGGAGCCCACGATTCAACTCTCCCGGGACTGCAGCGGAAGGACAGGCGTGGGCGATGATGATGGAAGTGGCTAGAGCTGAGTACTTATGGCACAAATCACAACAGATCCCCACGCCTGGCACGTGGAATTGACGGCTCATGAATCCGTAACATGACTTGGCAGCTTGATCGAATAACTGGCTCCGGCAAGAGAAGTAGCATGCACGATGAATAAACTTATGTAGCTCGTACATGCAATGGAAGTGAACGATCTGAGACACATTCTCATGCACACTTCTGTCCGGTCGTTCCTTCATTCCTTGGGGAAAGTTGAGGGTAGGTTCGGGAAGGCAACCTGAGGTAAGGGTAACCCGAGATAACATATACAGTGTTTAGAGCCAATTCTACTCTGATTACAAAATTTAAAATGAACGAGCGACGAGGTAGAGGGAGCCACTATAGTGCTATACATGCTTGGCAAGATCCTGACAGGTGCATAGTGATGCTATCGAACATAGTTGAGGACAGGCAATCCTGGTCTCTGGAGTAGCCATATAGCAGAAACCAGGACGATATCGATCCCTGGACATATTCCAACCAATTCAGAAGGTAGCGTGGTGGAGAGTATCCAAACATCGGGGTGAGAAGGAGCGTATGGAATTCACATTAAGCCGAGTGCAACGCGTGTCGTACTCAGTAGATATGATAAGTCTCATGTACCGAAAAATGCAAAATGAAACTCCGTCTATGCAGCTTAACGAGTGTGCAGACATCTGTCAGGAGGCGGGTCGGCCTGTCGCGGGGGTAGCATCGGATAGGGAGGCGGGACCAGTGAGGCTCGTTCCACGCGCTCGCTAGCTGACGCCGGATAACCCAAGAGGATATATGCGATGGATAACCGTGACGAGCGACTTGAGCAGCAAGTGTTGCGGAGCCGGGACGGACAGCCAGATTATGCGACACCAGCGGCGGTCCCTTCCGTACTTTTTCTCGAGCGGGCACTAAACGAGACTTCTGAGTCAACGTTGCTTGTGTCCGTGCACCTGCAGGCGGCCGACGTGAACGAAGATTAGGGAGGCGAATGCGCAAAGCCGTTCAAGGAACATACGATTCGAGAGCGATCTGCGTCGTGAGCGCACACTGAGTGGACGTCATGATGCCTCCAACGCCGACGGCAAGCCCCGTCGGGAGCGCAGGCGGGTCCTGGTGGGGGGCGCAAGCGCCAGTTGTCCTATATAGCCCTATGAAGTTCAAACTCGTACGAGCGAGAAAGAAGACGCACGCATTCATTTCCTCTGGTCGTAGAGAGAGCACAGCGTTGGAGGACATGACGACGCTACCGAGGTCAAGTGAGCCAGCTGTCCCAGTACACCATAACTCCAGACATACCTCAATGTCGTCGCTGGCATGGAAGCCATGACGTTCATCACAGCTGCGCACGTGAAACACTGGGATGAGCCTTCTTACCGTCCATCTTAAGAGTCGAGAACCTCACCATTCAGATTCAGGATTGGGAGAATCACTGCAGGGATATTGCAGAGGAAGGTGCCGATGCAATACCAAAGACACTGCTCAGACAACGAGCTACCGATCGCACTCTTCAGGGCCGCTATTCTCCACAAGCCGCAGAACGTGAGCACGAGGATTGTGAGGTCCATCACGATGGCTACACGAGTCGCAGCTGTTAGGCGATAGTCTACGAAGTTGATGGACGATACGCACTATAGAGATAGAAGACGAACATCGTGATGTTGCTCGAGTGGACCATCGCACAGGAATGAGTCTGCTCGTTCCAACTGAAGGAGACACTTTGAGCGCTCTCTGGTGCGGGTTGTGATTTGAGTCATTAACGCTTCATACGAGAACAGGAGAAAAACTCACGGACGATCACCAAGGCGGCGTGTCCAACCGTCGCGAGCGCCAGAACGGAAACGACACATCTGTTCACGCCCTTCCAGATGATGTATCTAAGACTCATATTACCATCGAGGTCCTCTATAGGGAACAGAAGACTTACGTCCTGATGTTGAGATTCAAAGTCGAACAGAATGAACCAAGACTCCCTAGCAGGGCCAGTGCCTTGTACGTTGCTACGACAATTATCAGCCTTTCTTGGAGGTGGAATGACAAGGTAGCAGATGAACTGACCATCACATTCGACCTTAGATCGGACATGATTCAATACGATGCTGCAGTGTGAACGTTAGGTCACAGAAGGAGAGATGATATGGATAGAGGTACAAGGCTATCAAGACGACCAATATGGAATAACGGCCTAGCAAGTAAGGGACCTGACCACGAAAAGGTCAGCGGTGCGCATCATGTATAGAGACGAGTAGACCAACTAAGGCTGGGCTAAAGCGGCGTCTTCGAGTGATCAGAGACCATTCGATGTCAAGATTTGTGGTGACATGATTGCTATGAGGTACGTGTCAGGGTATCAAACTCAAGCTGTGCTCCAGAGGGGAAATGGTACTCACCTCAAGAAGCCAAGCAGGAAGACCGCAATCTGGTTATATACGAAGGCGCAAAAACCAAGAACCGAGGGATCTTGCCACTGTGTCATGCGTCTCAAGATGCCGACGGCCAACTTGAGGGACACCCAGCGAGTTGCCGACCTGTGCGTCAGTGCTGCAGATAGGGCAGAAAGCAAAGGCTCGCGTTGGCGTTGAGCAGCCAACTGTAACGGGCCAAAGGTGAACTAGACCCGAGGGATAGCCAGCGATGCAGCAGACATGAGGTGATGAAGGAAAGCAAGTCCGACCGTCGGTTGCGGAGCACAGTTTGGGATAGGTTTCGGTAACATACAGTATAGGCGTTTTTAGATGTTGCGAGTCAGGCTATCTCATGGAGATGGAACAGACTCGATTTGTGGAACAGACCCTGCCTTTTCCGGCTAGTTTCCCTTCACATTGATTCGCTGGCTCATTGATGACTGCCACGCGAGCACAAGCCCCGTGGCAACCGGGCTTCTGAAGCGACTTCGCGAGTACGTAAACGGCAATCGTGGCGGGCTGGTTCGAGCCCACGCAGAACATCATTGCGCCGCTTACTGCATACACTTTCGACTTCGCGGGGTTCACGCGGGACTCCATCTCTTCTTCCGCCGACACATCAGCTCTTTGCCTTTAGGGCATTGGTTAAGTCTTTTCTCTCGATGACTGCTGGGGAGCCGCACGCGTTCACCGTCTACGGGTGGATCGTGTGCGTGTGGATTCTCGTTGTCTCCTTCCAGGTGTGTCCTATCCCGCTCGCCAGTATTCATGCACGCGCCATGCTAAACAACGCTGTGCATCCACATTGACGGGTTCCTGACAACCGCTACTTACTGATTCGACTCCATCACGACGGGCTATCACCCATGTAGTACGGCTTCCACATTTCCAGCCTCAACCAAATTCAAGCAGTTCTTACTTGTCGCGTCTCTGCCATTCCTGGCACCCCGTCTACACACTATGGTCTCCCGACATGTATCCCCATGGACGACGCGACCTTCTCGGTTGTTACCTCGGTTTACACCGTCGGAGGGCTCCTTGGAAGTCTGGGTGCAAACATCATTATGGACCGCTGGGGACGTAAAGGTGCTGTCCTAGCAAGTTCATTCATAACGGTCATTGGTGCTGGTTTCATGGGAGTCGCGGCTTCGTTGTCCCCCCTCGTCATCGGACGGTAAGCCCCTGCATTTCCTATGTATAGTCGCCTACTTACCTTCATGCTTCTCATGACCCCAGACTTCTCACTGGTGTTGCTGCCGGTCTCGGTCTTTGCGTCGGGCCTATCTACATCGCCGAGATCGCTCCCAGCAAGATAAAAGGCGCCGTCGGTTAGCTCTCCCGGCGCATACATCCACGAAATCTCTCCTTAACCTTGCTGCAGGTGTCCTCACCCAATTCGCCATTGTCATTGGCATCATGGTCACACAGGGCATGGGTCTCAAACTGGCAACTCCGCAGACTTGGCGCACCGTGCTCTTGTTTTCTGCAGCCCTGTCCCTTGCACAGCTCCTAGCAGGCACCATCATCGTGGAGTCGCCAGTGTGGTTGAATCGTCACGGTCTACTGCGCGACAAGGATACGAGTGCACGCAAGCTTTGGAAGGCCGCTACGGTGTTGCACAGCCCGGATGGTACGTACTAGTTCAGCACTATGCTGTACCCGATCTCATTCTCCCGGTCAGCTGCGAATGAGGACGTCGAAGACCCTCTGTTGGGCGCGAACGACGAGCGTAGCTCTCTGAACCCAGACCGTCGCGAGGATCAGCACCACGCAGTGAACGCCCCTACTGTTTTGCGCCGTGCAGAGTTCCGCAAGCCTCTGGCCATCGTGTGCTTCTCCATGCTCTCTCAGCAGCTCTCTGGTAAGCGTTCTTCCTCATGGATCCGAATGTGACAGCTTATCATTGTTGTACAGGTGTTAACGCTGGTACAAACGGCTTCTCACTGTTCTTGCTCTCTCTAACATGCACCTCGAATAGTTTTGTACTATAGCAATGACATCTTGTCGAAGACACTCCCGGAGATAGGACCTTACGTTTCCCTCGGTATCACCGTCGTGAACGTCTTCATGACGTTCGCTCCTATCATTCTCATCGACGTGTGTACCTCTCGAAGCTGCGGTTTCGCTGCGGGTAGACTGACAGTCCACTGCAGCGTTTGGGGCGCAGACAACTTCTAACCCTGTCTGGCGCTGGAGCTATCCTATCGCTTGTCGGAGTTGGCATCGGTTTGGACAGCGGCGCGGTGACCCTCGCTAGTGTAGCGGTGATGGCGTTCATCGCGTAAGTGTTCTATTCAACCGCAAGTGTCCCAATATTGTCCTGATCGGCGGTATTCCACCGCGCAGATCGTTCGCTCTCGGCATCGGGCCCGTTCCGTTCGTTATGATACCGGAAGTATCGCCACCACACGTACGTCTCGTCGAAGCTGTTGTATCACTGAGGGCTAACTAAGTGACATCTGCTCCAGGCTGTTTCCGCCCTATCGTCTATCGGGCTGTCCCTCAACTGTAGGTCCATCGTGACTCTTTCGGTTCGCCTGATATATGCGCTTACTCGGTCCGCACAGGGATCGCCAACTTCCTCGTCGGACTCGTCTTCCTGCCGCTCCGTAACTTCCTCGCGGACGGCGACGAGTCGAAGGAGGGCCGCGTCTTCTTTGTTTTCGCCGCTCTTTTGGCGTTCTTCATGGGCATGCTTCTCCGCTCTTACAAAGGATGAAGCTGTGGGGGCGGTATACGGTCGCTGTGCATATTCTTGTCGCTTTCTTTGCAACTTTGTGGGTCAACTGGACGGACTTGAGACATTGTATTATAGAGCATCTTGGGACTTCAGACGCGATCCGAGTTTCTCGTTCTCCTACCCAGGCAGTCTTTCGACGGCAAGCCGGTGGACGCCTGAGTGCCATAGTGGAGGTGATCCCGCCCAGTGTCGGGTTTGTGTCGTGAACAATGCGCCTGCACCCCTAGGCACGTTAATGCACGGAGCGACGCCGAAGCGCCTAATTCACCGACGGCGTAGGACCACACACACAGGCATCGGATTCGCCGCGGGTCGGAGAGCGACCTGCAACATTCTCCCGGCAAATGCTTCCGGACAGGACATGGACGAGAGAGCGCTAATATAGACATTCTGCCGAGATGGGCTCGGTTGTTGCTGCGCACCGCCTGTCACCGACACCCCCACCTACATACCTCCTCCCTCTAAAGAGTTGCCATTCCCAAATCGTACCGGAACCAGGGCATTACAACCCCGCGCATGGCTCCCACCAATAGGAAGAACACTGGCGAGACAAGTGAAGCAGGCGAGGAGAAGAAGAATGGGAAGGGCAGCTGGCGGAGACCGACCGGTGAGCTCCCTCAGAACGTCTGAGGGCGGAGAACTTCCCATCTTGTGACACCGAATATGGACGACTTGCCCAGACACGGCGTTCCAGCAGCAACGGTTGAGAGCATCGCACCCTCTCTTCATTCCTCGCACTGTGATCCCAACGTTACTCGTCATTGGTGTCATTCTTGCTCCTATAGGCGGCCTTCTCATATGGGGGAACACACTCGTACGTCCCTATGTATATCGGGCAGACCAACAGCTAATCATGAACTTATGGCGTCTTACTCGGCTAGGTCTCAGAGATTGACATCGATTATACCCACTGCGAGCTTCTACCATCCACGACTTCCAATTCCACACCGCTGAGCTTCACGAACCTGTCTTCGTCCGACTATTCCTACAAGCTGCGAGCAGTCAGCTCAGACCTCACCGTCAACCCTCCACAGTATGCTTTCCTCGACCTGACGGGCACGGACGGCATCACCAATGCCACAGCGCGGCAGTGCGTCCTCCAGTTCGACGTGCCTGCGGACATCCAGCCGCCCGTGATGCTGTACTACAAGCTCTCGAACTTCTACCAGAACCACCGTCGGTACGTCAAGAGCGCGAGCCTGGACCAGCTGTCGGGCAAGAAGCCGAGCAGCAAGTCGCTGTCTGACGACTGCCAGCCGCTGGACAAGATCGGCAACCAGACCATCTATCCATGCGGCATGATTGCAAACTCGATGTTCAACGGTGCGTGCTCCTGAACGCGGCGATTTGGTGCCCGATGCGTACGCTTCTCGGGAACGGCCCTGGACGTCAGATCTGACGTGAACGCCCAGACACGTTTACGAGCTTGACGATGCTCTCCGGCCCAGAGCCCAATTCCACCTACGCCTGGTCAGAGAAGAACATCGCATGGCCAGGCGAAGCGAGGAAATACGTCACGAAGCCAGCATACGACCCCTCGGAGATCGTCCCTCCCCCGTTCTGGGTCGAACGCTTCCCGGACGGCTACACGGCCGACAACATCCCCGACCTCAAGCACGACGAGCACTTCCAAAACTGGATGCGCACGGCGGGCCTCCCGACGTTCAGCAAGCTCTGGGGCCGCAACGACGACGCAGCGCTGGCGCAGGGCCGCTACCAGATCGTCGTCAACCTGAGTGCGTTTCCGTCCTGATCATCTCGCCGTACGACTCCGACTGCGGACGCTGACGGGAGAACAGACTTCCCCGTGCTGAAGTACGATGGAACGAAGTCCATCGTGATCTCGTCCGCTGCGTGGCTGGGCGGCAAGAACCCGTTCCTTGGGTGGGCGTACGTCGCCGCTGCAGGCTTCTTGCTCCTCCTTGGCGTCGTCGTCGCTATCGTGAATTGCGTCAAGCCGAGGTTCGTCCCTTGCGCATACGTTTCGGCCGAGTGCAGCTGACGGCATTTTGGTGCAGGAAACTCGGCGATCCCTCCAAGCTGTCGTTTAACCGGTGACGTAGTATGCTGGTTCCCCAGTTCTGCTTGTCGGCATGCCGTGGAAGGAAGAGCGTACGGGATGAGGAGGTTGGTGCTTGCGTCGTACCGGTTGCTCTTGGGCTATCACTCGTTTCTTCATCCGCGGACTCAGGACATTTTTGGCCTCTTGATGTAGGATGCAACTGCTATCCCGGGATTTTTTCAATCTGGCTATATTACTGGTCGTATACGGAGCCTATATCATGCGCTATCTTTAATGCTATATATGTTTGCAGGAACAGATGTCGTGCTTATATCAGTGCGACCGAAGTACGCTCAGGCGGCTCGGCGCCTCATGAAACGTAGTGCGTTTGTATGATTGTTGTTGTGCAATGTCGATGTTGAAGTTTACTGGTATTCTGAATAAAGCTGGTATCATAGCAAGAAAATAACACTCCACAAGTGTAACGCTAAAGTGACGATGTATGATGACTGAGAGGCAGGATATTTTGCAGCCACTGGCATGCCACTGTGTAGCATCCGTTTTCGGGGACCTTCTTGAACCCTGGTGAGTATGCAGTCGTGCTATAGACACGTTTTGCTCCAATGTGGTTTGTACAGGAACGAGTGAGCGTGAAAGGAGTTTGGAAAGTGCAACATCAATACGTAGGCAGTCCCCTTGAACACCTGGCCGCTTCCAAGCTTCTCCATCGGAGAGTGGTAGCGGTCTTGTTGGTCTCCTACATAGTACCCGTTCTCATCAGCAGCGCTTCGAAGCCATGTTGAGCCCTGGTGAGACTAAGTCTTGCAGAACCACCTTTCAGCATCGCTGGAATACCCAATGCCGATCGGGGGTGTCGTATACACCGTGCTGTCAAACATCTGTTCTCAGCGACGGCGCTTGAAAACCATCTTGAACGCTGGTGAGACCCCATCTTGCAGTACTCACCTCGTAGCGTCCGGCGATAACTTGAGCAGGTTCCTGTGTAGCATCTGTTCTCAGCGGTGGAACTTGGGGACCTACCTGAACCCTGGTGAGACTCGATCTTGCAGTACTCACCTTGATGCGCGAGACATAGCAAAAGTCCTGCGTGTTATCTGTTCTCGGCGGTGGCTCTTGCACGCATCTTGAACCCTGGTGAGACCCTATCTTCCGGTACTCACCTTGTCTCTCAGACCGTTGTCCGTTACAACGTTCGAGGGGTGCACCGTGCTGGTGCCATCGTCCGCGTCGGCTTGGAATCCTTCCTGAGCCCTGGTGAGACCCATATTGCAGTGCTCAGGTACTCGCGACCTGCATCTGATCCCTCCTCAGCGGTGGCACTCGATACCTTCTTGGACCCTGGTGAGACCTCGTCTTGCAGTACTCACCTTACGACTTTTCTCCCCATGGGCCGAGCGGCTCTCCGAAGTGGCCGTTCCCAGATGTGGAACTTGGATCCGTCTGGTGCTCACCTTAGCTCTCGCTACTGAAAATGTCTCGCTCTGAATACTGGTGAAGGACGACGACGAAATGAAGGTCAGCAGAGGCACGAAGAGGGTCTTCATGAGCATCGGCGAGAAGAGAGGAGTGAGACGTGAAGTGTTCGGGAAAGAGAGAGAGGCTTCAAGGCTGATAGGCGGATGGGAAGGTGGTGGTATGTAGTAAGGAAGGAAGTGCGGAAGGGGGTGATTCTTATACACCCTGCCCTGGTGGCTGACCGAGTGTCTTCGCGGCTGGGTGGCTGACATGAAGCACGCAGAACCTTCACTTCAGTGGAGGCTTACGTGGCTGGCGGGCTGCGTGACGAGGCTTGACTCCCCGATCGTCCGTTTCTGCTCCGAGCAGCCGAATGAGCTGGCGAGAGGCTGACAGACAGCAGTATCAGATGCTCGGGAATATGATCCTAGGTCTGCCCGATAACAGTGATACTGGGCAACGGCATAGGTCATACTTATATGGATTGACATTGTCCGTTGGAACTGAGTGGGCGTCCTACGCTGCTCGCAAGTGCTCATGCCCTGTATATTGGTTTGTCATGTCAGTACAGCCTCGATTGACGACTTTCGTGAGTCTTTTTGATGCGACAACCTTGTGAGTCCCTTGGGCCGTCTGGTAGAAGTACTAGTGTAATGACTATTACTGACATTAGTCTATTTTGCGGGCCAGGTATTGAAGGTCAGCATCTGGGATGGTTAGCATACGTTGTGACCCGGAACAGGCTGCAGCGGCGTTAAAGAGTGCAATGGGCGGGCGATCTGGCCGGGCCGGAAATCCGCAGACGCGTTTTCCAAGGCGCGCCGACGCTCTTGCCTGCCGCAGCTGCCTGCAGCTACTAATTGACCGCGTTCTGTGTCTCTGCGTCGTACATCTCTCTTCTGCTCAGTAGTTCTCCGCCTGGCACACAACCTGGCCGTCAAGATGCCAAGCGGCGCAATTGTCCATGCCGCAGTCTTTGCTGTGGGCGCAATCGTCGGTGGAGGGCTTGCCACGGCAGTAGCTCGCACGACAGTCCGCCCACCGGTTCCGACGCAGACAGTGCCCGCCAATCCGCCTGTTTTAGACGTCAAGAAAGGCGAGGATGCCAAAGCTGTCTTGAAGCCTCCACCTGGTATGGTCATGGAGGTCGACCACTCTGTGCTGAAGTACGGGCATCCGGGTACGTTAATTCTCCATGAACCTTGGGCGGTACATTTATATATGCATGTAGGACCCGTATCTGACCTGCTGGTCAGGCGAGCGTACATCACCGCGTATGACCGCCGTTTGCGCCATCCTGCCTGGGTACGTCCTACACTTCTCAGAGCATGAGTGCCACGCCTGGATGCAGTCTATTGAAAGTCGGCCTGCACCAGACAGCAGAGCACTTGACCCTCGCGTCCCTTGGGAAATCTCCCTTGCAGCCCAAAATAGAGGGAGAAGGCGGCGACCGCACAAACTCCCAGTTCAAGGAAGATGAGTCAATACCTAGCATATTCCGAGCCAAGCTCCAGGACTACTTCCGTAGCGGGTATGACCGTGGACACATGTATGTACCCATCATCAATTGACTTGTTCGGTGCGCTGATGCGCTGGAATGCCTCTGTAGGGTCCCTGCTGCAGATGCAAAGGTATCGCAGGTATGTCAGTCTTGGTGTACATTGTCGCTCCTGGCCTGATGCATTATTCCGAATACACTAGTCAGCCATGGATGAAACTTTCCTGCTCACCAACATTGCGCCTCAAGTGGGCGACGGCTTCAATCGTCACTGTGCGTATCACCAATCCGCCTCTGCGTCTGAGATCAATGACGCTAACTTTCGCATTCAGACTGGGCCTATCTCGAGGAATGGTGTAGACGGTTGACAGGCAGCTTCGCCGACGTCTACGTGTTCACTATTCCGCTGTACCTCCCGAAGCTCGACCAAGATGGCAAATACCGCATCGTAAGTCCTCTTCGCTTCTCAATCACGTCGCGCCCGCAGTCGTGCTCACGGTCAGTATCCTGACTAGACCCACGAAGTCATTGGCACTCCGCCCAACGTCTCGGTGCCGACCCACTTCGCGAAAGTCGTGCTCACCTCGAAGCCTTCCTCGCCGCGGACCCCAGACATCCCGGAGATCTCGACCGGCGCGTTCGTCCTCCCGAACGCGGTCATCCCTGACGACGCGAAGCTAGAGAGCTTCGTCGTGCCCGTCGAGGCCGTGGAGCGGGCGGCGGGCCTGACGCTCTTCTCGGACGCGGTCAAGGCGAACTCGAAACACATCTGCAGGTCGACCAAGTGCGAGGTGATCGTGCGCAGGTTCGACGACGCGCAGAGGCAGTCGCGGAAGGCGATTGCGGCGCCCAAGTAGGCCTGATAGGACAGCTTAGGTTATGATGTAGAGATGTCGTATGGTACCGTCTTCGGGGGTCGCGCTGCTGCACTCTGATATAATGCCACTAGTTCAATGCCAGCATTCCTCCTAGGACTTTTGACCGCGAGATGATCCAAAGAAGTAACGAGTTCAGAGGTCTACCGCAGTCCCAATCATCGACGCCGCCTGCTTCTCCCTCTCCCGCGCGAGCCTCCCTTTGCCGCGTGCACGCTCGACCTCGAGCCACATCCTCTCCGCCTCGTCCCAGAGCGCCATTCCCTCGTCATACGTCGTCTCAAACCGCTCGACCTCACGCTCGAACTCCTCTTGCCCTCCGCGAGCGATCACCTCGCGAACCCCCGCGAAGAAGCGGGACAGCGCGGTGAGGTTATGCATCGCCAGCAACGCGTGCGACGACATCTCGTGCGTATGCAGCAGGTGGTGCACGTACGAGCGTACGACGGGCGGCTGGAGCGCGTACGGACGCACGTCGGCCCACGCCTGGCTGTCGACCGAGCTGTGCAGTATGCGGGATGCGGGCGAGCGCGGGGAGCACGCGTGGCACTCGCACACCGGGAGGCCGTGCGGAGGGGGGACGGCGCTCGAGGCGGACTGCCCGTCGAGGAAGCACGAGGCGAGGCGGGAGCGGTCGTGCCGGTAGAGCGCGTCGAAGAGGTTGTGTCCCAGGTCGCGCTTGCCGTTCGCCCGCGCTCGGGGCACGGGCGCGTTCGCACATGAGGTGTCGGTGGGGGTGGGGAAGCGGAAGTCGAGCGCGATCCCGATGTCGGCCGCGCGCTGGGCCCAGGAGCCGTCGATGAGGTCGACGCCGATGTCCCGGACGAGGCGGAGGATTTCGTGTGGGGAGACAGGGGAGTTGATGATGCGGGGCTTGTCTGCGGGGAGGGGATCTAGCGAGGCGTGGAGGAGCTCGACGAGCGCGATTGAGGTTTCTGGGGAGGAGCGTTGGCGGTCGCTGGCGTGGAGCAGCTCGTTGGCGGGAGATGGGGAGCTGTTTGTACGGGATGCTTCGGCTGAAAAGGCGGCGTGGAGGGGTTGGAGATCGAAGACGTATCCCGCAACTCCGTCGTCGAGCGTGTTCAGCGGTGGCGAGAGCCCAGGCGCATCCCTTTGCTCGATGGGCTCGGTCAGACGTTCCGCGAATTCTGAGCGGGCTTCGGCTTCTACGCCGCCTGCAAGGTGGACGAGTACATTGCGAGGTCGCGTGATGGCCTCATCCGGGAGTGGGACCCTGAGGATATCCGCAAGCCAGGCTATTGACCGCTCAATGCTCTTCGTGAGCCGTTTTTGGGAATGTGGTGCTGGAGTGAAGGGCGTGTCCGAGAGCGCGACTACAAGGTCCGGCTTGCACTTGCTCACGTAGGACTTCCACGCAGACGGGCTGACCTGCGGGGAGGGCAGTTGGGCACGACTTATAGCGGAGGTGGTTCGTGTCCACGAACCTTACGCACGCCGCGCGTGCAGTGCGCAGACACGAAGTCGTTTCCGTTGGGCGGCATCTTACGGCCATCTGACGGATCGCGCAGTGTCAGGGTTATGGCATGCTTATTTGAATCGAATCCTAGGAAGGTGTGCAGAGGCTGCGTGCCCTCCACGAGAGTGAGTACCGGAGGATTCCTGTCAAGGCTAGAGGAACATGTGCGGGAAGGTAAGCTGGTACGCACGCGCGAAGCACTTTTTAAGAGGGAATTCCCTTACAATGACTCGAACGGGAGCTGGATGTGGTGTATTGCTTTTGTGAGGTGGACGTTGTCTCGTGACAAATGCGGTACAACCCCGCGCGAGGTGGCAGTCAGCAAGGCTGGGGTGTCAGTTCGAAGTATGGAGGTACCATCCTGGCGATCTATGTCGATTCTGCCAGTGCGCGGACCGTACTTCCCAGCGAGCGGGGATCCCGTGAGGGTGAACAGCGGGCGGGAGGCCATGGCTGCGTTCGCGCGCGCGGGTGGTATGCACAACGCTTGGATGCGCGGGGTGAAGGTGCGATAGATTGGAGTCAGCGTAGCTGCAAGTCTCACGAGCGAGGACTCAGTCAGGACGGCTCGATCGCGCGAGCACGGGGAGAGAAGAAGCAAGGAAGCGCCCATATAGCGGGGCGCGCGACGCGGCGCGCGCGTGCAGACACGATCATGTCATAGGTCGTCCTCCCGACCGTGCCGGACCCTGACGCAGTCCACAGTACTCACCGCTTCTCCATCTGCTCCTTTCCCCTGCGTGACCTGCGGCAACGTCTGAGCTCTGTTTCGTCTGGCTTGCTTTCGTTTGGATTCATTAGCTTGGGTATCGCTCCGTACGCTCTATTCAGTGGCACTTGTAACGACCGGGCCCCGTGGCTGAGCTGCGCACAACGGTATACGACTTGCGACGACAATTCTCTGCCAACGTCTTTTCATATTGAACGACCTGCATAACCATCGCGATGGCCAATCTACGGGATGCACTTGTACGCGACCCTTTCCCAAGTATTGGTGTAAGTATGCTGACTCCCTCTTTCTTTCGGCTTTCTAGTGGGAGTCTGGATACGATGAGTCCGTAGAGGTCAACCAGCGAGCTCTCATAGACAAGGTCCTTGCTCGCTACTCCGGAGAGTTCACCGGTGAGCAATGCTTCCATTGCCCAGGAAGGGCACCCCATTGATATCCCGATTGCAACGCAGTCTTCCGTGAACTGCTTCAGAACTCAGATGACGCAAGCGCGACAGCCGTAGAGATCCATTTCGAGACGAAGGGGTATGTTGAAAGGAAGAACGCGAAGGCGAACGGTTCCGAGGACCAGCAGGGTCTCCCGGAAGAGGAAGGCTTGCCTGACTTGAAGACTGCGATGGTGAGTAGTCCGTGTCCACATATATGTTTGAGAATGCCAGACTTAGTCCTCATGCAGGTGCATCAATGGACATTCAAGAACAATGGTATACCATTCAGGGACGAGGATTGGAGTAGACTGAAGAAGATTGGTCAGTACCACGCGCACACGTTAGCCCCAGTGCTCCTTTGACACATTGGTGCAGCCGAGGGAAACCCCGACGAGGAGAAGATCGGTGCTTTCGGTGTCGGCTTCTACAGCTTGTTCTCGGTAACTGAAGAGCCGTGGGTCTTCTCTGGAGGTACGAAGCCCTCTTTGACGCATTCTCGGCCACAAGACTGACCCTTGACCAAGGCCAATGGATGAACTTCTATTGGAAGGACAAGAAGGATCAGCTCTTTGCTCGCCGAGGCGCGCGGAAGGATGCTACCGACAACCCATGGACCACCTTCCAGATGGAGTTGCGCGAGCCCACGCCAATACCCCAGCCCTTTGACTTTACGCGGTTCCTGGCTTCCTCGATTACCTTCATGCGGCATCTGCTGGACGTCAGCGTCTTCTTGGACGACAAACGACTGTCGAGGCTTACCAAGTCCCCTGGCTTACCCAAGGCTCTCGCGCTGCCGAAGACCCTGAAGCCTTCCAGTCCTCTCAACACCATGACTGTCAATGCCATACAAACTACCCGTAGGTCGCTCGGCAGCATACGCAGTTTGGGAAGACAATTTATTCGTGTATCCAGCCCTCTCAATCAAGGCAGAAGTGATGCAATGGGTGTACATGGCAGGGACGGAGAAGCCACAGCCAAAGAAAGAGCCGCCGAAGCCTGCTACAGCAAGTGGGGGCGGAGGGTTCTTCTCCTCGCTCTTCTCTGGGTTCGGTAGTTCTGGGCAACCTTCTCGCGCAGTGACGCCCGCGCCCGCACCCCCGCCCGTTCCCAAAGTCAATCCTAAGGCGATCGTGGAGTCGAGCGTCGTGTTGTCGATATTCACCGCAGATGTCGCGGTGAAGCTGGATCAGAAGATGATTGCGGAGCTCAATAGGTCCACCAAGAAGAACCCGCCTACGAGGATGAAATACGAGTTGATCTACGTAGGCAGTCACACTAAGTGTCATAAGAGAATCGAGTTACTCACCGGCCAACATAGACTGGCAAGGATGAGTATGATGCCAGTAAACGGGAGGATGAGAAGCACGGCAAGGCTACTGGAAGTGTATTCCAAGGGCTCCGCGCTGACATCGAAGGGTGACTACTACACCAAGTTCTGCTCGGTTGCTTGCTCATGTTTCGTCCAGGACAGGTCAAGCGAAGGTCTTCATTGTCAGTATCCCGGTCAATAAGTCGTGGGGAATGCTTAGCATTGACGAGGTTTATAGGGCCATTCTACGGGTCAAACCACTGGCCTGGGCGGCCATATGTCTGCTCGCTTCATCCCGACGGTCGAGCGAGAATCGATCGATTTGGTGTAAGTCTTCTGCTCACGCTCACTGATCTCGGGCTCACGACTCTTTCAAACAGCGACCGCAACGTCGCTAGTGAGTTTCGTCACCAATAAGAACATTTAGGGCGAGTGACTAATATGATACAGTTTGGAACAAGGAACTCCTATACATCGGCGGCCTCCTTGCGCGAGCAGCATACGAGATTGAGATGAGCCACATACGACAATTGTGGGACGATGAGCTACAAACAGCACGGGCCATCGCGCCTGACCGGGGCGTGGATCCTGAGTTGCTTGCGCAACTGCGCGCCAGAGCGATCCACGCTCTCAAATTCTTCACTTTCCACCCTTCCACGCCATCAGCTGTCGTCTCGGCCGCTCTGGAAGACGCTTTCTTCGCATGTTCAGCGAGCAAGTCCTTGTTCACGGGCTCGAAGATGCCCTTCCCGATCATGTCTACGACAGGCGTACGAGACGCGACGGAGGTCCGCTACCCCGATCCTGCCTTCAGCGGCTTCGTGAAAGAGCTACCGGTCGTGCCAGAAGAGATCCTCGAGCAAGCCAAGCCCATGGTAGACACGCTCCGATCCCGTGGTTTGCTGAAGGATATCACATTTGTGGACGTCCTGGAGGAGCTCCGCAACAGGCCTCTTACCGAGCCGGAAATGATCACCTGCTTCAAGTGGTGGATCGACATGTACCAGACTAGCAGCGCGACGAACCTCGAGTACATCCGCACACAGCTGCTCAACGCCGCCTTGCTCTTGACTGAGGGAAAGGACGGCAAGACGGGGCAGGTCATCCCGCTGTCCGTCGTCGAGAGCTTCCTCAACAGCAGGAGCACTGGCTCGCTCATCCCCACAGACGGCCCGCTCCCGCCACACCTCCTGCCCGTGGTGATCTCGCGGCATTTCGACCCCACGTCGCTTATCACCGCTTTCGGCTGGCGCGAGCTCACCGTCGTCGAGTGGCTGCAGCACGTTGTCAGTCCCCCGGCGCCGCACGACCCCGAGCACGACGTGCACCTGTCCCCGCAGTGGGCGGAGCGCGTCCTGCAGGTCCTCACGCGCGCGAGTCAGTCGCTCTCGCGGGCGCGCCAGCAGGAGGTGGCGGAGATCTTGAAGGAGCACGCGTGCATCCCGACGTCGGCTGGGCTGAGGAAGCCGGAGGAGGCGTACTTCCAGAACGCGCATGTGTTCCATGACTTGCCGATCGTGACGCTGCCGTCGGGCGCGGCTGTCAAGGGCCCGCTCGAGAAGTTCTTGCAAGCGGTGGGGGTGAGGAAGCATGTGGACCTGCAGATCGTGTTCAATCGGTATGTCCCCCCTTCCGCTTTTATTCTCATAAGAGGTGCAGGTACTGACGATGTTGCTCCTGCAGCATGATCAAGACCGGCGACTGGACTATCGCCGAGCTGATCAAGTATCTGGTTGCCGTGCAGACGACGTTGACCCCCGTCGAGTTCGAGAGGCTGAAGAATACGTCGGCATTCCCGAGAGAACGCCGTGAGGGCGAGCAGTTGCCGGAGAACGGAAAACTGCCGAGGTACAAGGCGTCAGACTTGTACGAGCCGCTTGATGTCTTCAGGGAGTTGAAGTTGCCTGTGATCGACTGGGGGACTCAGCCAAAATGGCGCGGCAACTCGGAGGAAGGTGTATACCTTCCTTGCAGCAGCTGGACGGGCGAATAACTGACTTCGATCTCCAGCCAAATTCCTGTTCAAGCTTGGTCTTCGCAGGTACCCGCCTTTGCCAGAGCTGATAGGTCTCGCTGCCAGCAAAGACGAGGTGATCCGGACTGCGGCCCTCAAATACTTCTTCGACAACTACACTACTCGTTACTCCGATTACGATCCAGAAAACTTCTCCAATGTCGCCTTTGTTCCCACAATGAAGGACAGCAGCAAGATCCTTGCGCGGCCGCACGAAGTTTGTCCTCCATGATTGTCCTTCTCCAAAATCTCATCCTGTTTGTCGCAGGTCGTCTCTTCACCGGAATGGGCTTCTCTGGGTTTCATGATCGTCGACCCGTCTCTGAAGGGAGAAGCACTCATACACCTGAAGATACAAGAGAACCCGCCTACTATCAAACTCGTCAATCTACTGAGGACAAGTCCTCCGCCCACCGAGGATATAGCTAGGCAATGGTTCAACACGCTTGCCAGTCGCGTTGTCGGTAAGTACATGTCAATGGGTGCTGGCTACCTTGACTCATACGAGATCCCAGCATTCACCCCCACTGAGCTGCGTGCGTTATCCCAGTTCCCATTCGTGCCTGTGAAGGGCGCAAATGGTGCCATACGCCACCTTCCTCCCGTACAGTGTTACTTCAAGGGCGACTCGAACGCCCAGTTCCATTCCAAGCTGTTCACGTTCGTCGACTTTGGGACAACTGCCAATACGTTCTTGAGTGCTTGCGGTGTCAAACATGAGCCCTCGGTGGAGGAGATCGCGAAGATCCTCCTGGACAACCCTCGACAGTTCTACGAGCTTGCCGAGGGTCGTGAGCAGTACGTCTTGCCAACCTTGGGATATAGGGTGGCCGTATTTAACCGAAACCGAATTGATAGTTATCTGACGGAGCTCCGTAACATCGCGGTGAACAGGCGTCTTGTGTCCTCTGGCACTATGACGAGGATGAAACGTTCGGCTGTTTTGCTAGGATCCCGACGGGTCAGGAAGAACAAGCCAGTCGCTAGCAAGAAGCAGTTGGACGACTCTCCTGGAGAACTTGAAGAGGAAGATTGGGACTACCAGTTTGACTTGTTGACGCCTGACAAGGTCGTAATAGCGGATGAGACCAACGCGTATCAACTGTTTGGTGACACGATCTTCTCCGCCCCCCAGGAGGACCTTCTCGAAGGTGACGAGTCGCATAGCGCCCGCATGAGCATCGCTAATATCTTTTCCAGAATTCTACGCCGATTTGGGCTGCCGGAGGCTGAGTACCTTGGTTCGAGAGCAGTACCACACGAGCGGCGAGGTCATTGGCTCGCGCAAAGCGGCCGAAACGCGCGCCCTCATTCTGGAACGTCTCCCGCTGTTCTTACACGAGCACACCCATACGAAGACGCGCGTGTCTTACTCTTGGCTCAATAACGACAAGAACTTCGTCGTCAAGACCTTTGGAAAGCTCACGGTCACGAAGACGCTACAGTTTGACGCCAAGGTGGCCTCGAAGAGTCAGGATGCTTCTGCAGTCGCGAGGCGAGTGGGTAGCAATGGACCCATTGAATTGTGGTTGGCTGGCAATGACCAGGTCGACATGTATGAGTGAGTAACTCTAGGGCAGTCGGTACTGTGATTAGGTCTGATTTTGCCTCGCAAGGGTGTCAACGTCGATGTGCCGCCTGCTCTTCACTTCGCCAAAAGTCAATGATGCCCTTCTGTTCATGACCATCTTGTCGACGGACCTCCGTGCATTGCGGAGGAGAGGATACAACGGTGAGGGTATTTGAGTAGAGGTGCGCGTTTGCGACTAACACTCCTTTAGTTGACCGTATCTTGCGACAGCAGAAAGCAGACAGGCTCGCTGCGGAGGAAGCCGCCAGAGCAAAGGCACGCGTTACAGTCGCTAGCCAATCTGCCGCAAGCTCTTCCTCAGACACCTTGATCTCCCAAGCCCCCAGACCCGAAGGAAAGCTCGGTGGAGCCTTGCCTCCCAAGGACGCGCTCATCGACCATAACGGGCCTGTTGTTCCTGAGAAGTCGACATCGAAGCCTGCCCGCCCTTTGAGTCAGATGCTGAACGTGTTCAAGAGAGGAAGGGGCGATGACACTGCGTCAATCGCTGGACCCAGCGATGCCCCTGCTCTACCGCCTAAGGACGGCGCTGGTGGAGAACCTCAGATGCCTCTGCTACCACCTCCACGGCCCGATCGTCCGCGTACTCCCAATCCTCAGGCAACGCCAAGGAGCTCCATTGGTACATGCCCATCTGTTTCCTGATGTACTGCCTACTAACACCTCGGTTTCAGCATCGAATATTGACCTTGCAATCAGGGCTTGTAAGGAAGAGAGAAACGAGACGCTCAGGAACAGACAGCAGATGCAAATGGTCAAGGAATCTCTCAACGAGGGATACTGTGACATCTCTGGACATCCTACCGACATGACTGTGGTCGGTGAAATGGGCGGCATCAAGATCTACGTCGCTAAAGGTGAGAAGACAGGTGGCTTCACCAATCACAAGTGCTGACGTCGTCTGAAGACGTTCCAGATGCCCGGACATTGTTGCAGCAGAAGAACGAGTCGCTGGCGCGTTTCATCTACACCATTCGGCCCCTCCAGGAAGTTTATACACTGCCTCCGACGAGCTTGCATATCTTCTACGACCGGGCCGGGGAACTTATCGCGTTCAACAGGAACGCAAGCTTGTTCCTGAATCTGAGATACTTTGAACAATGGCGTAAGTACTACCCACAGTTCGCGTGGCCGCAATTAGCTCACATCGGAACCCGTAGACGACGCAGAAGTGCAGGCAGGCGATATGACGAACGCCTATACATCATGGTAAGCTGCGATTGCAATGCTCCTTGGTTCTAATCTAACGTTTCTTTCAGGTACTTCACGCTAGCCCATGAGATCGCTCACAACCTTGTCTCTGCACACAACTCGGAGCACGAGTTTTATTTCTCCTCAATCTGCGAAGTTTATCTGCCTGCTTTCATGAAGCTTGTCTCGGGCAAGTAGACAAAGGACCTAGAAGGACGTTCTCATGCATTGTTCCCTGTAATTTATTCTGCACATTGTTTATTGGATGAAAGGCTTGGTTTCTCACAATGCTTGGCGTGAGTCGTTGTCCTCCTTGTCTTGTCTGACGTAGCACATCAACGATCAGCGACTCTTCGACCCCCTCGGGCGTGTTGCACTCGGAGCGCCCACTCTAATGGGCGCCAGTGGTACGCTGCACGTGACATTTGTTCAAGACGCGTTCAAAACTGCGGCAGCGAGTTCAGAGTTCGAACATACCACCACCAGCACATCACGCTCACAGTCCACTGCCGCTACTCTGTACGCTGCCTCCGATACTTGCATAACCTCCCATGGATCAGATCACTTCGTCGCTTGCTCCCCGTGCGTCTGCGAAGCCCTCGGTGGCGGGAGTAGGAGGAGACCCTGCTGGTAGTGTGACGAAACGGTACGTGGTTGCGCTTTCACGATTGAGGCTAACAAGGCCTTGAACGAGGATGTACAGACTCACCAGCGAGCTCATGACTCTCATGGTAAGTCATCCGAATGACACAATCGGAGGAATTGTATCCTAATCAATTCCTCAGATGTCCACGTCTCCGGGAATCGTGCGTATTCGCTGTGGCCCTTGGCTGTCGTGGCACTCATTACTCGTAGTCCGCATTTCCCAAATCAGATGCCAACCTCTTTGATTGGGTGGGAACGATTGAGGGACCGGCAGGAACGGTACGTCAAACTCTGTCCTACGCATACCACGCCTCCGGACACCTGAACGTGTGCCCATTTCGTCAGGTGTACGCTGGCTTGAAGTTCAAAATCTCGATCAACTTCCCTCCGAATTACCCCATGGCACCTCCTGCCATCAAGTTCGACTCCCCATGCTACCATCCTAACGTTGACATCAACAGCGGTGGTATCTGCTTGGATATTCTGCAGGTAAGTATATTCGCCACAGTCGTTTGCCGCTAGCCTCATGCCTCTATTAGGACAAGTGGTCTGCGGTATACAGCGTGCAGACGATATTGCTTTCTCTCCAATCTCTTCTCGGTGGTGAGCATTTCGTCGCGAGTTCTGGATTGTGTACGTTGTATAACGCCTTTGCAGAGCCAAACAACGCGTCTCCTCTCAATCCCGACGCTGCTGCGATCTGGGACTCGCCCGAAGGTAGATAGATTTGCTCCAGTGGCCATCGTCGCGTGACTAACAAGCCGAGCACTTCTCAGACTTCAAGACGCAACTGCTCAAGTACTACCGCCCGATCTCTGACGAAAGCTCGGACTAGTCCTGGCGCATCAAGCGTCCTCTTTCTTCCTGTGTTTCATGTCTCTGTATCAATCATCCTCGTCTTGTCGCATGATTCGCTCTCCACCTGCTGGACAATGCATCTCCGGAACCCCCCTTATGTCATACCAATGCCATGTATACATCCTCCATCATTCAATTCTATGACGTGTGTCTGTTTGGATAGTTTCGCACTGGCGTGTGAGCGGTCGTACGCGCATGCCGTTACATTCAGTGGCCGAGGACTGAGTGATAGAGCTACCGTGTATGTCCGCGCCCATGTCTCGCGAGCTGGCAAGCTGTCCTTCTCTAGATGTCTGAGAAGTACAGCTATTGACTCCGAGAAGACAGAAGCGGTTACATATCTTCGCAGAACCTTCGAATGTTGACAACAGCTGCGATAGCCACGGGCTGGGATCGGCAATCGAGGCGCTGCGGTTCTGTCTGCCAGCGTTGCCCTGCACACTTTAAATCCCCATTCCTCTTCACCACATCCCCCTCCTCGCTCCCAGCCTGGTATCCCCGCTTCAGCGCCGTTGCGTGCGTACGGAAGCATTGCATTCGTTTAGGTTCCTATATTTCTGGTACGTCATGATCTTCGAAGGACTACGATCAACCACGCGCCTGCGACCGTAACAACCGTGGCATGGGCGCCATGGAGAGGGCGGCTAGGGACAGATATGGTGGCGCGAAGTGATGGCGGTCGACCAGGTCGCTATAAACCTCCTCGTCGTCTCTCCACGGTCGTGGTGCGCTTCGCTGCCTTCACTTTCTGCTCACTCTGCTTTCTTCCTGCTTTTGCAGACAGGCCAGACTCGGTTGATCCGGCTGCTGCCCCCTTTGCTTTCGTGTTCCTCCCGACGTCTTTGGCCGCAGAATCAGTGTCCGGTGCACACTGTGAGTACTACTACCCCGCTTTGCCCCTCTGCCCTTTCACTGCGGCCTGTCGCTTTATCTCACGCTTTCCCGATCGTGCGCAATCGATACTGACGCAAAGCGTTGCCTGCACACCCCGATGTCGCGCGATATATAGCTGCGTTGCTCGCACAGAAAATTCCTCACTTCCGTTCATACCACACCACACACACCTTTCACCACCATGCCCCGCCGCCAGCCCCCGAGTGCCCTCCGCCTCCACGTCGGGCCCCTTCCGCCCCGCGGCAAGCCCAAGCACACCATGCCCTCGCTCCCGCGCCCCGCCTTCCACGGGCCCGCGCCCACCGTCACGACGGCCGCCGGCCCCGTCCCCCGCGCGCGCATGACCCACACCGACCTGCCTGCGCTCGCGATCCCCTCACCCGCCACAGGCGGCTTCTCCGCGCCCACCGCCACGGCCGCGACCGCGATGTCGACCGCGTTCGAGGGCAACACGTGGAGCGGGCCGAGCTCGCCGACGTCGGCCGAGTCGACGGCGAGCAGGAAGAGGAGCAGGGAGTTCATCAGGGGGCCTTGGGACCACTCGGGCGCGATCCGCGTGCCGTTCGACGTCGGGGCGGTGCTGCCGCCCCCGATGCCTGCGGCGATCAACGTGAGAGGGGCGGAAGAGGGTGCTGCGAAGAGGCCGTGGGCCGTCTGATGGGTGTGAGGGAGAGGATTGGGGGACATGCGTAGCGTCGATTGTTTGTATGCTTGGTCGTATGAGAGCAGCGGTCGCTGTCGTGGTCCTCCATTTACCTCTGTGTTTTCGCGTGATGAGATGAAGCCGGAGTTGAGGGTGATACAATGAACGACCCATATATTGCCCCAGATCGATCTTATTTACAACCGCTGTGGTAGAGGGACTCAGGTCGGGATGGTCATGGATGAACGAAACATCCAGAAGACGGTATGTCGGCCTTCAGCAGGGACATGAGAGCGATACATGCGATTGCACGGTCTGTCGTACCTAGATGATTACTTCTTGGCCCCAGACCTGATATGCCATTGAGCGAGGAACGGCAGGGATGAAAAAGGACAAGACGCACTTCTTGATGCCGCCACCAGGAGCACCCCCTACGTTATCGCGCCCACGATCAGTAAGTCACCTCATCCTGTTGAAGCGCACATAACATGATACATACCCTTCGCAGCTGTTGAAGCAGATGAGCACAAGATATATGCCAGAGAGTAGGCAAGAAAACATACCCTTGTCGCGCGCGGCCTTGATAGCGGCCTCCTCGGCTTTCTTCCTCTGCTGGAAGGCGAGGTCCTCCTCGTCCAACTCCTTCTTCTCCTTCTTCGGGGCCTAGCACAGACAGTTGAGGACAATACAGTACCACTGACGATCGAGAACGGGAACGGACCTTGAGTGGCTTGGCCTTGCCTCCTTGCCTGCTGGACATGATTGTAGTGCACTTTGGACGAGTGAGACGCCCGTTGCGCACAGATTAGCAGGCGGCCTGGGCACGCAGGGGCGAAATGGGACGGTCATATCCGGGATCGAACAGAGGCATGGAGCGATGTCAGCGCCGTCGGCCCGGAAGCGCGGTGTGGCCAACTCCGAAATCGGACAGCTGAAGTGGCCGAGGGTCTAGGCCACTCACGCGGCCGAGAGGTTCAACGGTCGAGATGAACCGTGCGGATATGGACTCGGCGGTCATTGCTGCCCGCGCGTCGAGGAATCAGGATTGGTTGCTCGAGATCGCTCGTGAGTTTTGAGCCATGGAAACGACCTTGTGTCCAGGAACCGTAACGCCGGCGTCGGGAACGTGCGGAAGGAGTGATCCGGAAGAGGCATGATCCACGGAGCTTCTTGTGGGAAGAAGGAAGTAATACTTGGCAGGAAGATTGCGGGGAGTCCTCCGCTGCAAGTGCCAGTTGCAGGACGCTCCGTGGACGACAGCGAGGTAGGGCTTTGTGGTGGCGTTGGCGTAACGTGGGGTTATAGACAGCGTCTATGCGGGGTAGAGCGCGGTGGGCGGTCGTGGAGCTGTGGCGGTGTGGTGGGCGATCACGACGCAGCCAGGCGGGGTCGATCAAGAGGTTGTGCAATGTGACCGTCTGTCTTGGATGCTCGCATGCCTTTTCTCGTGCTCTGGATTCCTTTCCTGATTATTTATCGCTTACTTAACAGAGTGCCGCCCCGGGCGATCTGTGGGAGAAGGTACCCCGGCCGACGTCCGTCACGGCTTGCTTCTCCCCTCCCTCCTCGACAGTTGCCTGAGTCTGTCCCATTCAGGCGGCCACCAGGCTTCTCTCCAGGAATCGCGAGTATCCCCCCCGACGCCTCCCATACCCCACCCTTCCCGGCCCAGCCGGGTCCACATTCTTTTGCCCCCGTCGCTCTTTGCCCACCCTGGCCGGTTTCCAGCCCTAATCCCCCCTCGCATGCCCTGAGACATACCCGCCTCGATACCAAGTCAACATGCAATACCTCTTCACCCTCCTTCTCTCTCTCTCCCTCCTTTCGTCGGTTTTTGCCGCCTCCGCCGACGACTGGAGAAAACGCTCAATATACCAGTCAGTCGCGTGCTTCCCCTTCCTCGCACCTCGCTCACTCCGTCCCCTTCCTCTCCAGGGTCATCATCGACCGCTATGCACTCCCCAAAGGAGCCGACCTCACCAAGTGTGATCCCGCCCAACAAGCCTTCTGTGGCGGAACCTGGAACACCCTCAAGGACAACTTGGACTACATCCAGGACGCAGGGTTCACTGCTGGTGCGCCTTTACGCGTCTTCCCCGTTTTTCCCCCCTCGAATAGTGTCCCCCTTCTCCCCCCATAGTCTGGATTAGTCCGGTGTCCCAGAACTACGAGGGCCCCCGCACGCCTTACGGCGACCCCTACCACGGCTACTGGATTGCCGACGCTTCCCAGCTCAACTCGCGCTTCGGCTCTGCAGACGACCTCAAGGCACTGTCCGATGAGCTGCACCGCCGTGGCATGTCAGTGTTCTCTCCGTGCTTCTTTGACGTGAGCTCACATGTCTGCACGCTGTCCCTCCATAATGCGGAATAGGTATCTGATGGTCGACGTCGTTGTCAACAATGTTATGGGACTCAAGACGGATCTTTCGGACCTGTCGACTTATATGTTCAAAGACAAGGTTGGAATGCCCCACACATATGATGATGGAGGGCGTTGCTCTGACGGATGTTCGGTTGCGTATAGTCGCAGTACCATCCGTACTGTCCAATCCAGTGGGGGAACACGACCAGCGAACAGAACTGCTGGCTAGGCGACACCAACGTTACCCTCCCCGACGTGAACACCCAGGACCCATCCGTCGTTTCGGCGTACACCTCGTGGATTCAGGCTCTTGTAAAGGAGTTCAACATCGACGGCCTGCGTATCGACGGTGAGCAGTTTCGGAACACTGCTGGATACAGCAAAGACCGCAGCATTCTCATCAACCTACCGACATTCCTCCTCTAGCGGCGAAGTGAGTTCATCTCCGGTCTAAACATAGTACCAAGAAGTATTGACCATGCGGTGCAGACACGTAAACATCGACTTCTGGCCGCAATTCTGCGGAGCTGCAGGCGTGTACTGTATCGGCGAGGTGTTCGACGCTGATGCCGGGTGAGTATATGCGCGCTGGTTGGGCGGGGGCAACGGCATTGATAGCTACTACAGTCAGGCGCTGCAATACCAGGGACCGCAGGCCCTCGATGCTATCCTCAACTACCCCATGTACAACGCCCTTGTGTCGGCATTCGCCATCCCTGGGGCGCAGAACATGAGCGCGCTCACCGACATGGTCTCTCAGATCAAGAGCAAGTCCAAGGTCAGCGGCGTTCCTGCCAACGTCGGATGCCGCCGCCGGCCGGAGCTGACTGTCGTCGCAGGACCCCACGTTGCTCGGTAACTTCCTTGAGGACCAGGATGTCCCTCGCTGGGCGAGTATCTCCGTTGACCCGCAGAGCATGTGGAACGCGATGACCTTCAATTTCATGTCTGATGGGTAGGTCCTTGCTTAAAGGGGAGCGGCTGGCCTAGGCTGTAACTGACCCGGCCGATAGCATTCCCATAGTCTACTACGGACAGGAGCAAGGTTTCAATGGTAACGCGGATCCTGTAAGTCCCGAGCAGGTCTTCGTTACCAGAATCAGTGGCTGACTAGGCAATGGTAACAGTACAACCGCGAGCCGCTGTGGCCGTCCGGCTACGCCAACACCTCCAGCTATCAGCTCATCCAGAAGCTCAACCAGCTCCGGAACTTCATGATCAACACTACTTCGGACTGGGTCACCACTCCGATGCAGGTGCTCAACGAGACGCCGCAAGGCATCGTGATTAGCAAGGGCCCCGTGATCACCGCGCTGACGAACATCGGGTCTCCTGTGAGTTTCGCTCGCGGTTCTTTTCAGTTATCGGCGCTTACCGTCGTCGATACTAGCCCGCGAACGTCACCTTGTCCGCAAAGTCGGGAATAGGGGAGAGCGTCGCCACCACCGAGTACGTCATGATTCGTGCCTGCTAGTGAGCGCCGCTGACCTCATGCTGAATCCTCGCAGCATCTTGACGTGCACTCAGTACGCCACGGGCAGCGGTGGCACCCTCGACTTCAACTACAACAAGGGCGGCCAACCCGTCATCGTCGTTCCCGACAGTGTGCTCGTGGGCTCTGGGATCTGCGGTCACACGCTCGTCAAGACATCGACGGGCTCGCAAGCGGGCACTAGCGACAACGGCGCACAAGGGCATCTATCGACAGCTACGGCGTCGATCGTTTCCGCCGCGGCGGGCGTCCTCCTGAGCCTATGGACTTCGGTTCTGTGATGCACCAGTCGTCGGGTCCCCTGTCTTGGACAGTAGTCAAGTAAGCATCCCACGAGCCTCGACGTCCTGCGCAGGTGCTGCCTTTCGTTTGTCTGGGTTCGTGTTTTCCTTTCTTTTCTTGGGCTGCCGCACCGTGGTGTTGCCGGTGCGACGTATCGTTCAGTAATTCGCGTCGCGGGGCATTTCCGTTTCGCTTCTTGAGCCGCTCGCTCGCCCCCCCTCGGCGCTCGCTTTCGACGACTTCAGTTCGGTCCTTACGTGTTTCCCCGGCTTGGCAAGTTTGTGTCTGTACCTTCGTATAGTTAGCTGTAGTTTGCGGTCGGTGTAGTTGGGGGTAATGTACGAGTATCGGATCATGGAAACACACAGCTTCTCAAGCGCAACAACACACAGAGGTGCCGCCACGCCGGTGGCTCGGAGATCGTCTCCTCTGTAGTCAAGTACGTTCAACTAGTACTGTGGTTCAGAAGGAACGCGGCTAGAGCCCGGAGACGAGAAGCCACCAGATTGCCGACTAGGCGAGAGATGGTCGGGGACGTGAAGGAGCTCGATCGGCTCACTGCCACCGAACCTAAACACACTAGCGTCACAGCGACACACAAGTCTTCACAGATCTTTGACATATTTCAGTCGCCTGCAGGAGATCTTCGGCTGGGGCTATTTCTGGGGCCGTCAAATGAAATTGGCTTGGGGAAGTCCGCCGGCGGGCACCCTCGAGATGGCCGAGCCGACGACCGCTCAGGCTCTGCTGTGCACGCGGCTTGCCGTACATCGAGGACGCCCACACCATGCAGGGCGGCGAATGTGTCTGGAGAAGAGATCGTCCGAGAAGGAAGGCCGCATTGACAGCAGGCGTCAGACTCAGGCACGGGCGACGTGAAGAGGGTTTCGAAGAGGCTAGTCATGTTAAATTGATGTCTCGCCCGGAACGTGCGTAGGAGGCGCGGGGGGTACAGGAGGCACGTAGCCTATTCCGTCGCACTCGACGACGGCGCCGCCTTCTGCTTCTTCGAGGCGGAACTTGGCGGCAGAGAGCTGTTCGACCACCCATATCACCGTCCTGGATCTTCGTTAACCGCCTATTTTGATTTTTGGCAGGGCACACGCATGACGCATACCTTGTGTGGAGAGTCAGAGGCCCGGTCTTCACTCTGGACTTGCCCTGGGCGAGCGCGAGGAAGATGATCATCTGGTCCTGCGAGGAGCATGTCAGACTCGTCCGCAACATCGCGCGATGACGGATCGCCTCCTTGCCTGCATATACTCGTCCACGCATCCGCCATGGTCGAGGTTGCTCGCGAGCTCCCTTGCGGCCTCGCGGCCCACGTGAGCCGCGTCGGTGCCCTTCCTCCCTAGCGCGCTGCCGCCGAGGATGCAGCCCTCATATGTCTCCGCCCAGAGGACGATGCCCGAGCCGCTTCCTACGGCGTCGGACGGCTTCTCGCGCAGCGACTCGATCTTGATGCGGTTCTCCTTGATTCCGGACTCTACTAAGGTGTCGATTGCGGCGGTGCGCATCGCGTCGGCCAGGGATTTGGGCAGGCCAGCCACGTACGACTTCCCGTACACCCTCTTGATCTCGCCGCGGTCGGTGAGCGTGACCGAGGGTAGGGGGCCCGCCACAGGGGGGATGGAGACGTGCACTTGTCCCCCACCTCTCGGATAGTAGCCTCGCTTGACGACCTGTATTGTTGGCTCCAAGCCGAAGTGCTTCTGGATAAAAGGGAGGAAGATGTTCTGTGTGTAGTCGATCTGAGGAGAGTGGGACGCATTCGTTCCTCCGCGGAGGGTCAAAGAAGAGGGACTGGTGGAGGAGGACGAGAAGATCAGGCACGGGAGGGAGACCTGTAGTAGAAGCGCGATGGAGCCTGCTGTCCCCGGATCCGCTGTATATGCCAGAGAGGCCTGGGGTGCGACTTGGGGGTGGAGCGTGATGGTCCTGGAGCCTGTAGTGTTCCCTTCGAGGCGGGCAGAGCAGATGTCGGCGACGAGGCGGAGGCCTGGATATATGGTCGGTCATGTTCATGCACCAAGTTTTGTGCAAGGCTGCTCACCTGCTGCATGCTGGAACTTGAGACCAGGGGGGTTACGTTTGGCGCGGATGTTGTTGATAGTGATGGGCTTGGAGAGCAGCGCGGAGAGCCCTACTGCGATGCGCAGGAGTTGGCCGCCTCCCTCGAGTGTACTTCCGTCGATTTCGAGTGGTTCGTCTGAAGACATCTAGACGGCTTGAGTATGTTGTGGGAGAAGGTCAGATCGTGCGAGCAAAACAAGCCCGCGCCCTTTATGCAGGCAAGTCATTGGAAATGAGGATTGTATTTACTGAGTCATGGTGACGGTGCCAGGGAGTGTGTACTTCAAGTACAGTCACAGGACAACATATCAGCATGCAACAGCGCCTGGCAGTGCGCGTCTGTCGCGTGGGCGATTCCGGATTAGGAAGGGGACACGCGACACGAGAGCGCTGAGACTAGACAGGTTCAAAGACTCTTGATTCCGTCTAGAGTACGCTACTGTAACGAGAGTACGAGGTCGGGTATAAATACGATACGTACGAGACGCCCGAGTAACAGGGATTACCGAGAAGTCGAGTCCATGAGTAATGACAGTCGGCGAACGCATGGTCCAGGTGATGGGAATGAGCAAGCAAGGAGTAGGAGTAAGTAAGCAAGAGGAACGGGATCAGATGGAGGAGGTACGAGGAGATGATGGGAGTAGGTACGGCGGGATGGAGCGAGAGCGAACGAGCGCCGGGCGCTACATACGCCCTCCGGAAGTCGTGAGTTAAGTAGAACGACTTCCAAAACAGGAAGCGACGCTTAACCGCTGTCAGCGACGGTAACACAGCGTCTCAGGCGCGTTTCTTGCCAGCGCGACTGGACCTGCGTTGGGAAGCCCCACCAGCCTCCTCC